TGTGGTGATTCCAGTCTCTTGGTTTTGGAATCAGTGCTGGTGACCAGCAGTACGTAAAGGGAATTCTGAGTCTTGCGAGCATGGCTGGCGCCCAGACACCGCTGATTGGATCCAGGCGAAGACTATCTTTGCGAAATCTGTTGATGATATCTCCGAGACCTTGCCAGGTCAGCACGTCAACCATGATGTATGACATGTAATTCGTAATTGTAGCGTCCGCATTCGTAGATTGGATGTTTGCGAGTGGATGTGGGAACTGCTGTGTAGGTGACCACGGCATGCTGTTTCAAATTCAGTATATGCACATCATGGTCCTGTCATCAAACTTACGTGAACATCATATGTAGTGGGATCCCCAGCTTTTCAGCGCAATGTATGTGCCCGAAGCTTGGGGGATTCGCAATGATGGCATCAGCAACAAACGGTTTTCGAAGCTGCTCTGGTAGCTGTTCTTCTATGCCCATCCACTCTTCCACTGTTTGCTGAAGAGGATCCACACCAAGACCATTGCCAGTCTCTATGCAGGATCTCCATGTTCCACTGAGAATCTCTGCGATGCCTCTTCTTCTCTTGCCAATATCACCGCTACGCAACGTATCAAAGCCTGGCATCAAACCCGGATTCTTCACCATGAAGGCCATGAGCTCAGCCGGGTCACCGCCGATACTGAAAAACTCGAGTCCATTTTCGGCTACAAAATCCTTGAACGTTGGATGTGTTGCTAGTCGTACTCGGTGACCATACGTCTCCTTGAGTACCTTGCCAAGAGCAACAAAGGGCTGAACATCGCCTCGCGACCCCACGACCTGTATGACGAGGTTGAGTGGAGGTGGTGGCTGTTGGCCTGGCGCTCCGCCAAGAAACTCTGGAATGTAAGGCGGAGGAGGCTCAGGGTCTTCTTGCGCATGCGTAAGCTGACGTTGGATTTGCGGAAGAATTAGTTGCGAAAGGGTGTGGCTCTTTTGGTCTATTCGAATATTCACACGTCCATCATCCGCTACAACGGCGTTTGTCCCCAGCTCTTCGTTTTCGACTTGGCCTGGAAATTCGCTGTATGCAGGGGGAGGCTCCTCAACGGTTGGTGACGTTATGTTGCTGATGTGTGCATTGTCGGCATTTTCCTGTGAGCTTGAAGGTTCGCTTTCAACAACGTCAGCATAAATTATGAGTTCCTTTTAAAACTGGCGATACTCACTATGGTTGCTGTGATGGTGGGGCTGTATCGCGAGTAGTAGCGTCATTGCCCTGGGCGGGGCCCTTTGAACTCGACATGGCGTAACTACAGGGGTAGGGAAAGGTGTATCATGAAAGAGCGACAAAACAAGTATAACAGGAGGGTAGGAAAGATAAGGAGAGACTGTTGCGATCGGCAATCTCCTGGAACTACAAGAATGAGAAGCTTGTAATGCGGGCATGAGCGACGCGCATGCACAATGACACGGGGGGTCGGGGAAATATGGACGTGATTGGCTGTCAGTTTGTCGCAGGGAAAAGACCATTCTCACAGCCACAAATAAGCGGGGCCTTAGTCCAGATGGCTTGATCCTATGGCGCTGCGCCTTCAGGACCTGCGTATTTTCGTAAAGCCGGTTGTTGAAACAGTCGAAACCTGCGTATTTCTCGTAAGGCTCTTTGTTGACACATCTTACAGTCAACAGGCACGAGAAGCTCGCATCCAGCAAAGATGATTAATAGATTACATGCCAGCATTAGTTAGAAAAACAATATGCATCTACAAATACGTCATTTCTGGGTAGGTGTAGATTAAGACAAAGGAGCATACGTACCCGACTCTCGAATATTGCGCTGAAACTATCATATTACGCAGTGCCGCTAGACTTACAACGTCTAGATAGCCGTCCAGCACAGAGAACCAATAATAAGCCTCAATAAGATTCTTGTGGCGAATATTTACAACGGTTCTGGATCACGTGTTTTTGATCACACCGATACAGATTATTGCCTCAATACGTGATAGTAAAGTTCATGTAACTATTTGTCGTGAGCGTGCTTATGTTTTGTCTAGGCGTACCACCAGCAGCAGCTACTCACTAAACTCTCAGAGCCTTTCTCGCCGAATGTCGATTTTTATCTCGTCACTTCAATTATTTAAAGCTATTTTCAGTCACCGAAGCCGCCATTGAATGAGGCGAAAAAGGGAAAGAATGAGTAAACGCAAACAAATGACTTCATTTCTCTTAAATAGGGGTTCTTGATATGGAAAACTAAGATAGCCCCATATGCTGTTAATGCAGCATTTCTGCTCACTCATGAAGCATTTACTACTTCTTTACTAGTTTCAACTAGCCGGTCTCAAGCTTCAATCTATATGACAACGTTTCTTATCTCTCTATCCTCGTCTAAGAAAAACAGGCGCATACATGCTTGTGATTCACTGCCTCCACCCTCTTGCATCCTTCACAAACACAGATGCCTCAAAGGGCCACGGAATTCGCTTTAGTATAGAGTTGCAACTGGAAATCCATCCACTATCCACGCACTACGCTTGGACCAAGTCGCATGGGTGATCAGTGGTCCTCTCAAGACTGATGAGCTTTATCCTACTGCTCAGTCTTCCTTGTTTGCATGCATATCGCATCATCGCATCTCCAATGACGACCCGTGATCTTCTACATAGTACCTACCACATATCTGACGTGTGGAAATTTCTAGAAAGATACCATAGGTGCAATCTGTACCGTTGGGAACGCGAACAGTATCGTGCCGGCATACAGTCCCAGCTTCTGGAATCCTGTGCATAAACCAGATATCTTACTTTTTTTTAACAAGTCAGCTAATGTTCTCCTAACACTGATAAATCAAAAAGAAGATACGCATGTTGTTTCCTTGATTTTCAAACCCGATTTCTTGCTTTTGGAACTAGGTTGGCCATACAATGGCACGATTTAGTGCTCATGCAACGACAGTGGAAATAAGGAGGTTGGCAGTTGTTGAGTGCTACACTATGACCCCTTCCTTTCCTTTCTTTTTCACAATGTTCTCCGAAGAGTATAAAGCAAAGGGTGCTACGCGTCAAATTGAGTAAACCAGGTTTATCTCAGCCTTGTTCATCCCAGTTTCTTTACCTTGCAGTCAGCTGCCTGGGCTTGTTTTTTCTTGTGAATTTTTTGGTGAATAGCAGCGGCTTTCCATATTCGCAATGCTTTCTTCTCTTCGCACAACAGCAGTACTACTATCATGTTTCATCTGCGCCACAACCGCGCAATCGAATGCCGCTGCGAAATCAGGTACTGCGAAATCAACCACTCCACCACCTCAGGACAACAAAGACGCCCTAGGATCATGGAGTCCGGTCATAAATTTTCCCATCATCCCCGTAGCCGCATACATCGTCCCCGAGTACCCGTCACCAACCCGAATGCTAGTCTTCTCCGCCTTCTCCCCCAACTCCTTCGGCGGCCAACGAGGCATCACGCAATTCGCAGAGTACAACCTAATCAACGGCACCGTCTCTAAACGCGAAGTATCAGAAACAAAGCACGACATGTTCTGTCCCGGCATCAGCTCCCTCGGCGACGGCCGCCTCGTCGTGAGCGGCGGCGCCAACGCCGAAAAAACTAGCATCTACATGCCCTTCACCAACAAATTCGTCCCCGGACCCAACATGAACATCCCGCGCGGCTATCATGCCAGCACCATCCTCTCCACCGGCAACATCTTCGCAATCGGCGGCTCCTGGAGCGGCCCCGTCGGCGGCAAAGCCGGCGAACTCTACGATGCCAAAGCAAACTCTTGGAAACTTCTCCCTGGAGCAGCCGTTAAACCGATGTTGACTACCGACCACGAAGGCGTCTACCGCGAAGACAACCACGCATGGCTCTTCCCCTGGCGCAACGGCTCTGTCTTCCAGGCCGGCCCCAGCAAAGCAATGAACTGGTACTACACCGATGGAAAGGGGGACGTCCGTTCCGCCGGCATACGCAATCCCGTCAACGACACAATGTGCGGTGTGAACGTCATGTACGACGTCGGCAAGATCTTCACGGCCGGAGGAGCACAGTACTACTACAAAGCGCCCGGTCTGCGCGTTGCGCATATGATAGAAATCGACAAGGTGGGTGCGCCCGCTAAAGTACAGCGACTACCGGATATGAAGCATGCGCGTGTTTTTGCAAACGTGGTTGTGCTGCCTGATGGAAAGATACTGGTCACTGGGGGTCAAGGTGTCGCCGAAGGCTTCACAGACTTGGAACCTGTTTTCAATCCGGAATTATTTGATCCGGCAACACGTACCTTCACCGAATTATCGCCTGAAGTCGTGCCGAGAAACTACCATTCTGTAGCGATTTTGCTGCCGGACGGAACGGTGTTTACGGGTGGTGGTGGACTCTGCTGGGATGACGGCTCAGGAAGAGTGTCGGAGCCGTGTCGCAATACGGTTGATCATCCTAACGGCCAGATCTTTACACCGCCGTACCTTACTACTGGTGCGCCGAGACCGGTTATCGAGAATGTTGCTTCGACGAAGATTGCGCCGGGTGGGCGGCTGGAAGTCACGATGAAGGGAAGTGCCAAGGATGTTTCCTTTTCGTTGATTCGGATTGGAAGTGTGACGCATAGTATCAATACGGATCAGAGGCGTGTTCCGCTCGAGCCAAAGGTCGATGGTGGCAAGGTTACACTACCTATCTTGAATGATCAGGGCGTTATGCTACCAGGCATGTGGTATCTTTTTGCTGTTAGTGAAAAGGGCGTGCCGAGTATTGCAAAGACGATTCATATGCAACAGGTTTAAGTGAGTTGAAAGATTTCGGTTATGTTTTGGCGTTGACGACGAAAACGATAATGAGAGTAATGATGCTGACGTGTAATGAGTTGATTTTTTTCTTTGTCGCAACTGTGCGGCAATGTTGTTCGCTTTTCCCATTAATATTTACATTGGACTGACAGCACCTGCTGCTCAATGCATAGAAGCACGAGACGGAGATTGTCATATACTTAGATACGAGAAACGTCATATACTCACGATAGTTAATGAATCACAAAGGTCCTCTTTCCATATCTTGCAGTGTATCCCGCGCACTATCAGCCTCCGAGCCCTCATTCAACGCATTCGTCTTCTTCTCGACCACGCTCTTTTCCTTCTTTTCCGCAGCTGGTGGAATCTGCGCAACCCAGAACTTTGGATACTGCCTCTGCACGTTCATCAAAAGCACCGCACTCACCAGCACTATAGTCGAGCTTAGTAGCAACACGGGTAGGTAGTACCACCTCAGAGCCCAGATGTGCGGGTCGATGCAGGGAAGCAGTGCTGTTGCGCCTGCAGGCGGATGGGTTGTTTTTGTGAGATGCATGATGACCAAGGCAATGGCTGTTGCGAGTGAAGCTGCGAGCCATTGGAGACGAGGGAAAGGCTCGGATTCGAGATCAAACTGGAAAATTGTGGCGATGATGACGCCAATTAGGCCGCTGAAAAAGTGGCCAAAGACCAGGGAACGTGGCTGAGCAAGAGGCACATCAATGGCGCCGTAGCAGAGAATTGCTGAGGCACCCTTTTGGAGAATATTGTCAGTTTACAATACTTTGCGAATCGTGTTCCAGTGTCCAATTCCATGTTCTGAATTCCATCTCTTCCTCATTTTCTCACTGCAACCCTGGACTGCACGCGACAAGATATTGAAGCAGGACTTACAAATGAAGCGATAATAGGTGGTACAGCACGGCTTCTGAAGTAGTCTGTATGTCCGAAAATAGCCAAGATGGTACTGAGTCCGCAAAAAGCGCCGATGAATCCCCACAAGCAGACAAGCCACGTGCGGGATGGTGGTAAGGTCTGTGGTCGATACCCGAACCAATGGCTCACGGCTGTCGGAAGACGCGCCAGACCGCGCTGAATAGCCCGCTCAGCTGGGACGAGGGGATCCCATATGGGCATCGTGGAGGCGAAAAGTAATTTCACGTGAGGAGTACCTGTGCGGCGAAAGCGGAGGCGGCGGCGAGGACAACGAAGACGACAACAACGACTGAAACACAGGCTCAAACGACTAGCATCCGGGTGCAAAAGCCTGTACAAATGAGACGCAGCAAGTTCCAAGAGAAGTCAGGAAGCAGGAGAGCCAAGCCACGAGGAAGACGCAAGGAAGAAAAGCTTCGCGGAAAGCATGGACGCGTTAAAAGACTCTCAGAAGGAAGAACCGTCATCAATGCACCCCAGATTCATAGCGCGCGTGGCCGTCCCACTTTTCAATGTCGCTAGCCCAGATCCCGCTGCGGCAGCCGCATCGGATCGTGAGGCCTAGTAAGGTTTGACTTTCCATGGCTGGCTGTGGAGCCTTTTGCCGTGCAACAGCGTAGCCACGTGTAGGCGTGAGAGGAATACCGAGATAGGTCGACATTTCACAGAGTATGCTGTACATGTAGAGCATGAATGCTCGAATAGCCGGCAACACACACTAATACCGTAACTAGAGTTGTTTGTGTATTACATACAAATGATGATTTGTGATGCAGTGTAGATAGAACTCATTAGCTAATACCCCGACCTTGATCCACGTTTCGCGCGAATATCGCCGAGATATGGCCGTAAATTCTTTGCTAGTCCATCTACTTACTGTGTAGATCGCCTCATGCAGATTACCCCAAAACGCCTTGCTACGTTTCATGAAATCTGTCATAAGGTGACATGCTAAGATTCATACCATACAATGGGATGCATCTTCTGTGATCATGAAGTAGCATCGAAGTCAAACTCTTCAAGCCCAGTACCATAGCCATTCCACCAGCCACAGCATTTGTTCATCACCGATATCCTTTCACCTTCTGGGCTCGCAATTTACTCGTATCACCGACATCATCTTCGTCAACTTGGAAACTCGAGTCCCCAACAAAGCCTCGCGCCATGTTCTGTTCATCTCCAAGCAGCCCGTGCCTCTTCAGCCATTCATATACGGGTCTCTTCAGGCACTGAAAAGAACCAACAATGACACCGATTTGCTCTTCGAGCTTGGCTTGTATCGCGGATAGATTTGCGACTCGCATCAAGTCTTCCTGTCTGTAATCAACGATTATGGACATTTGGCAGCAAATGACGCCCCTTGCAAGGAAACCCAGAGCCACGAGAAACCCGCGAAGTACCTTTTCAAACAAACTGCGGTGGGTGTTGAAAACCAAGACGATAAAAACAACGATAGTTTCAGGTTCATAGCGACGTAAATGCCTAGAAAGAGTGTCAGCAGGGTTATCCTTACTATTACAGCACGCTAACATTAACTGTTGAAACCTATCTATACGTAACGATGGAGCTACTATCCCCACAGGTAGAGTAGATGCATGCATTCTAGTTTGGGTTGACAACAGTAGAACCGCGCTGATCAAGAAAAAACGTGCTCGAGCGAAAGAAGCGGAATAGGCATCAAAGAGGGGTGTTAAAACAGACATCACATAATCCGCGAACACGCATATTAGAACAATTATCAGTCATGGAATACTTCATTTTCTTATAAAACGCCGACAGAGACATTATCTATCAAAACGCCCGCAAAAGAGCACCTAAAAATCTAAAAGATAGGAAAATCCAAAAAAAAAGCGAAAGTTAGGCCATTACAGAGTCGCAATCGTGAACAGCAACGAAGAAAAACCCCATCTAGTGCTGGTGTCCAACATGCGAACCACAAGCGCGACCAGTAACAGCGCGGGTAAGAATGTTACCAGGCTTCATGCGCTGAACAACAGGGTTGCTATCAAGCTTCTTAGACTCAGCCTGCCACGCGCTGGGCAGGAAAGTAGCAGACTCATCAGCAAAGACAGCACGGCCACCGACCATGGTCATGAGAACTTTGTTCCTGGAGAGCGCATCGTCGGGCACAGCAGCGGTATCGAAGTAGTCCTTGTCGAGAATGAGGAGATCAGCGAACTTGCCGGGCTCGAGCGATCCGATGCTGGCGGAGCTGTTCAGGTAGGTGGCAGCGGCAGTAGTCATTCCCCTGAGCGCGGCCTCGCGAGAAAGAGAAGGCTGCTGATCGAGACGGCCGACGAACTGGGGACCAAAGCTAGCGTGGGCGTTCTTGTTCTGGGGGTCACCGGCACGGGTGACGCCGATGGCGAGAGCGAGGAAGGGGTCGAGAGGGTCAACGGGCCAGTCAGAACCGTATGCGACGAGGGCGCCAGCGTTGTTGAGGAGACCGGTGGATTGGGCGACGGCCAGGCGGTCGGTTCCGAGGACGAGGGAGTTGTCGCCGGCCCAGTAGGTGGCCTTCTGGGCCCACTGGTATGAGGCGATGACGGGGATACCGAGGTCTTGGAAGCGGTTGCGGTCTTCAGCTGAGACGAGCTCGGCGTGGGCAATGCCGATGTCGTGGGGGGCAAAGGTTCTGTTCATCGAGGTAGCGACGTCGAGGATGGTTCGGACGGCCCTGTCACCACTGGCGTGGACGTGGAGACCCATTCCGGCGTCCAGAGTCAAAGTAAGGAGTTTCTGGAGCTCGGTTTGGTTGGTGTTGGGAAGACCGACGTGGTTGCCTGGGACCCAGTTGCCCTTGGAATCTTTGATGAGGTAGGGGTTGAGGAGCCAGCTGGACTCGGAGGAAGAAGGCAGAATACCATCAATGAAGAACTTGACGTTGCGCCATTGTTGGCCTGGAGTGGCGACGAGAGCCTCGTCCAACTGCTTCCTGCTCGCCACTGCTTGGCTCATGATTGTTGGGAAATCAGTGCTTCCAAAGATACCAAAGTTGTTGAAGACGCGAGCAGTCAGTTCATTGGTAGACTTGAGGCTGGACCAGGCTGTGTGTGGCGTCTGGAGTGCGTCCAAGAAGCTGGTGATACCCTTGCGGCGTAGCTGCGAGATCGCCGCAGTGGCGGCATCCAGCTGGGCAATGCCACGGTCTCCCATGAGAGCTCGGATGGGAACAACAGCGTTTTCCTCAAGCATACCAGTGAGTTCGCCTTTGGCGTCACGTCCGATGTTACCGCCGGGGGGGTTAGGTGTGTCGCGGGTAGCATTAATGAGCTGAAGAGCTCTGGAGTTGACGAAAATGTTGTGCTGGCTGGAAGCAATGATAGCGATTGGCCGAGTGGTGTTGAGTGAGTCGAGCATGGATTTGTTGGCTCCTCCGTTCAGGGTAGTGAATCCTTCACGATCCCACTCAGTGACGGTCAAAAGGTCATTCTGGCCAGGCTGCGAGTCAATGCAGGCTTGAATGATCTTGCGGAGACCCTCCGGAGAGAGCTGTTGGAAGCGCAGAGTACATCCAAGCATTGCTCGGCCAGCATCGAGGGGGTGGATATGGGCATCGATCAGGCCAGGGATCATTGATTTGCCGTTCAGGTTGACCACCTTGGTTGCGTCTCCAACAGCGGGCTTGCAGTCCTCCTCTTTACCAACGCATGTGATTGTGCCATTCGTAATGGCCAATGAACCTGCGGTGATGGTGTTGCTTTTGTCGTCAAGAGTGTGGATAACTCCATTTACAAACACTGTATCGGCGACGGGCAGTGAGGCAGCACGAGGAATAGTGCTACTCAAAGCCGACCCTGCCAAGCTGGCAAGCAATAGACCTTTGATAGCTTGGGACATCTTGGTGTGATCCGAATGTCGAGTCGGTTATTATGAAAAGCAATGAGGAAAGCGAACTGGCTGGAGAGAGGAGAAGGTGTTGAGAACGAGTGAAGATCAAAGCAGGTTGCTGATGATGCTCCTCTAATTTGCAAACAGTCGTTAACTTATACATTTGCCCAGCCTGCTACGAAAACAAGACGTCACCTTGGTGTCTGCATTGGCTCTCCTGCACAGTCCTGCGCGTACACTGTGTAGAGCGTTTAGGCGAGGGACGCTAAGCCTCACAAAGTACAGTATCCAAAATCCGCCAGGCAGGGCCCTGTAGCTGCCCACACCGAAAGAATACGACGGTTACTATTTGCAGCGCTACATGTCCCCAGTGTTCTTTCAGGATACTGGGAAATGATAGTCAAGTGCGCAGTAATGGTATACGCAGCTATAGTATACGCAACTATATGGGGTAGTCCCATACGCAGCTATGGTATACCTCGCATGGAACTTCCCTAAACGGCTAGTCAATACAGGATGGTAAAGGCTTAGCTTGATACCATGACGGACTTCCAGCCACATCCCTTGAAACCGGTGAGGCTCGTCTCCCGTATAAGCATGTTGCTGTGCCAAGTACTGTTGCACATTAGTGCAATTAAAGTACAGGCTAGAACATCTTGTTTTAGATCGCTAAGGCTACTAGAAGTTGATAACTAGATGAGAGTATTTGGACATTGAATCTATGAGCGGTTGAGACTAAGCCTATTTGGGTGATACATCGAACCATATATGCTGAGCCACAATTCTGACAGGTAAGTAGTAGTTCCATAGCTGATGAACATTAGCAGTCTTCTTGAGAGAACCCAGCCTCTGCCCATCGCCTATTTAGGAAGGTATTCTGGCTGTTAATCGACACTAGGATAGCCTTGGAAAGCCAGAAATGGCTCTCGCACCATGTCTGGAGATTGGTTCATGCGTCACCGTCGGCCCGCGCACATGCACCCGGCGCTGCCCTGAATTTCCGCCCGTACCCATGAGCATTCTAACCATTTGTCCTGTTTGATTATACGACAGACCCAGTCCCTCCTTGAATGCATGCAAACGTTGTAGTATGACTTGCATACGCACGCGAGGGCCCACGTGATATCGGACTGTCTCCCGCCAAGCCGGAACCTATCAAACTGGACCCCTAGCGGGCGCTAAGCTGCACAGCCAGGGATGTTACGTTGACATTACGAAGACAACACTATGGTGCATTGGGATCAACCTCGTCGACCGACTTTAGGCTTTCCTTTCCAAGACAAAGTCAAGACGTTATAAGGCGGTGATGGTCTGGGCTTCGAAATTTTTAGAGAGGAAAATATACGCCGGTGTGCGAAATAGAGGCTTAGATCTAGCCATAGTGTCACAAGGGCTAACTGCGGACCAACGCTCTGTAAATCGTACGAGAGGTACCTGCCAAGAGCTAATGTTGATCGGATTGGCCGTATACCAAGACTTTGGTAAACGGTTTGTAAAAAACCAGTTGATGTGATCGGTGAAAATCACGTCTGTCCTATTTTCATAATTCGGGTAGAATTTCGCATAGAATACCATGGAATATTATTTCCAGTCGCCACTCCATATGTCTTGGTAGCATTGCTACATTTTTGCCCCCTGGCAAGCTTTTGGACCTGCGCAAGAAACGGAGGGGAACAGTAGGATCCTTGCTAGTACATGCCTGTCGCACAAATCTCTTCCGCCAAGCCCATACTCTAGACAGCGAGCTATGAGAACACCAAGGATTTCCTCGTCCTGCTGCCGCTTGCCCTGAAACTCATTGTTATGGACAACCGACTTTCTCCGTTGGTGCCTGAGAGACCTGGGAATTCAGGCACAAGGCATAACTGTCTGGATGTAATCTTTCTACGGAAATAATTCTCGGTAATATACCTTGCGGCTTTTAATCACTGGACGCAAGTGGCAGGACATCCGTCTTACTGACCATTGCTGTGACCGTGTCAGAGTTGTGACGCATGTGTAGAGCCCTATTTAACTCATGTGTGCGTATATCGTCTTATGGCTATACATTAAAGAGACAAGAGATGTCACATGGCTCTAGCGAGGCTCCAGTATGTCACATAGGAATGCATCCCAGGAAATTCTCAACGCGCAGAATTTTCGCCTCTTCATCTGCATGTCTTGGTAACATGAATAGAAGTCTAGGTGAACTATATTAGACGATCATTTACGTCAAAAGGTCTTGTGTAGGCAGTGCTAGAACGTCCAGGCCCTTGAGGCGGTGTCAGCCCCATAAGGCTAGTTTCCGGTCCGACCATTTAGGTCCGCATCCCTTTTTTCCAGCCATATCCTAGCTGACAGATCCATTGATAATCCTCCATTTCCAACCGCATTGACTAAGATGAACGTGATCACCCCACGGATCGTTCTGGATCTTCGCAACTACGTAAGTATGAGGATCTGTAGCGGCGCCCTGGCAATCCCACCACCGGCCCGAAGTGACCATTCAGTAAGTCCGTGAAACCTAGCTAGTTGAATTCTTTAAGGCTTCTCTGTTGAATCCTCGACACACGACTCGTATTGCAATTTGCCAAGATAACGGGTGCACCGAGCCAAGTATACGCTCGGCTGATCTGTTCTTCCGAGCGTGGGACTATTAGTAGTATTTCGGTGTAGCCGCATGGTCATACTTAATTCAGCGCATTTATTAGCTAGCTGTTGTTGCACACGATCATGTTAAATCGACTACAATCGGCCCTCACTTACCAACTTTACATATGTTCCTCATTTTCTCATGCTCACACGCCTTTTCATTATACCGAAAACACTGAACATTGAGCAAGCTGCGTTGATAATCCCATTGTCATTTTCTTTTCCAAAGTAAAGTCAGAGCATACAGTTGTGTATTGAAGGTTAGAGTACTTTAGGATCAAGAATATCGAAGTTAGCTTTGTGCCGCAGCCAACGTGCCACAAACAAATACACTCCTCTATGGTTTTTACTTAGTCACCTAATCAACTTGTTCTCCAAAACCCTAGGATATAGTCAGCCTTACACCCTAGTGCTTACAATCCCCAGCATCCTACCCGATGCCCGCTGATTGGTCTATGACATCATGCCCCTCCCCCCACTAACCACACCACAACAACCATCTTTACCTGAACACCCCGCCAACCATACGCATTCCAAGTCCTCCACCCACTCCTCTAATCCCATGATCCTCTGATCTTATATCCCACCAAACCCACCAAGCCCAACCCCCCCAAAAAATAGCCAAGATGGTCAAATGCCCCGAATGCGACGCAAACGCCGATCTAACAAAAGACGGCGCATGGGCGCATTGCGCTTCTTGTAAGCCTTCCTTACTACACCCCCCCCCTCCCCCCTCCCCTCTCCAAAACAGCCCAGAACCCTTTTTTTCTTTTTCACTAAAACTTTGTAACAAAAAGGTAATACAATCTTCGAGCCAGGAAAAGAAGGCAGTCACTATCGAGGCGGGGGCAGCGGGTCTGGTGATAAGGAAGAAACGAAGAAGAAAGAAGAAAGTAGTAGTGAGAGCAAAGATGACGGGAAGGGGAGTTAGTAATGGGGGTTTTTTTTGAGAGGGTTTGAGGGGTGGTGTGGCGCAAATTACTTGCATATGCGGGAAATCGAAGGCGAGTATGATGGGGGTGGGGGGAAGTGCGTGCGGGGAAGTTAGACGCGTCTGTGTTCCCCCCCTCCCCTCCTCTCCCCGCGCTTTGGGAGGATAACGGGGGAGTGTAAAGTGGGTATGAGATCGGCATACGTTTGAAATCGAATGATAAATGTCTATAGGAATACTACAAATACTTCTTTTTTAATACCGCGTTTCTCAGTCATACATTTATATCTTGAATTCTCGTTAGAAATCCACTTACAAATAAAGGGAGCTTCTCCTAATAGGAACCATCATTCAGACGATTATTCTCCAGAGAAAAGAAGAAGAAGAAGAAAAAAAATGCAAAACCCAAACATAATCCTCTACGCCCCTCACACCGCGAAACTAGAAGATAAACCTATCCCTACCCTTTCTTCACCTCACGACGTCGTCATACGGATAAACTACATTGGCGTCTGCGGCAGTGATGTATGTCCTCCCCCTCTCCCCTTCCACCAAAAACACTCCCCCTCTAACACGCAACTTCAAGGTCCACTTCTGGCACCACGCCTCCCTCGGAAACCCCATAAACCCCTCTACAGGTATAACAATGGGCCACGAAGCCTCGGGCACAATCCACGCCGTCGGGTCTAGCGTAACCCGCGTCTCGCCGGGTGACCGCGTCGCCCTCGAACCCGGCTCCCCGTGCCGCCTCTGCTTGGCCTGTAAATCCGGATCGTACAATTTATGCCGGAAGATGCGGTTCGCTGCTTCACCAGGAAGCCCGGATACGCAGGGGACGCTGTGCAAGTTCTACGTCTTGCCTGAGGATTTGGTGTATAGGATTCCCGAGGGGTTGGGACTGGATGAGGCGGTGCTTGTGGAACCGTTGGCGGTGGGGGTGCATAGTGTTAAGCTTGGTGATGTGAGGGCTGGGGAGACGGTGGTGGTGATGGGGGGTGGAACGGTGGGGTTGTTGTGTGCGGCTGTTGCGGGGCGGTTTGGGGCGATGCGGGTTATTGTTGTGGATGTTTTAGAGGGCAAGTTGGAGTTTGCGAGGGGGTACTTGGGATGTGAGACTTTTCTTGCGAGGGGGGAGGAGAGCGCGGAGGAGAGTGCGGAGAGGTTGTTAAGGACGTTTGGGTTGGGGGTTGAGAGCGTGGATACTGTTATTGAGGCTTCGGGGGCGGCGAAGAGTATTGAGACAGGGATTCTGGTGCTGAGGCCTGGGGGGAAGTTTGTGCAGACGGGGTTGGGGAAGGCGAAGGTGGAGTTTCCGATTGTGGCGATGTCGCAGAAAGAGCTTATGGTTAGGGGGTGTTTTCGGTATGGGCCTGGTGACTATGACTTGGCGATTCAGATGTTGGATAAGGGGCTGGTTGATGTAAAGCCGCTTATTAGTTCGGTGACTCCGTTTGAGCAGGCGACGGAAGCGTGGGAGAAGACGTCGAGGGGTGAGGGGATCAAGAATCTCATCCAAGGTGTGGTTTAGCTGTTTGTGGGCCACTTGGAATATATCGTATGGGCCTGGGCACTACACGAGACCTCTCATCTAGTCATCATATCTCCTCTTTCTCTTCTTTCCCGCATTGATCTTCACCTCTCGCTCATCGCCGTCCTCTTTTGTAATTCCTGGCAGCGGAAAAACAAACGTTTCCATCTTCTCGCCATGAACAGCCCAAATACCATTGACCCAGCCCAAATTTCTCAGGCAGCAATTTCGTTGGGCCCGGTCTTTTGTAACGCCAATATCATCGCATATGTCAACGGCTAGGCTCACAAGCCGTTCTTTATCGTAATCATGCAGACCGTTGTCAAAGCTTGCAAAAACCTTTACTGGTCTGGTTTGAGGAACACAAATAGCTGATTGACTGCTTTCCACATACTCCCCAGGCTGGATGAAGAGAGCGACCGGCTCGGCACCCTGAGGCGCGGACGCAAGTCGTGCAAGGCGAAGCTCCGTTCTGGCTACAAGAGCCCGGTAGATCGCATACATATTATCTAGTACATAAGATGTAGATGCATAACCTTCTCCTTGGCGTGGCGGGTGCTGATCCAATTCGATATGTCTGCGCATATGACTGACAAGCTTACCATTCGGCCACGCTCTCTCCAGTTTGTCCATAAGTATCTCAAGCACTTGACAAGCAACGTCGTCAAGTTTGCGCTTTCCGGTCTTCCGCTCTGGGGGCGACCAAGTGACCGTGTCTGAATCCGTGAGAAGAAGTATATCCCATTGAGCCCCCTCATCCTCCAATTGTTCGTTGGACAATAAGTCAAAAAGATATCCTTTTGTCTCAATCCCATACCGCTTAATGATTGGCGATACGAAGCGACAGCGATTGATAAAAGTTTGATGACGTATCCGGCCCGGGGCAGTGAAAATAGGTTCGCAAGCGTTGAGGTATGATGGCAGAGTATGGCTCAGAATGTTGGCTTCAGTAGGAAATTCAGATGAGCGATCAAGCAAAGGCCATGTGACTGAACGCCCAGGGACATTCTTCAATATCTCCCCGTTCATCAAGATGAGGGTAAGAAGAGCGGCAGAAAGACTGAAGGTCCCAGATTCAACCAAAGGCGATCCCTCTCCAGTGTTGAGCCGCTTTTTGCACTTCAAAGAATTGGCGAGTATGGCGATCCTATCTGACTCTTTCTCTAAGGAGCGGTTACTAATGTCATCTAGTACGCTTGCAGTCGTGGTTGGATACGCGTAGATCTTAGATGGGTCGGACTGCGTGGTGGACTTGCTAGCCTCACTACCAAAACTTGACTCGACATCCCAGGGATACGATGCAAACGCCACATTATGAACGATCTTGTTGCAAATGTTGTACTGCGTCACTTTTGCTAAGATCTCGGTACTGGGCCATCGTACTTTACCCGTGGTACACGCTCGACAAAACAACGTCACAGTCTGTCGGAAATCCTTGAGCTTTACCTGAAGCTCGCCTGGTATTTTCCCAAAGTTGTATTGGCCACTCTTATCGAGCCGCAGATTATATGGGATAAGCAACACCATCTTTTGAGAAGCAAGATGGTCTTCTTGGAAGATCCAGCCGCGCGACCAGCGGGGATCGCTAAGGATGTGAAGAATAAGCATTTGCACGGCAGTGATATCGACCTGAGGTCGCAGTTTTGGATCGTCCTCGTCTTTGGGGTCGATGAAGAGTGACCTGGAAAGCAGATTCGAGAGTATATCAATCTCGTGCTGGTCTTGGATCTCGACAGTTAGTATGCCGACTGAATGTGTGCTATCACCGTAAACCACGTCCATAATCTGAACACCAAGCTCCTGGTCTTTCGGCGACGTGCGCTTGTCTTCCGGTCTTTGGTATATACACTCTATGTCAACCCATAGTCTTGTAATTTTGACACTTTGTGCATATCGAACAACCCGGTCCATGTAATGATCCGGAAATCCACTCTTGTGCGACTTTTTACCTGGTCGTTTGATCTGGTAGCGGAAAATAGGCGGGTTCATAGTACTAGAGACGGAATTCGGGCGAGCCTGAGGCCATTTATAAGAGACGGCAATATACCTGTCGCCAGTATCGTCTTCGCGCTTTGTTATAGGGACATCGTAGGATGGTGGTATTCGTTCAAAGAGCGGGTCCTTCTCTTCTGACCGAGAGCAAAGACGTTCCTGCTTTAATTGTTCGGTCTGCAAGTCTGGAATTTTTGATATATCGAGGAAGCGTAGGTTTTCTACCCACTTTTCAGACTCGTTTCGGTCACATTGATATTCTTGGATCTCTAAAAGTTGATTACGGAACGCGTCAATGTCGTTGTTGAAGATTTCGCCAAAGGTCTTGTGGAGATCATTCTTCATTGCGATTGCGCGAGACAAGGATGAATTGTAAAAATATTATGCAGTTGGATGAGAGCAGAAGCGAAGGAACGTGTGCGGCTGAGACGCGTGCAAGCGCGTCTTCACGTGAAGGCTTGGCATCGCGCTGTCGTGACCAGATGCAAAGGGTCGGTCAATCAAAAGTAAGCATGCTTTAGCTCGTGTAAGGGCATGAGTTTAAGAGTATACCTAGTGTCACATGAGACGTGTAGTGCATGTGAACAAGCAAAAAAGATGTATCCGCATTCCCAAGCAAGGCTGTAGTTGGGTAGCAGTCGACGTTTAACGATAATGCCATTCGATGAGATATACAAATACATCTACGTATCAATTAAATAAACTTCGTACACATCCATCTATAACTTCGCCTTCGCATCCCCAACATTCGCCTTCTTCAGCACCGCCTCCAACTTCGTCGCCTTCATCACATTCCCCTTAACCTTGAGCTTCCCACTCATAAACAACTTCTGCGCATTCGCTTTGCCCACAACCAACTTGCCAAACTCCTCTTCGGGGAGTGTAAGCGTCACATCGGCTTTCTTGTCTGAGGGCGCAACACCCTCACCAACGGTACCGCTCTCCTTGAGGTCAATGTACCATTGTTTTTGCTCGCCGGCCTTGTTCTTGAGGTTGAAGGAGAAGATGGCGCCGCCAGTTTTGATGGCGTCTTTGCGCGCGGCTTCGGTGGAGAGGGCGGCGGCGATGTGGTCGAAGGCGACGGAGGCGGGGAAGGCGTCTGGAGAGGGTTAGTTGTGTTCGGATGATAAGCTTGGGATGCGAGTGTTTTCATACCGTTCTTGAGAGACATGATGGCTATGTGCGTGTGCGTATGCGTGTGTATGCGCGATGTTATGTTGTGTTTGTAGTAGAAGCTCCAGGCTACTTGTTACAGATGTTGATGGGTGGGCGCACAGAAAGCGAGTTGGGGGTTTGTGTGTGGAGAAGTGCAAAAGGGGCACGGGGACAACGGGTATATAAAGGCGTCTGGAAGCTTGTGAGAGGGATAATGATGTGATTGTCCGCGAGCCTTGAATCCGGGGAAATGACCTCAAGCATGTGAATGCGATCAGCCAAGACCCCGTGGGACTTCATATGATCAATGCCGAGGCATTGCCGCTTTGGGGCTGAGCACGTGGATGCGGGTTCGGGAGCGCTAAACTATGTTTGGGGGTCCAGTAAGAACGTCTCGCATCTCTTGCCATTATTTGCATGGTAAGGTCCAGGGTGTACATGCTGTAAAAAGTGTATTATAATATTGATTATGGAGCTTTCAGTGATATCCTGCCTACCTACTGTTCGTGCTAAGCTACATTGGGAACGCACCGTCACACCGACGATGCCTTCTGTAATACTGAAGGCTGTACCTTCTACACATGCGAGTAATTTTGAGTTTGGGAACAACTTCAAGACATGGCGCAAAAGGATAACGAAGAGATTTTTTCTATTCAAGAATCACAATATCTATCGACTAGTCTTTTACGCAACCATGAAATCATAAGCACATGTAGTATAGTCGTAAAGGGCCATCATCGTCATCGTCATCGTCATCTAGACATATGCGCACGCCAACAAACCAACAGAGTAAAAAGAAACAAATGACAAAGGAAAAATCTAAAAACGATAGGACAGGTCTATCGACCCAGGTAAGAGAGGGGAGAGTCATGATAGGAAAAAGATAAAAAACGAGAGAGAGAGAGAGAGAGGAGAGGGATATACCACCAACATCAACACGCCATAACCGCGCCACCACCCTGCTTCCACCCAGAAAGATGAAGCAACCGCTTACTCCCACCCCAAAAGCTATCCTTGTTATTGTTCGGCGCCATCCCACTCTTATGCCTCGGTCTCCCCAACCACCTCGAAAGCGCATGCTCCCTCCTCTCCCGTCCACTCGCCATCTCAATCGCGCTCTCAACCTCCTGCATCAGGGGCCCCATAATCCTGGGCTCGGGCGGCGCAATCTCGACGGGAGACAGCATGATCGGCACATCCATGACCTCGTCTTTGTACTGCTTCCAGCTGTCGCTGCCGGAGATCCAGGTGAGGGGTTCGAGGGCAATGTCCCAGTCGCCCTCGCGGAGCTTAACGTCTTCAAAGTTGAATTCGCGGAGGGTGTTGTTGTGCTTGAGGATGAAGTCGGTGATTTGGTAAGAGTCCATGATGGCGTTTTCGAGTTCCATGATGCGTAGGCGGGGGAAGGTGAGGGGGCGGGGGCCATGGGGGAGGGTGCGGAGAGAAGGGTGCTGAGTGCTTTGGTCCTGGGCGGGGAGCATGCAGGGCTCGAGGTCGAGGGATAGGGGGGAGGGGCCGCGGGCGCCTTTCCAGCGGAAGAAGACGCGGGTGAGATTGCGCGAGAGGGTCGCGAGGTAGGCATGTAGGATGCGGAGGTGCTCTAGGGATTGAGTGCGGGTTCGCAGGGATGTTGATGCAAATGGCACGCTCTCCATACAGATAGAGAGTCGGCGGATTTGTCGCCAGCGCTTGGCGGACGATGGTGTGCTACCCAAGCCGTGCATGGGGTGGAGGTAGAGCAGGCCACCCGGGTGGATGGGAAGAAGCGACAGGGCAGATAGGCTGTATAGTGGCGCGCGCTCAATGGCAATGCGAAGAGAGATGAGCGCATAGTCGACAACACCACGGCGATGTCTATGGGCACCGGTAGATCCCGGGCATGAGACTTTGAGATGAGTGAGGTTAATGAGTTCGGAAAAGGCAGCGCAAAAAGCAGGGACGTTAGTAGCGGCATGGAACAGAGGCGGGTACTGCTTGATGAGCAGATTTTGCAGCTCCCAGCTGCCGTACTTGGGTGCCTTGTCCTTGGCTGGACCACATTGAGGGACTTGAACTTGCGGCTCATAGAGAAATTGCTTCTCTGCGCCAGTCAATGGGTCGATGATGGGTGGTAGGCAAGTCTCTGGGGTATGGGGCATGTAAAAGGTAAAGGTCTTGACATGGCGACCTATCCTTGAAAGCGCCTCCATGCGTGCAGGCTTGGTAAAGGTAGAAGTCTTGAACGTCACAGTCATCTTTTCAAAGAGTCGCGGTGCGGCTTTTGATGAGAAGTCGTGGCATACAAGGCGCAAGTTGGCCAGGTCTTCAGACTCGATGCGGTTAAGTACATTTTCGCGACAGTCATCGTTCAGCCAGAAGCGCAAGAAGACGGAGCTCGTAGAGAGCACCAGGTTGCAGATGGAGCCATTGGATGGGATTGCTTTGGTTTGGTTAATATGTGAGTGCATGGTCCCGACAGAGGCCTGCTTACATCTTCCATCAGCGCTCGTCACCGGACTAAGTGGAATTTCACCAAATAGTAGCTTGGAGCTCGATCGCGACACGGTAGTAGCAGCGCTGCCATGGCTGCCATGACTGTTATGGCTTGCTCCTGAATTCGATCGCTTCAGCGGCGGGGGCGTTCGTCGCTGTGAGTACATTTTGGGTATAGTAAATGGTGTGGCATGCAAAAGCGGGTATCGATTGGTTGCAGGTTGGGTATAAATTCGTCACGGAATCAATCTCGTAGTGAATTTCAAGAATATTGTGAGAGTCGTGTCAAACATCCAGCATTCGAGCAAGGCAAAAAAAAGTAAAAGTCCTCAGGAAACAAGACGAGAGCAACGGCCATGGCCTTCGTCGAAACGGTATTTACCTTCTCTGGCCATGTTGCAAAAAGCGGGGCGGGATCCACGCTACACGCGAGCATGCAAGTGTGAGTCAAAGATGGGTTCCCGTAGGGGCCAACGAGGTTGCCAGCGGATTTCCAGGAGTTAACGCAGAGTAGGCGCAGAATTGATGGGAAAACACGACTATGTCGCGGTGCGAGAACGTGTATATATGGTGTTTGACGCGACGATTCGACCAAGTGGTCCAGTAGAGCTGCAGCCAAGGCCGGGCTTGAAACAAATCGAGCCGGGCGGCCAATGGGCAGACGAGGCGCAAGAGACGGCGCATGGAGCACTTGCAGTAGTCGTGCATGGTGTTGACGGCCATGTCGAAGAAGCGGTGGCTGGGCATCTGTGACTGGCCCTCAGCCCTCCAGTGCGCGTGTAGGCCTGCTAGCCCGTCGACAAGCCAGGCACGACGCGTCGGGTAGGGTGTGTTAGTGGCCTGCACGTTGTCCGGGAGAAACGCGATTCGACGAAACACCACAACAATAAACACCTTTTAGGAAGACTATTCGCTTTTGTTTCACGGACCGGGCCCCGTCAGAAACGTGGGATGCGAGGTTATCGATTGCTAGCCGGCAAGGCGCGAGACGAGGCCGCAGTGCCATGTGGCGTGGGCAGTGTCAACACCACGCCCGTCTCGTGGCCGCCAGCCTTGCATTCTGTTGGCACCTGGCCCATACACGTCACATGACCCACCTCCTCGCCCTGACAATCGCTGTTGTTGTCATTGCGAAAACACAACACACACACACACACACACACACACACACACACGCACAACACAACAAGATCGCGTAAATGCCTCGCGTGCATAGTGGCTTCTTGCCACCATGCCACGGTGCCATCCACATAGCCTCACCCGTCACGCCCACCACACATACCCCGCACCCTTCCAAAGGGGCCGTCCCGTCTGCAAAAAAGAATCAAAATCCGGCACCCTCATGATTGGACACTAGCCTCGACGTGCACCTCGCCAAATAAAGACACTGTTTCATTCTGCTCCACTTCCTCCCCCATGTTTCCACAGTGCCATGAACAAGAATAATTATTGGATACAAAGCCAAAACATCCTCTTCTTCACACCCTCTTGCATGTCCCCACTCTTGCTTCCGCTTTCCGCACGCGCTTGAGACCTCTGTCGCAGCCCAGGCATCTTCCTGGCTATTGTATGGCCCTCTAGAACTGCTGCACTGTCGATCCGCGGCCGGACTCTCCCCTGTTCTGCCCACTGACCAGACCCCCTCATCGTCTCTTTTCGTCCGCGAATCCAGACCCACCTTCGGGCACAGGAGGTGGCTGGTAACTACCCCGATACCCATTGATGGGCGGAAGGTCCTGTCCAACTGCGTCTTCGTAGCTCGGTGGTGCATCCTCGTATGACGGTGCATTTTGAGCCTGTACGGGCTGCCCGGCAAACGCGTTGTTGTTGGCAAAGCCCACTTGTGGTGAGGGGGGAGTATGCGGAGCCTGTCCGTACTGCGGAATATGAAGTGTCGCCGGCTTCCCGGCTGCTTGTGCATTGAACCCAGCCTCTAGCAATGCTTTCGGAGGCGCAATGCCCGAAAACACCTTGACTGGCAATCGGAGTGGCAAGACAATCAGTTGGTCCTCTCCATGCTTGTAGCTCCCATAGCCAAGACCAACCCGGATTTCCAACTCGTAGAAGCGAGACAGATTGCACGTGGTGAAGCTGGGTGATACTGTATTGGGCACCGGCTTGCCAGACCAGTACTCGGGATTGATTGGAACTTCAGTGTCTATGGGGTCTGTTGGCAACCCAAGTGGTATCGCCATGTTGCTGAAAGAACACAATATCCAGCTGTTCGACTCTGTACGCGCCACTTCATGTGCTTTTACTCTCGTATATCCAATCAGCTCAACCTGCAGCATTTGCAGATAGATGTTCTTGCTGCGGGGGCTAACATTCTTGATAAGCACTCGCAGCGGAAGGTCTTGATTGATTGTAAGAATTGCAGGGTTTGGCAGCCGTGCATCAAGAGCTACGCGTGGCCCCATATTGCCCGGCGGCTGTGCCGACCGCATGCTTGCCGAAGAACTCTTACGGTCCAGGAAGCTGGGCATTTTGCTTGCTGCTACGCTCACAGCATTCTCCAAGAACTCATGCTGCCTTCTTGCATATGCCTCGCCGTCTGTCCGCTCTGGCCGAGGTGGTTCAATGGGAAGAAACGTGAAGTTTGCAATTGCTCGGGGGTTCTCCTTGAAGAACGACGGCCTACTGACTGTCACCTTGACGAAGTAACGTATCTCGGCCTCGCCAGGGAAGCCACTCAAAGTGGGCGGTAGTGTAGCCTTGATGTGCTGTGTTGGTGTCTTTGCGAACTCGGGAATCGTATTCGAAAAGGAAACGGTCGAGATTGGGTTGTTTGTTTGCTGACATTGCGTATTCATAGGGAGCTGCAGTCAAGGTTAGCTCTTTGCATGACTGTCATTAAGCCGTGGGCATGCAGCATTCTTCGCACCTTGAATTGAAAGGGATATTCATATGAACCAGCATTGATGGTAAAAGCTGATTTCGGATTGATGTCTTCCGGGCGCACATTTGTTGGCCATACCAACAGCGTCTGGTACAGGAACTTGTGTATCTCTAGGACGGGCCTCTGCTTGTCGGGTCTGTTTGGATGTACGGGCGCCAGCAGTCGGGTCCTGCTCTCGCCCTCGAGCTTGACGATAATGCTACTGAGGTTTGTCGGATTCGGCACGCGCAAAGAGACTTTGCCTTGTATGACATCGAGATTGGTGTAGTGATCGTGCGGGTGCTCCAGCACTATGTTGACAATCATTTTGGGCGGAGGTATGCTGACTGGGTTGTCAGGATGATGCCCTCGGGTCAGGCTTCAACGTGTCGTGACGGCGCGCGGTGAGAAGGAAATTGCAACCTTTATGGGCACAGGAGAAGCATGTCAAGGTCAGAAACTAGACTGGTGGAGTACAAGCCAAACCAAGTGCATTGGCGACATTTCTGATGCAGCGGCTAAGCCCGAATTACGCGTGTCACGTCTTGAGGGCGTTTGTGATCACAGCCTGGAATATGTCGCAAAACGGATGCCTGCGGGGGTTCTTTTGGCTGCCTCCCCCGCAGACGTCATGGCGTGAGCTCTGCAGCGACAACACCATGGTAATGACAGACTTGCGCCCGCCATATATAACTAGATATATCAATTAATCGTCATATGTCTTGTCTATTCCCCATTTTTCCATCCTCAATACATGCGCATCTCTCGAGGTGCCATTTTCCTATGCTGGATGACTTGCAGTATTACACAGCCCCATCTACAGCCGCAGTTCCGGCGGAAGCCAGCCCCCCCTGTCTGGATTGTAGTATCGTGCTTCGGCGCAGCAAGGGACTTGTTTGCGGCTGATCCGGCAAGGGTTGGACAAAGTTTGTCTTTTTGGAATATCAAATTGCAAGCTGCCCAACGACTTCGACTTGTGCAAACAAAACAGTCATAGCTATCTTTCCTGAATTTTGCCGATCAGCTGACGGCATTCTGTCTGCATCCTATCGTATTCAAGTGATTACAAGTCTTCCTTTGCTAGCATATCTATAGAGTATCAGCAAAAGCCTTAGAATGATCCGGCCATGGACTGCCTACCGCAGATGTCAAGGTAGAATGCAATGGCGTTGAAGCTAGAGTATGGTCAGCTTCACCTCAAACTGAAGACAAGTTCGGTTATGCATACTTGCGCTTGCTGCCGGTAAGCTCCCAAAAGAACCACTTCAAACGGTTCGTCCAGTTGATCAAGTCCAGATGGCTCACACCAATCAGCGTGCCTTTGTAGTTGCCCCATCTGCTTGATTCTACACTTTTCAATTGCTTAGCCGTTTTCCCATGCACATGCTCAAGCCCATCTAGACACACCTAACCAACCCGTCATTTACACCCTCGATGGGCTTGATAATTGCGTGTGATGGTGCAAATATAGACCACCGGCTGGGCTCCAAGGATGCACCATACGAGTAGTATTTGACATCAGGTACGTCTGGAGTCCTAGGGTTGAAGCCCGTCTTCATATATTCCTGTGTAAGCTGCGAGAACGCTCCAGTCTCAAGTCCAAAGTACTCCATGGCCTTGTAGATACGTTTGATTTGGCGAGCTGGCCGAGTAAGTACAAGGCTTCAAGAGGCACTCATATACATACGACCGATGGTCTCAAACATGTAGTCTGCGAATGCTGACCCCCTATGAGGTGTTGCTATAGTCGTCAGGGAGAGGATTTTGAAATCTGTCGGCCGAAGACGGCTAATCATATATCGTGAATCGAGTCCTCTGTTACAACTTAGCATATGCTTCTTGGCCAAGAAAGCATGTTATTACCCCTAGCCAAACGTCAGTCATTGAATGCCATGTCAGTAGTACCATGCCCCATACCATGCTATGCCTGCCACGCGTTAGCAACATATCCATCAGAGCCTTGATATAGACTTTTCACTTACGCAATGATATTCACTTGCTTGCCCTTTGCTTTGAATGCGATGCTTTCTGCCAGCTTCGCCGATCTGTTCTCTATACTCCCACTGGGTGGAACAGCGGCGACTATAACTTCAATGCCTTTCTTTGCCAATGCATCTGTAATGCCTCGCCAGTACTGAATACCAGGTATAAACTGGCCTGCTAGGCGCAGTTCATCAAACCCCAGCAAGCCATGGGCAAGGACTATAGTGTTTTTCTGCCAGGGTCAGAAGAGATGATGCAGGGTAGATCTGCATGCATACGGGGGCATCTAGACGGCATTAGCTGCTAGCCCTTGGGCTGATGAATGGTTTGTGCGGAAGTACCATATTTTTCGCGCAGCACAGCAAACTCATCTACGATTTCGCGACCAGCACCGGGTATGCGCGGATCTTCTTTGCGCCATTGTGAGCTACTGAACTGGCGGCAATACGTAGAAGTTGGCTTGACAAGGATGTGCAGCGGCCTGGATGCAGGAGAGTGCAAAGTCGCTCGAATACATGTTCCAATCATCGGATCATACAGTGTGTTGAGTGGCAATGATGAGACGCGTTGAAGTTTGAGGTTGCACTCCATGTATGACGTAGGCACATTAGCGAACGTGGGCCAGGGTCCGTGACAACATTGAGAAGCTCATAGCTGAACATACAAAAGGTACTGATGGATGTTGGCGTATCGCATGTCTTTTATGGAAGCAACATAACTTTCAAAACATGTAACTACCGGGTCTTATGTTCTAAATGCGGGCATGGATCTAGGAACTTGGCTGTAGGATCCAGGCTACTGGTATGCGCAGATAATCAAACACAGCGGGTACTGCTGATGTAATCATAAGGAACATATGTACTTCACTTGGTACATATTGAGACTGTTCTCGTAGTGTCTCGTATATTGCATAGAAACTAGAATGTGTAGTTGAACCTTGGCGCTGCAAGGTGCTGTACAGAAAATACCACTTGCTACGCTGCTCAAAGTGCTTGACTCTTTGATGATAAATGCTCTCGATTAACCCGCTTGCATCTTCGAAGGACTGCCCGCCTCTATCCGTCCTTATTTCTTTGGTGGCTCTGGGTGTGCGCTGATAACGGCCTCAATCAACTGGTCAACAACCTTTGCACCTGACTTGTTGCCAATCTCCTCAATCTCCTTGATTTTAGCATCAGTGTCCTTCTTTGCGTCCTCTTCGGCCTTTTGGTTGCCTGAGCTGTGCTGCACTGTTTTCAGCATTCTGAATGTCCCATACATATCGACATGGCTCGACCACGTACCTCCTTCTCAAACTTCTGGTACTCGGCCTCCTTCTCGTTCCTGTAGTCGTCGATTTCCTTTTGCGCTTCGTTTCGGGCGTCCTTTACGCGCTTGGTGCGGTCTAGGCTGGTTAGAGCGGTGCTTTGGTCGGGTGTGTGAAGTCTGATTTACATTCTCTTGCTATCTTGGTGTCAGCGATTGCTTTTGAAAGCTGTTTGCAGAAGCAACATACCTTGCTGGACGATCTTCTGAGCTTCACGCTCGGCCTATGTACCATGTAAGCTATAGTGGAGGTGATAGTGGGTTGCGCAGGCTTACATCGAGCAGGGTCTGGATACCCGCAGAGTTTTGGGCGGACTATGGAGGTCAGCATCTTCTGAGATATTGCGCGCCCTGCCTAGCTCACCATCTTGAGTATTTGTTTTGTGGAGTTGGTGGTTATGTCAAGGTAGAGTTGCGGAGAGGCATGATGCAGCCGGCGAGCTTGGCGGACGCTGCATTTGTGGTCCAAGCTCCTTGCCGTGTCAAGTTTCCTTTGCAACTTTTAAGAATTTCAAAAAAGTGCCTTCGACCTCAACCTGCGCACCACTTGACGGTCTCTACAATGTCCCGGGCGTCGCAAATCACATTGGCGACCACATGCGTCACTGCAGTTGGCATCGTCGCATTCGTGCATTGGTCGCAAAAGGCCGACAAAGCCGTCAGTACTGCCCGCATCTGGATGCAGCATGGAGATCAATTCTAACACGGATTAATCAGGCCATGCACATGGGAGTTGTGCGAGACTTTGAGCAACAAAGAATCAAGCGCGAACGTCAGGCCGACTTTGAGATGCAGCGAGAACTCGAACAAGAATACAGGAAATACCAGACGGTATCAGATGGCGGAGGGCCCGAACCACGGCAAGATCAAGGACCCGGGCGATGATGCTTCACATGGCCACTTTACTGTAGTGCCACCACTCAACTCCACTCTAATCTAACTCACAACTGAAGAGCATATGGCTACACCAGCCCCCGCCATGCACCTTGATTGCGCCACCCTTCGGTCCAGCGCATTGGACCGGAGTCAGCATAGCCTCGCACTGGTTATAAAACCAACATCGTGGAAGACACGCTTAGGCGAGGGGGCACAAGGCAACGCTCGGCATCAAGCGCTATACCAATTGTCAATCAACAAGCTGCATCATTTGTCCGGGTGCTTAAAGACGACTTTGTGCAACCTTTGAAGCAACTTCAAGTTGCGTCACAGTCTCCCAAGAAACAGGCGGCCAAGAGATAGACGAGTTGATATACAAAAAAAGTCAATGGTATGGTCATAACGATCGAGTGTCGCTTAGCGTTGGGCGCCCTGCGTGCTCCAGTGATTGCCTAGCAGTGCTTAAACACAACGTGCCAAGCGACCCCAACAATGACACCGCTCACCGGTAGATTGATTCCCTCGGCGCGCTGGATGAGGTCACCTGGCGGTACGCCCCGCGCATTTTTGCACGCGAACGGCGCTGATTGATGGACGAAGACTTTCGTATCTACCAGCCAGCACAAAGACATCGAGGCGTAGTGACACAAAGGCGTCTGAGCTGGCAGCCATGATTTGTTGGCTGCTGCCCGGTGATAGTGCTCTGGCCACACGGTTCGGGTTGAAGTGCTATCTTGGCATTGAGATGGATCACCATGAGGTCATGACAGACCCTGGATTTTGTTCGGTGTATCACGTATTGCCTGCGTCAGTATACACAGTAAGGCTGCAAACGACTGGGGAAATGTGCATGTATACATTTGGGCCTGGGTCCCAAACGGCTTTGCAGAATATGTATGTACATTCGCCCAAGCTTTTTGCAACAAGGCTGCGCAGCTCTTCAGCTCGCTTGCGGCCTTACTCTGGCCCTTTTGGCCTTAAGTCCCAAGGGCCAATTTGCACAGCTCATCAGCACAGGCAACGCGAGTGAAATTAGCCTCGAGATTGGCGACGTTCATTGCCACGACAAGTCAGGCATTCACACCAAAATCGCCTGCCAAGGACGGCTAGAGAAGGTGGCGCGGAACAGAGTTGGCTTCATCCTTTGATGACGCACAGGCGCACTGCCCATCCTTCAGGGTCCGCCTCCCTTGTCTACCTTACATTAAAGAACCACGCTTGCCTCTTTGTCTTTGCCCATTCACGTATATCCTAACATAACTATCCCTTCCCTCTTCCCGTGTCCCAAACTCTGACACACAAACATTGAGCAAGCATATATACCTTGCTCCATACCAACACCTATCTGTCTGGTAGTCTTGGCACCCTTGGTCTAAATATTCCGGTCTGGCATTCTAGCGTCGCACATTACACACGCCGCCACCCCGTACCACAGTTCCACATCGACCTCGTCATGAAGGCCTCACAGTTTCTCGCCTACTTATTGGCATCGCAAGCAGTCAGCGCTGCTTCGATACCTGAATTTAGCAATGCGCTCAACGTCCTCGAAGAGCGCCGCGTCGTTCCTGCATCTGAAGTCGTCTCACCAGACCACACGCTAGAGCGTCGCAAGGGCGGCGGTGGACGCGGCGGAGGTAGCAGCGGCGGCGGCAGCAGCAGCAGCAGTGGCGGTGGCAGCAGTAGCAGTGGTGGTGGTAGCAGTAGCAGCGGAGGACGAGGTAGCAACAGCGGCGGCAGCGGACGAACCTCTACTACATCCAACACCGGTGGCTCTACAAGCACAGGCTCAGGCCCATCACGCTCTTTTGGCGGAGGACGATACTACGGCGGCGGCGCTACCGTCCCTTATTCCGCTGGTAAAAGGACTCCAAAGGGTCTTTCACCCGGCCTCTTGCTTGCGCCCGCAGCAATCCTCCTCATCATGCCAGGTCTCTGGCTCTACAGTGTCTACCCGTACCACTACAGCAACCCCTACCGCTTCTACAATCAATCCGCCACCAACGATGATGATGACAACAACAGAAAGAGATCGCTCTGGACTCGCCAGACACAGGGCCGCAATGAGACGCTGCCTGTTATGTGTCTCTGCGAGGAGTTCAGAGTTTGCGGCTGCGACGAAAATGACGACCAGCAGTACCTTGATGATCTGGTTGGCAATGGTAGCTACACCGCGCTCAACAAGTCGCTCATCACTGTCTCCGATGTCAATGGCACTAAGACGCTTGTCCTTAACGGTACCCTTCCCAATGGCACTACGGCGCCTGGCGGTGAGGGTGCGGCTGCTAGCTTGACAGTTGGCAACCTTGCTGGCTACTACGCCGTTGCTCTGCTCGTCGTTGCTGGTGTCATGTTGTAAAATGGATATCCCATTGCGGATCTGCCATTACAGTGCCCCTTCATTTTTTCATTTTTTTTCATTCATTTCATGACCGACACCCCCCTGTACTTTTATAACGAAGTTACGATTCTCTGAACGCTATAGGCGCGTTGTTTGGGCCCAAACGATCTTTGGTCTCGACTGGTCAGTCCATGGGACCTCGGGTCCGTAAGTGGGCTTGAATTTATACCCTCATGCTGCGTTCTTCTTGTTCTTACTTCTTGGTGAACTTAATGCGGTGGCGGGGTTGGATTATTCTTGAATAGAATTAGTGCGCATATTGTCAGCCTTAACTTTATGTTTTCTTTTGGTGAAGATCATGTCCCAATACTACAGCGAGACTTGTCATGTAGATATTTTACTTAGAGCAATTAGTCATGTCATTCCGCAATTCTCTTGACTGGCCATGATACACATGTATACATTGAGTTCCAAGTGACTGCATGCTTCTGGGAAATTGTAAGCAAAAAGCAAATACCGCTCTTGGTCATGTGCACAACAGTTGATTAACGTTGTATTAGGCGTTTAATTTCTTTAGTACTCTGATGACGATGCATATGAAATCTATTGTATGCTGATAGTTATATAATAGGACTTGTTCATTCGTAGCTTTGCTGGTCGTGTGTGGGCGTTGCTTTGTTAATTGTGTCTGTGGACATGCATGTTGAAGTCGGATTTTGAAAGATGAGACTGAAAAGATTCCTTGTGGGTACCTAACTGAATGGTCGAGGAAGTTGAAGGCGTTAGCGATTTAGAGGGGAAAATTAAGAAGATACTTGTCTTGGCAACCTGGACGTAAAGCTAGCGGTGTCGTGTGGTCACAATTCCCCTCGACAAGAAACGAGGCATGCTTGGTGGTTCTTCTAGTGAATTGGTGAAGCCCAAGTTATGGGCATAAAACGGACATAGGAAGTGAAGAAGTTGCGCATATTCAGTAATGAATGATGAATCGTCGTGCTACTATTCAATGACTATCAATGTCGAAAAAATGCGAACTTTGCAGTTTTTATGACGTAGTGGAAGTTAGGCGACTTTGGTGATGTTGAATAAAAGCGGTGTGCATTGCAAGCTATTCCCGTAAGCTTGTGTGCACATTCATCGGTCACTGATGTTGGCGATAGTCGTACGAGTCGTGCAAGCCCACATTTTACTCAGATTCCGGTGAGTGCAAAGCGGTGCAATATCGGTATGAGAAATCAACTCGATGGAGTACGCCTCGCTACTAAGTCTAAGTGCGCTGGCCTCTAGTCAAAGCTAGGAAGACTGCACTTGGAGTGCACTGCATACCATGCAGGTCAGCTGACGTAGTGGAGAGTTGCCTTGACCTGAAGTACCATATGTAAAGTGTGCTGATTAGGGTAACTTGTCGCGAACTCTAGTTTCAAAAATATTCTTTAAATATTGAGTACATGTTGTCGGAATGTGATAGGACGCCTTTCCTGACGAAAGAATACGACGATGCTATTGCTGCATTGTCATCTCGGGTGGCGTCTTGCGCCTTGGCGTACTATTGGTAATCGTGTTGGCATGATCTGCCACATTGGCGCTGCAACCAACCACATTCGGAGGTTGCGAAGGCCATGGTGTGTGGGGGGATGCCGCATATTTTCTTGTAACAGTAAATCGGCACGCATCTCGCAGACTGCAGCAACCAATCAAGAAGCAACACTTGCCGATGTCGTTTGCTGATTCATAGCCAACATAGGCAGTGTTTTATGTGCAGGTTACGATGCCACTTTATTGCGAGTTTTGTATCCGCAAATTGTTGTAAGTGTAGGCCCTCCATTTTTCTGACACGAGTTGATTGTAGCTCAAAAATCGACTGAAGAGCCTCAGCCAACAGACCCTGTTGATACGGTATTTTCGTGTCAGAAGCCCACCAACATGACTCGACTCCTAGGTAAGCAAAAGACTATTTGGAGCTTCTTCTTCCCTCCATACTTTTATTAGGAATGGAGCTAAAGAGGCTGAGGCCCCTGATGACTCTAAGAGTATGTCTTCTGAAAAAGGTAAATTTATCCTCTGACTAGGATGGCCGCAAGGCTCAATTGCCTTGGCGAGGTATAGAAAATAGATAGGCTGGCGTCTACAAGGACATCGCCGATAGGCCTGTATGTTTCGACATAGGCAGTGCTGCGTGAGACAGGCATACCGCCACCACGTGATGGCAGATGACGGGATGGTGCATAGGGCTGCATGTTGCCTACAGGCGGAACTGTGCCGGTGGCGGTGATTTCAGCCCTAAGACGATTCCCGATATTCTGATGGAGTGATCGGCAAACAGCGATGGATTACCGGCCTGTTGTGCTAGTTGTGGCGAAGTGATGGGATGTTGGCGAGGGGCGCACATAAGGTAGTACCAGCGGTGTACCTGCCTGCCACCCATGTGTTTATGATACCGTTCGCCAGACGACGAATATAGAAACTTACTCAATGATAGTATGAATCGACGTCGAACCAAAGAGTGAGCTGAGCCGCTGTGGTCGACTCTTGAAATAGATGTGCTGCCTATGTGGATGCGCAACATACGTTGATGTGCAGATGCGCAAGCCCATAGGCAGCACTCAGCTGGTCAGCTCGAAGCTCTAGATGGTATCAGAGGTCCATGCACTTCGTGGGGGGTGTGGGAGAGGAAAGGGTTTTATGGCATCGCGGAGAATGGAAGTTGATCACGTATGCATGGCATCGAGGAAGAACTGGGCCATGCTCGGTATAGCCCGAAGGTTGGGAAGAGAGCAGAAGCTCCAGATACGTACGTTAGTAAGGAATGCCCCACTAATACTAGTATAGGTGCCGGCCTTCTTGGCGGCCGTCAAACCGGTTCTCTTCCGCGCCCACGCACGACGTTGAACCCCCAACCTCGACAACCCACGTCCGTAGGCAAACGACGGCCTCCCTCGCACAATGGACCTCAAAAGTGATTCTAGCTTCACCGGACATATCAATCGGAGCCGAACAGCCCGGCGCCCGCTCATGGCGCGCGACATGTCCGACCAAGCACTCTACGTCACTGGCCTCCTGTTCGCACCCATGACCAGCACGCTATGTCAAAACATGTATCTGACCCTGGCCGTCCAGGCTGTCAGATACAAGGTCACGCACAGATCGTTATTCTAGTGTCGACATTCTACGAACCAGCTTGACGGGGCCCTGCAAGCTACCCTTTGATGGCTAGTATGGTCTGTGCATTACAGGGGTTTCCGCCGCCCCATGTGCAATCACTATCTCCGTAGACGCTTGTCCGCCTTTTTGCTTTGCTGCGCTCCTTGGCCATCGTTTGGTGAAATGCTGAGCAATTGGAAGTCCATCACATGGTCTCAGCTACGGGCCAATGATGTTCAGAGGCGCACAATCAACACCAGCTGAAAGACTCCAACAGGCGACCTCTCAAACCCCTGCCCTCTCCAAACACTCAGGCTTTCCTGCCAGTCCGACAAGCCAATGGCTAAAATGGTTTGCTAGCTACCTTTGAAAATCCCGTTGGAGCATCTTCCGGCTGACTGTGCACTTGTCCCTGCCCGTCCTTTCCGTTTGCATAGCCGACATGACATGCAGCAAGTCGACGATGCATCCGCAGTATGACCCACACTCTGCTTCATAGTCTATATCGTCGCCTTACATCTTGCTATATATGCCACTGTCGCCTGGTCGAGTCAGGAATCACTCCAAACACCACTTTACTCTCATCAACGATCTCTTTATTGTTTTGCTTGCGTTGAAGCCATTGCTTCAAAAGTTGCTTTCGATTTCAGACACCGAAAATAACCCATCGCCACGCACGGTCCCGAGAATGTGCTATCAGGTCGTCGAACGCTACTCGGTTTGCCGATGTCTATATTACAAACACGCCATCGATCCGTGTGCTGCTCATGGACAGCGAGGACATATGGTCCAGGAAAAGACAGTTCTTGTAGGCTATGCTTGCAATACACATAGTAGCCACCGACCCAACATCGCCTACCATGCTAGTGTTCATTCAGATTCTGGCTACGGAAGCAGTTCATGTTCTTTTGGTCCCTTACGATGAGAGAGAAATATAACCTCAACACTGGCCCGAGAACGGCCATGGAAATCCTTCCAAAAATATCGTCTACCAACGCGCTCGGCTCCTTGGCCTCTTCGAGCTGGTCACTCGGCGCCAACTCCCACAGCACTGTTACTTCGCGTCTTTTTGTACACTTGGAAATACATGCATTGGTACGGAGTTATCTACAGTCATGGCACAATCATGATAGGGCAAATGTATGAATACGATGGACAGTCGGCGTTTGTATTGAGCTGTAAGATACATCAGGAGGATTTAGGAGGCCTTTTTTTCATAAATATCTGGCAGGCACTAGGAGAATCATGGACGGTAAACCCACTCCGCTTACTTAGTCACTGTCGTTACTAGCATCATAGCGTTCGTTCTAATATCGCTACATTATTCTTACAACTCGCCCAAATCTGCCTTGCGCGGGATGACAGCACGCTATGCCTAAAAGGAAAAATTCTCCGTGCCTAGTTCTGACGTTCTGGATGACCCAAGGTGCGAATGTGCTGCAGACTAACCAGATGTTATTCAACTGAAGTATCATGGAGGTTGACGGGCGCATGAAAAGTTCACTAGACGTCATCTTGGCCAAGCAGACCCACCCTTGAGGCACGTGCGCGTACTACGTTACCGCCTCTTGCCGTACCAAACATCCTTCCAAACCCTTACCACTCGCCCGTTTCGTCGGTGTGAGAAGCGCCACTTCCCACTCCACGTTTCTACTAAATCACGTAACAATCTCTCGCTACTCCACATGTCGACCTTGTTCCGTTCCCACTGGACCGTTTACTCGCGCTTCGGCCTTTTCCGAGTCTGCCGGTGAACGACCTTCGGCATCTCCATGGCTCGGCCGTTCCGCTTACATACGTCCTTAGATACTAGCTGTGGCGCCATGACTAACTTGGGCACATACGCATAGGTACACGCAAGCGCACATGTCATTCGCCTTGACAACGTATCTACAAACCTTCCATTGCTCCGTTGCTGCTGAGAGTTTCGGTCAGCTCATACCTCCGAAAACGCGAAGACGCGGTAAAACCATATGGTGCTCTGCCCACGAGCATGGTAGGTCTACCAACTCGAAATATCAGGTATCCACATGACTTCCTATATTTAGGAGCAGGGCTGGTGTGGCTGTTCCAAGGTCTTAGCTCAAGAGCTAGGCATCCAATCCTCCTGGCTCATGGTTGGTGGACCCTGTTGTTACTCATACCTGCTGGCTAGACCTCAAATGTTGCAGTTACTGCAATCTTTGCGCGCCAATCAGGACTCTAGGTCTCGTTGTTCAAACCCCACTGCGCCTCCAACTCGCAACATGTCGATACCTTGAGCCTTTTGATTCTTGACCGGCCGCCTGGCCCTGTTCAGTTCCCTGTCAGCCTTCAAGCCCGAACCAATTACTGGCAACGAACCTTTGACCGGCCTGAGGCTCTAGTGAACCATCGTTTTCCTTTTTCATATTGCCGCAGCCTCGCTGTATAAGGCTGAGTATGTCATTTCCGCATTTGGTCATAGTACAAGCTGGTCCCGAGAAGTATCCTAACAGTCGGTACCGAGTAGCACAGCCAACTTTGTGGGCCTGAACCGATAGTTTCAAATCGATTGCCCGGAGATGGCACGGCACGACGGATTGCGGGTCTACGGTCCGGCATAGTGTATCGTCTCCAGCTCGTCGGCAGCCAAAGCTGCAAGGGCCCCTGTGTCAGCCTTGTCAGCCTTATGGCCTTGTAGCCTTCCTCTTTGATATACCTAGTTCTTCCTCTTTGCTGTACTAGTTCTTTCAAGAAAACCCACTAAAACACCAGTGTTGTAGTCTGATTGGTAAAGAAGTAAGCAATAAAAACCTTGGAAGCATTACATGCATTATCGCTTCAGCAAAGACAATCCAGTTTTGTCCATATTCCCGAGGGGTTGGTTGCCCCTCAAAGACTCGCTTAGAGCCATGTGGAGATCCTTTGCCTTGGTACCCGTTATAATCCCTCAAATGAATCGAATACCTACAATCACGAATGAACCCCCCAGAACCCTAAGTAGACCATGTAGCAAATCATACTGAACAGTATCATCGCCACTAGGCTCTATTCCCAAGCCACAGCTACAGTGAAGATATTCCCGCAAATCGCATTACTTACCCCATCAGATGCATCTCTCCAAAAGCCCCCCCCCTTTTTTTTGCTAACTCTTTCCTACCCACCCTACCCTCTCTTGTTCTCTCAACCCCCTTTGCAAAGCCACGTATGTATCAGTTGTTTCATAGCGCGCCAATATGCCCTTCATGTATCTCATATAACCCTTTTCTCTGTCTCTTTCTTTCATCCCCCTTCTTGCATCATGACTCAGCTGCAGATGTTTGTTCTTACTACCCGGATGCAGATTACGTAGGCAGTTACATAGTAAATGCGTCGCCATCTTTCCATGTCGGAAGAAACGAAAAAAAAAAGATATAGCCGCCGTGTGGTTCAGTTGTTTTGGTTGGCCGATGTATTACATTGCGGTGAGGTTGTGTGTGTGTATAGGGGTTGAGATGAGCTTTCTCAAGGGGTGATGCTGCGAAGTTGGATACGTTCCGGTTTTGTAGTGAATTTGCCTGAGGATTTGTGATGGTGTTTGAACTTTGGGGGTTCTTTTGTCGGGGGCCCAGCTGTGGGTTTGGAGGCGGGTTGTGGCTTTGATGAGGTATTGGGATAGAATATCCGTCGTGAATGTGCGGGCGAGTTGTAGTGGTCAGGATTCAGCATCTGGGGTTTGTGATTGCTTTTTAAGTGCGTGTGTCTGAATGCGTGTGCATCGTTCGGTATTTGATAAGCATCACATTTGGGCAATATCTTGTGCAAGTGACTCTTCTCGTAGTTATTCTAAAGTCATTCAGTAAAAGACCATCCGATCAACACATCACAGAGCAGGCAAGAAGGAGAAAAGTTTTATTTTCCGCGCACGAGGCCCATGAGAATTCGTAGATTGGCATAACTAGTAGTAAAATCTACATGGAGCGTGCATTGGCACATTTGAACATCTGGTCTGGGAGTCGTTACAGGATGTTCCGTTGAAACAAGATAAGCTTGTCAGTAATCATAAGCCATGAGTGAAAAAAGGAGTGCTCGTACATATTCCCCTGTTGGGAAACAGCAGCGAAAAAAGAGAAGAACCAAGTCCGTCGTAGAAAGCGCATCCATTAGAATAAGTGAGCGGAAAGTCGAACCTCAGAGCAAAGAGGTTGCGACGGTAATGAACAAGAAAGAGAAAGAAAGGGTCGTTATCATAATATTCACAGGAAAGAAGGAAGAAGGTTGGTTGTGTTTTTCCTGTCGCACAAGATGGCGAAGGAAGGAACAGGACAAATGGCTGTCTAGGGGAGGCGGGCAGAGAAGAAGGTGCTTAGGCGCGGATGACGACACCCTGGCGACGGGTGGTCTTCTCCTCGTACACGTACTCGTCCTCGGAGGAGCATTCGGATGAGTCATCTGAGTATCCGCAGCGCGCACCACCGCAGTCAAGCTTGACGCGGTCACCAGCGCGGGTGATGCCGTAGCGTTCGCACGTGCAGCATGAGCTTCCAGAGCTGATACTGGACGGGCTAGAGCTGTTTGTGGAGCGGCTGGTGAGTGAGGGAACGTCGGAGTCTTCGTCGGAGCTGTACTCGGAGTCGTCGGATGACTCTTCGATCTTCTGGGTGGCAAAGCGGCGGTTGAGCTCCTCCAAGGTGGTCTTGTCGTACTGCGTGTTGATGACTTGGCGGGTCTCGTGTGGTCGTTGGGGCTTGGGTGCAACGATGCGCTCTGGGCTAAGGCCACGGCCCTTGGGGATAGAAGCGGTGGATACACGGCGCGACTTGCGGTCTGCACTGGATGAGGATGACTTTGAGCTCGACTTGGCAGCGGGAATGTCGATAATGTTTAGCTTGCGGCCAGTGGTAGGTTCGGTCGTGTGGTCCTTGGCGGGGTCGTGCGAGACATGGTAGCCGTCGATGATGTACTAGGAAAATGTTAGCCTTGAAGTGAAGAGTGGTCGCTAAGAGGATAGACATACGTAGTACCAGTAGCGCTGTCCCTGCTTCAAAGTCTGTCCTTGGAACTTGAAGCATCCGACCCAGCCACCAGACTTCTTGGGGTCCTTGGAAAGCGGGAGTTGGCCTTGGTAGCCATCCCAGGAGCCGAGAAGATGTACGGTCTTGCAGTTGGAGGAAGTGCGGAGAGTGAAGTTGAGCTGGATAGCGGCCATTGTGATGTTATCTCTTTCTTTTTGTGTAGAAAACTTGTATTATGATGTAATTTTTTTTCTTTCGATTCGTCCGATACCAAGCTAATGGATAGACGTCAAGATTGCTAAGGGGGCTGTGTGTATGTCGAGAGTCTCGCTAAGGGTTGCGAGGTTGCGTTGTCGGTGTGATTTGGAAGTTCGTTTCGAGCAAGTAGAGCTGAGTATTACGTTGGAGTGGACCGGCCACAGAGAATTGAATTATTGCAAAAAATTGGGGAATGGGTACAAAGGGTCGTCGGTAGTGGAGTGATTAGATGGCACCAGGCCTGAGGAGAGTAGGTAGAAGGAAGAAGGGGGAGGGGTAAAAAAGAATAGACAAAAAACGAACACAACAACTCTGAACTTGACACACTTGCTGAAGAAAAAAAGACAAGATGGGAGCGGCTCCAGGCCTACTTATGTATAGAAAATGCATCACACAGATGCTGGGCGACGATTGGGCGTTGACGAGGGGCTGACCGGCGGACATTGGACTAGGCCGCGTACGGGTCAGGCATCGGTGGATCCGGTAGCGATTGATTGATTGCGCAGTGTAGCCACGCCATCTGGGCAGGGTGCAGGCCGGTAGCGGGAGTGGAGAGCAGTCTATCGAATGTACGACGAGCGCTTGACGGTGTTGCGGGAGTGGTGGATGCCTTTGATGTGTGTAGCCGGGCGTCATTGTTCTGTGCGCTGAATGGCCAATATGGGCGGGGAATACACGGGTGGGTCGTCACGCAGCGCACGGACTTGGGATCAAAACATGCGGCCAATCAGCAGCGACTATGCGTCTACCATGTGATGTCGGGATGTGCGGCCTGCAGATAAGTTTCTCTTCACACTGCATGATGGACGGGGAACCGAGCAGACGACGGATGCAGACAAATTTGCTTCCCAGCATTTCGCCTTGACCAACCTGCAGCATCTCCTCTCTGCCGCATACAGACCTATTTACAGACATTATCGGCCCATATGCCCCGCCTTATCCAATTGCATTGCCTTCACCATCTCCGGCTCATCACCAAATATACCCAATTGGGAACATGGGCGGCTAATAATCTTTAGTGGCTTATCGTCCCATCCAACCACAACTGCCCATCACCAACTTCGCCCTACTGCATCGTAAGCCACTTTCGTGGTCACACCTGAGGCCTTAAACCCCGGCATATCGTCATAGCATGCAGCCTCTGTACGCACGCGGCCTCATAAGCTTTGGTAAACAGACATGTCGGGAGAATAACGTACAGGGGGACATAGGCCATGTGGTGGGGCACCGCTTTCAATATCAGGTACGCAAAGGCACAAAGTCTGGAAAGCCTCGCAATTTGAATACTGCCAATGAGGTGCAACAACAAGGGCGCATGTCGCGTCGCCCTCGTACCACCCAAGCCCCTTGCCTCTACCCTCTATGCCATTAGCTAGATCCTGCTGCCATCTCTTTCTTGACTCTAATGTCTTGCGCACATATACATGCCTGAGTCTTTTAGGCCCGCAGTCTTCTAGCGATATTAGACTCGATAACGGCCAACATGGCCCAGGCGTGCATACATACGTACATACGCGCCCGCTCTCGGTGCGTGAACCCCCCAGGTGCACCGTTAGTGACAGTGTACCAATCAAATGAATCGTAGTCATGCATACCAGCCATCCCACTAACTAGTCTCTCAACATGCTCATGACAATGATTGCATCGTGACATGCGACCACTTTGGCCATAATATAGCAGTGCCAGATTCAGGCACTTGTCTACTCCGCTGCAATTAAACAAAAATAATGTAGATGATAGTAGTACACAACACTTTTTCAACTCACTCAGCAACCCAGCAGATTAGCCAGCTCCTCCGCAGTCAGGGTGCTCTTTCTTCTTCGCGGTCGTCCACCAACCCTGGTCTTGGTTGCAGCCCGAGGTGCGCGCTTGCCCGTATCCTCATTGATCGTTTCGCCGCTGTCGTCGGTCTTCTTGGTGGGGCTGGTAGCCTTCTCGACCTCGGCTGCAGTGGCCGCTTCCGAGGTGTCTCGCAGCTTGTCTTTTACAGTTAGCTTCGGCGACGGCTCCTCAGGGTGCGCCCGTGGACTTGATAGGCGTTTTCTAGTCTGCTCAAAATTGTTAGATGCATGGTCTGACTAAACAAGCGCTGCTCAGCGGCCGCATGACAAAAAGAAAACGACAAGAAAAGAAGACTATGTTGCCCATATTCATCATATGGTTCGCCAGCCTGTCATAACGTACGCTTCGGGGTGTGCGATCATCTCGACTTTTCCGCCTTGATGCCCGTTCTTCAGAAGTAGGTGGCTTGACTGCCGAGCTGGAGCGACTGGCCTTCTCCGCACCAACTAGGTCAATCCCAGACTCTTCTGCATTTTCATCTTCCATCTGACATGGCGTGTTGGGGATAGATGGAGAAAAGGCAACTTTTCGCGGCGATCGGCTCAGCGACTTGTTGCCATTGGACTCTCGTAGCGCTGCTGGAATGGGTTGCAGCTTGATCTTGAACATGTCGGCGCCGTTCTTCTTTGGCGCCATGTCATCTGCCTCCGGTGAAGGACGATGCTCGACTTCGCTTTGCTCGTCCTCGTGTTCTTGCGGGACATCTGTATCATCTACTTCCTCGTCGAAGACTGAACTGGCGGCTTCATCCTCATCCTCGTCTTCTTCTTCTCCTTCTTCTTCTTCTTCTTCTTCTTCCTCAATGATAGAGATGCCTTGCCTGTCAGATGTGTCAAGCCCTTGTCCAAATCCTAGGCCCATTCTAAGCTCCTCAAGATCGATGGTATCGCCATTGGTCATGCGCTTCCTCCAAGAGTCCATGAGCATAAAGGACTCGCGCAATCGGGCCTCCATCTTTTCCCAGCCTGCGCGAAGCCTGTGAATCTCTTCTTCGCGCAGCTCCACCTCTTCCACTGACACGAAGTTTGGATTCGTGAGCAGGTTCTTCAGATTGTCCAGCACCGTGTCCATGTCATCTGCCAAGGCTTCATAGTTGGTGGGTAGCGTGTGCAACATGCCTTGCCGTGTCCCCTCATCGTCGTCGTCGTTCTCGCCAAAGTCAGACCCCTCTTCTGAGTCGGCTCTTGCGTTTTGTTCCGACATGCCTTGCAGCTCCTTCAGCGTCAGAAGTGTGCTTCGTACAAGCCCAATAAGACTATCGTTCTCGTCGCTCAGGCTTTGACTCAAGTGTGTCAAGAATTCAGTCGTCTCCTGTTTTAGGCTATATTCGGGGTCGTCGACATTGGGTGCATCCTCGCGCACGCTGCTAGTAGCCCCACCCAAGCCCATGGTGCCTGGGTTGATTGTGATGCTCGCACCAACAAGACCTGTCTTGTTGCCCCTTTGCTGGCTTGTCAAATGGCTCTTTAACCTCACAATCTCCCTGTCGCGCTTCCGAACGTCGTTTGTGCAAGTTGTACGTACTTGATCCACGGTCGTCTTGAGTCGCTGCATCTCTGCACGCAACTTTCGTGCAGACGATTCGGCTGTGTGTAGAGCCTTGCGTGCCGACTGTTCCTGGGCCTGGGCAAGGGAGAGTTGCCGCGACAGGTCGTCATTGCGTGTATATTGCTTCTCAAGGGCGGCTGTCTGGCGCGTCGCATCCGCGCGCAGATTTCGCAGTGTCTCAGCGACGGACTCGCGATATTCTTGGTCGCGCTATGGAATTATTAGAAAATCCAGCTCGCAAGAGCTAAGGTCAACATACATCGCGCTTTAGTATTAGGTCGTGGATCAAATTGATAATCTGGGCCATGGTGGCTTCCTTCCCGCCCTCTCCCCTGGACGGGTGGGCAAACTCAATGGGCTTGCCATTGCGCAACAACCCCCGCGACAGCAGCAGGTTGTTGATGTATGTCGATGCAGTCTTGAGGTTATATGACTCCATGGCGGCGTTCGGTTGTCGGCGTCAGGCGTGGGCGTGGGCGTGGGCGTGGACGCGACGTTGCGGCGGCTTGCTCTCGTCCAATGTTTGTTTACCCTGCGTGCTGGGTTCTAGAAGGAGCAACGGAGCTACCGCGCCCGGGCCGTGCTTCACCCGAGACCCTGGTTCCCGTCCTGCTGCACCGGCTTGCAAACGACGTCGATGCTACTCGTATTCGATGTCCGTATATAGTGCCCGGCAGCCGATTCTCCACAACAATGCCATCGTTTCCCGACGTTTCTCTTCAGCCACTTCCGAACCCGCTTGTTGCACACAAGTCACGCCACTAATTATCTCCAATAATCAGTGAGCCCGTCTTGTCTACTCTAGTCATGTCAAGTCATGTCCTCCACAATATACGATATATACCATGTACTTGGCCTCGGCCTCGGCCAGAAAATTGCAATCGACCGCCAGATCGCAGTGATGGTGGGGTCTTCCGTCTCTTTTGTCCGTTGACACAGACTTTTCGATGTTTGTCTAGATTGCCACGCACGCCTCAATTCAGCCCCCGCGTCATCTCTATTGGCATTTTAGACTACAACAGCTAGGCTAAATTCCCGTTTCAGCTCGCGATAGAGACATCGAGACGACTTGCATCCAGTCTAATCCACTTTCTATTTCGCTTTCGGCAACTCTCTCGGACTTGGTTGCTGATCTTTCCTCAAAGCTGTCCTGTAGTCCTGTGTTTGATACGGAGGTTTCCACTTTTCAGAATACCCACATGTGTCGTATTCAAGCCACAGAATTCTCCATTCTCTTGAAATTATGTTATTTTTCAAGATTGAGACCGATTTTGATAGCCACATCTCGGCCTAATGTCGAGACTTGGAATCGACGTTATTTGATGTCCCTGTATATATTGGACACTTTCCTCCGGCTTTGCACAGAGACAGCAAGGCTTGTTTCTCATTTTGGCACTCCTCCATTTTAAACCTTCCAATTTTGTCCGCCATGGCCGGCCTCGTATCCCTAGTCAGTGCGTTGCTACTGGGTGCCCATACCGCTTACGGACTCCCCTCAGACGCAACTACTCAAGCCTGCAACGAGATAGCCAACTCTTTGCCCGGCAAAGTCCTGAGTCCAGGACTTCTCTCCGTGGAATACGCATATGAGACACAACAGTACTGGGCTACTAATCTTCGTGACATCAAACCAGCATGTATTGTACAGCCGAACTCTGCTCAGGATATTTCTATTGTCATCAAGACCCTGAACAAGTACCCGACAGTCCGCTTTGCTACTCGCAGTGGTGGTCATGACCCTAACAAAGACCATTCTACTGTGCAAGATGGTGTCCTCATCACCATGACCGACTTGGCTGGAGCAAGCTATGACGCACAGGAGGATCTAGCCTATGTCCGCCCCGGAGGGGAGTGGAATGACGTGATAGGTGATCTCGAACAAAGCGGGGTAGCCATTGCTGGTGGAAGACTTGGTATAGTCATATATGCGCTTTGGCAGAATATCCGCTTACTCAATACAGGTATCGTTGGTGTTGGTGGGCTACTGTTAGGGGGAGGTCTCTCCTTTCTCAGTGCTCAAGAAGGCCTTGCCGCGGATGTCAGTCGCCGACCGATGCTAGTTAGACATCATGCTGACAAGTGCTAGAACATTGTTGAATGGGAGACGATCATGGCTAATGGCTCCATTGTAAACATAAATGCCGCCAGACATCCAGACCTCGCGCAGGCCATGCGTGGTAGCAGCAACCAATTTGGCATTGTCACACAATTCAAAGCCAAAGTTCACCACATGGACGATGTATGGGGCGGATCCTGTGCATACGATGAGACCAAGGCAGACGAGCTCTATGCTGCGCTACATGAGTTCGTTGGTCATGGTGCCGAAGATCCTAAGGCTGCCATCATCTTCACTGATCTGGTACTTGGCGTTGGCACGAGGTCAAAACTCATATACTACTTTTATGACGGCCCCACGCCGCCTACGTCCGGTCCTTTCGCTCAGTTCTTCAACATCCTCAATTTGGCTTGCCTACCGAAGAGGCAGAAGTACTCCGAGCTAGTAAGCTCAATTATCTATGTCACTGTTACAGTCACGTGCTAACTACGTTTAGCTAAGGGCCAATGGTGAGCCTCTTCGCCTCTTGAATGCTCGTTCCTTCTTCCGCGTGAGTGTTCATCCGTCGTCCTCGTCAGCAAGAATCTAATCATACAACAGACCGCTACCATCCCATACATCGCCTCTCGCCCACAGATGTATAAGGAGATTAGTGAAAAGCTCGCCAAAACCACTGCCCTATTTCTGAATACGCCTCCTCTCGTCCGTGGTATTCAGTTCAGCGTTGACTTCCAGCCTCTTCCGTCTGTAATTGGCAAGAAATCAGCAGCCAAAGGCGGCAACGCTATGGGTCTTGGTGCTTCTGATCCTGACCGTATAGTCCTTATCTACCAAGGAGCTTGGAACTTGCCATCAGACGATGAAGCTGCTTTTAAAATTGCCAGAGAGGTTACGAGTTGGCTAGATGAGGTCGTGCCGCAGTGGATGGCAGAAGCAGGCATGCCCTTGGATACGTACCTGCCGCTCTTCGTAAACGATGCTATGTTTGACCAGCCTGTTTACCAAAGCTATCGGGATTATGCGAGGTTCAAAGCATTGCAGAAGAGCGTCGACCCTGACGGCTTGTTCAGTACGAGGACTGGCGGATTCAAGTACTGAGTTTATGTTTTACTCAGAATACTCTCGTTGAATAAGACGACTACGTAGAAGCTCCCATGTATTAATGTAATCGCTTTACTTCCTCAATGGCTTCTGTTTTCTTACTGTGGCTGGACCTGTCTAGGAAGGTGCTCTTGACATGGTGGGGGGTCGCTATGCTGTAAGCGGGGTAGTGTCCTTTTCTGACTCCTCATCGCAATTGCCTGATTATTCTAAAGCGACAGCAACCAGAAAGCAAAACTCCCTGCTCCCAATTTTCAAAACACCATATCAATTGTCATGGCCCAGGCTTCTGAAATACACAGCTACCAGCACGAAGATGCTTGGAACGTTGATTGGCTTCGTGTCGACGACGCCCACGAGCTGTACTATCAACAGTACGGCAAAAAGGATGGAAAACCCGGTATGTATTATAGCCAATCTCTACAAGACAACTTCACCACATCTATACTAAACCCATCCAGTAATCTACCTCCACGGTGGGCCCGGCGGAAACTGCTCCAAAAGCAACACAGTCTTCTTCAACCCATCTGAATACCACGTGATACTCCTCGACCAACGCGGCTGCGGGCAATCGCGCCCCAACGCCAGCACAACCGCCAACACAACCTGGGATCTCGTCTCAGACATCGAAGCCCTCCGCAAACACCTCTCTATCAGCAAATGGCACATGGTCTTCGGCGGCTCCTGGGGCTCCACCCTCGCCCTCGCCTACGCCCAAACGCACCCCGAAAGCGTCGGCAGCCTCGTCATCCGCGGCATCTTCACTGTCCGCGATCTCGAGCTCAAATGGACGAACCACCCGGGAGGCGCCAGCATGCTTTTCCCCGACCGCTGGGACGACTTTATCAATTTCCTCCCTGAGGAAGAGCGCCAAGACCATATTGCTAACTACCACAAGCGTCTCATGTCTTCTGACCCTGCAATCTCGCATCCCGCAGCCGCAGCCTGGAATACTTGGGAGATTTCCATAAGCACCTTGTATCCGGACCCCAATGCGATGAAGAAGCTCAAGGAGCCGGAGTATTTGCTTGCGCATGCAAGGATTGAGATTCATTATTTTACAAATAAGGCGTGGTTGGAGGATGGGCAGTTGTTAAAGAAGGAGAGTGTGGATCGCGTTAGGCGTATTCCGACGACAATTGTGCAGGGGAGGTACGATGTTGTTTGTCCCCCGATTACGGCGTGGGAGTTGCACAAGGAGTGGCCTGAGAGTAGGCTGTTTTTTATTGATGATGCAGGGCATAGTGTTATGGAGCCGGGGACGAGGAGGAAGTTGACGGAGGTTTGTGATGAGTATGCCAAGTTGGTGGTTTAGATGGAAGTTTTGGAGGTTGTAGAATTAAGAGACTCACCATTGTTCAATTTCAGAGCTTGGATTGATGAGTGAATAGTGTTTGCATTAGTGAAAGCATCTGAGTTGAAGTTAAAAAGAGCAAGAGGTTAGTGGAGTGGAGAAGATTCCAAACTGTTGTTAGGTTTTCCTTGTGGAGCTATCAGAAGCAAGGAGCTTAAGCTATGATTGGGTACAATTCACGACTTGGAGCAATGCAAAAACAGGCAGTTCCCGTAACCATATATGTATTCCACAAAAGTATTAACAGAAAGAGTGACTATGTATAAACAATCGAATACAGCAGGAGAAAAGAATCGCACTAGAGACGGTTCTTGCTGAAGAAAACCGCCTCTTTTTCCCGTCACAGCATGGTGGTCCAATGACCACTATCCATTATTCATATATCTTCCAGAACCAATATCTTCACTGCTAGTCACCAGGAGAGTGCCCTTCAGACGGCAGCTTCGATGAGGGGTAGACTACTCAATTAAGAGATTTATTTGGTCGAGAGACCGTCGTAGGAGTTGATGCAAATGTCAAGGGTGGCGCCAAGGTTGTTGGCCTCCCTCTGGAGGTCAGCAGCACGGGACTCGACGAGGTCGATGATGCCGAAAGCGATGGTCTGAAAGGTAGAGTTAGTGTAGTGCTTTGAGTTTCTAAGCGGGGACGGAGAAGCCGGATTCACTTACGTCGACAACGCCCTCGACCTGCCTGAGGACAGCTGCAACAGGCTGACCGATGAAGGGGATAGTGGTGAAGAGACCAGCCTTGCCGATGAGGATGTTCAAGAGAACTTGGTGGACGCGGACAAACTGGTTTTTTTGTTAGTTTTTGATCATTGTGAGGAGAGATGGCACTCACTTCGCGGAATGCGTCGAAGATGGCGTCAGCGTCGGCACCAGCCTTGACAGGCTGAGTGCCCTGCATCTGAGAGATGGCAGTAGTGGTAGTGGTGACGATGTCGGTGAAACCAGCGATGATCTGGGGGAATGGTCCCTGGCCAATGACGATGAGAGGTCCGTTGATGATGGTAATGGACTGAGCAGGTCCCTGGAGAGCCTGGCTCTTTGTAGTGAGCATCTTGATGTTATCGACAATCTGGGCAGGAGTGAGAGCTGCAGAGATGGGAGCAGCGAGAGCCAGAGCGGCAGTGAAGATGTTGCGGATGGCGACCATTCTTGCGGTTGTAAAAGAAGCTTTTGTTATTGAGCTTGGGTTGAGTGGTGAGAAGGTAGTAGTGAGGATTGTAGATGGAGCTGGATGATGAGTTGATTCTGTCGAGGACTGGAGGGCTTTTATACATCTGATGCTATCCAAGTGTCAGTGTAGACACTTGCTGTAGTTTACCACGATATCCAAGCACAAATGCCACTAGGCATGTCGATCTCCCACATGCATCTGTTGAGATGTCGATCGTAGCAACTCGTCGGTAGTCGGCGAGGCGGTGTCACTGGTGATAGGTGCCAAATCACCATGTGCATAGCGCCGTCAGTCCCGTGGCTGGGTTGATATTAACGTTTGTTCTTTGTAGCTTACTCCACATGGGTCACGCTTGATTGGACCGAAAGGAGATTTCTATGCTCTACTCTTTGTAGAAGCAGTAAAAGCACTTGAATCAAAACCACAAGTTTTATGATCATGAAGTTCCTTAGAGCTTATACTGACTTTCGTTACTCCGACCTTGAGCTCTCCAGAGGGCATTCTCCCCAGCGAAAACATATTTCATAGACATTTTGATCTTCACAGGGGCTGAAATAATTAGCACTAACACATGTTAGTATTCAGAATCTTGGTAACTCAGCTGCACAACTCAGCTGCACAACTCATCGCCGAGTACTCTTTGTGGATAGAAACTAGAGCACTGACATGAAGATCTTCGGACCCTTGCTCTCCCGCCCCTCGCGATTGCATCGTGCACCACTCATTGCCTAGCCCTGCGCATGTCGTCCTCGATTAGCGTCCGAATTAGCGATGTAACATGAAGATCTTGCCGGTTTTCCGCCATGCCAAATTGACACAGTACTGAATTCGGACCGAGCGCTACCACGCATGTGCATGTGTGCATTATAGCCTGTAGACGGCGTGCTCCCTCAAGTTGGCTAGACGGAACTGGGAATGTCACAAGGCACGTGCAGGGACACAGGGCTTGTATGTGGCTGTGGGTACGGGACGGGACGAGCCCCTCATCCTGTTGCTGCCGAACACCGTAACAGAAGCTCTCGGGTAAGATATTGCTATTGCAAAGACAGACAGGTACTGCTTTGATCAGTGGCTTATGATGCCGAAGACACTGTAGTATTATTCTGAGTCCTGAGGCGCAATGTAAACATGATTCAGGGTGCCTTGTGAAGCGGATGAGGCATTGTTCTATGTGGTACGCCAAGATCAATTGTCAGGAGTTAAGCAATTGCTTTTGGAGAAACCCAGGTGGATCGGATCGCACTGAGATCGCGGCTTGGCGATGTGGCTGGGCGGATCAGACGAGATCTACCGATGCGGCGAAATCGCATGCATATGCTATCGTGGCAGCGAGTCAACTTCCTGTCTGATCGTCATTTACCATGACACGTTTTCAGATGTGCTGAACGAATACGTACAAGCGGAAGAATATAGTACAGATTCGAGTGCAGACGGTTTCTAGTCCGTCAACAATCCTAGATGCGTCTCTCAGTATCTCTTCTTCGCCGCCGGTCGCGAGACGGCTACCTGCGGCCCCCCTTTTCCACAGTAGTGAGACCTTTTTGGGAACGCATGCTCACTGGTACACACGGAGCGAGCTACTGGCCCGCCAGGGTCTGCTCGACAGGGTCAGTTCGCGGCTGGCTCCCGCTCACTACGGCAATTAAAGGTGCCGCATGCCATGTTCTCACAAAAAGAAACTAAGACAACAAGAGTACCGCAGCTTTGCCCGGATAGGATGATGCGAAAGCCACTCGGCTTTGAACTAACAATAGTCAGCAGCGGATGCCGATAGCCAGTGATGCTCACATGCTGTGAAAACAAAACAAAATGAGTAATCGGAAGCATGCCGAGGGGCCCAAATCACATGTGGCTGAACAGCTAAGACGGAAACTGAATACGTCAAAGCTCCGTCGTCGAATCGGATTTATTCTTCTTGTAACATCCCGGTGGTGGCGACGGAACAACGGGATCCCGCTGAACTTTCAAAACATGTTGCACATGAAGGATAGAGTACTACCTGCGTAGCTTTGCAGAGTTAGGTGTAGATGCGGAGTTGGCGATGCACATGGAGATGCCGCCAGAGGCGTCAAATAAAGGCACGGAAGTCCGTTCCCGAAGCACACCGTCTTGCATATGAAGATTCTCTAACCTGCTTTGGGAAGTGTCCCATGTCATGGCTAGTTCGAACCCCGGGCCTGGGATCCGGTACTTTTTCCAGGAGCAAGATGCCAGCTGTGTTGCTTGGAGTAACTACAACTTTTTGGAGTTTTTCGCAATCTCCGGACAAGGCCTATGAATCCAGAAGAGCCTAGTTGTTGTGTTTGCTTGTTGCATTTAATGAGCGAGACACCATGGCGTCGACTGCTCGTTAGCCAAGCAAGCTATACGCGCCAGTCTGTGCGGGACATACCGATCACACTGTAGTCTAATATCGAAAGTGACTGTATCGAGATAGTACAGATTTGATTTATGTGACATTTGAATAATGATGTCATACTAGAATAGAGTTAATCTAACAAACTCTATGAGAGTAAAGTATTGGAGCTTTACGGACTGACATATCAGGATAAAAACACGATCAGTATTCGATCAGGCGCTGACTCAATTCCAGGATCGGTATCAACGCTAGCCACGAAGCATCTTGGGAATCATTGCGACGTACCTGGGTCGTCTTCCGGACCTCATTGATGCGCAGCTTGTGGGTGCAACAACTGTAGCACTGGAACGATTGCAGCTGGAACTTTCCAAATCTTGCATCTCGGCAGCCTTTTAGCGATATAGCACTGAGCCACGTGTTTGGGGCATTCAACTGAATGTCAGATAAAGTCGGCTCTTGTACAGCCAATCATCGCTAAGCTCAACCCTGGAAATAACATCAATAGCTTCGTTGCTATTTGCTCCACTACTTCTGCCTTCGACAGTTACATCCTTTTCTGTTTTAGTGTCCAAAGTGACAACGTTGCAGGTAGCGAAGGTATTACCCTCCCACCCACTTGGTCGCAATGAACTCGTCTCAACATTCCATTCAGACATCATTCACCACATTTGGTTTGCAAGGTAGGCCTGACGTACGCAATACACCTGGAAAGCGATATGTGCTTTAAATTCCAGCTGGCGCTCCGCGTATTTGCATTTTGTCTCCGAAGGTGCATCGGTCGACTCCATTACTATTGGACTAGTAAAACAAAGTATGATCCTCATGACGGCTTGTTTCTGCTGGCAGGTGTGAGGAGTAATGGTTGGAGTTATAACATAAACACTAGAAGGCTATCCTGGGTTACCGGTCCAGCTGCTGAGGTTGGGAACTGGTAGTGTAGCCAAGATCTGTCTCCCATATTTCTCATAGTGGATCTTACCGCGTGAAGATTGGAGCTGTTACCCTGATGCCACTTGGTAAAACGTCTTGCTCGGGTGGTTCCTCTAGGCATGATCTCTATTTCACTGTTGCGCATTTAGTCACGCCTGATGGCTTTGGACATTTTGAAAGGCTTTTGCGAGGGCTTAGCTAAATGATTAGCGCAGAAATTACCCTCATGAAACAGAGCTAACTTTGCTAAGTCCCCGCAAAGCCTTGAAAGTTGATTGTCATTCCTCCCCCTCAGCCTTTCGATGGTCGGAAAGGCTTACAGAATTGTAGCAGTTCTGACTAAAAGTTCTGTACTACGACAGTGACAAGACTGTCGACTTCGTTATTGATATTGCAGAGGTCCCGGTCGGGACCTGCTGGTGTCGTGCCTCAGAGATAGAGACCTACAAACATCACATCAGAATGAAAAGGTGAAAACCCAAACCAACACAATTGTGTCTGTCTTACCTGATCTAGTTACAGTAGAGAGATCTCGGTAGCATAAGCCATCTCATTAATCAGACGGTGCGCACGGGCCACCTGGCTGGATTACGTTGACGGCGGCCGCACAGCGTCTGAGGAGAAGAAATGGTTCGTGTTTTGATGGCACACGAACACGATTTTGGTGACAGCTGGCTTTTTCCTCCCTTATCATACATCTCCATTGCCACTATTAGATATTAGATAGCGCGATGCAAGGGGTGGATATTTACTATATAATAGGTATATTGTAGTGGGTTTTTTGTGGCATTTTTCTGTTAAAAAGGTCGATGTTGACATAAAAATGCTTAAAACAGAACATTTGCCTCTGCATTTCAAGAGGACACATTGCATGCAACGCGCATTATTGAGCACTTAGAAATATACAGACGTGATTATTTTTCTTATATTTTATGATGTAGGTTTGCCGTAGCATGCCATCTGTTGTAGTGGTGGAGTAATAAAGCACTATTTTGGTGAGAAATCGATTTTTTCGCTTTGCTCTTATTACTGCGGTACAAGGCAAAAATTTTGTGTTATGGGGACGCTAAAACGATTAGCAGGTTCTTCTTTGGATGACTCTGTAATTACCAGGCCGTTCTTAATAATCACGACTCTATAGAGTATAGATCGTACTCTTCATAGTATAGCTCTTACTCTCTACTCCGGCTTGTATCTCCCCCTTGCTAGCGGCCCACATACATGAATTTGGCCGACCACCACGGTAAAGTTAGAACCATGTTTCCTCAGACGCTACGCGGCAAGGCAATACGAAATTATGTCAGCAGATCTGTACGCACCATCTGACCAATGAGATAAAACATGAGCAGAGTTTGATAATGCTTAGTAATCTATTAGAGTCTAAAGCGGCGTCGTCACGAGTGGGGCAGGCATGCATGGTACATGTTAGTCTCCCGTTTTCCTCGTATCCCAATACGCGCACCCTCTCACCTACAACATCCTTTCTGCTTATTTACCCGCCAGATGTCATCCACGCAATCCAACACAGGATCCCCTTCTGCAAACGAAGGCGGCCATACCGCCAGGAAGACAACAAGACGATCGCACCGCAAATCGCGTGCTGGTTGTAACAATTGCAAGGCGCGCCGCATCAAGGTACGACAAGTCTGAGGCCTTGCACACCCTGAACAAGGCCAATAAGTTCTGCAGAAATAGAGCTTAGTAATTTGAGAAGCCGCAGATGGTCTACAGGAAGCATCCGGGATCTGGCCCCTTAACGCACTGGCTATCATAAGAAGAAGTTGTTAACACGAACGTTTGTAGTGCGACGAGACGAAACCAAGTTGTAGCAACTGTGAGCATCGAAAAGTGCGTTGCGATTTCACTCAACAATCAGCTTTCCCACCCAGGCATTGTGAAGCAAGCTGCCTCAATTCCATTCCTGGAGAGCTCTCTATATCTGAGATCGAGCTCACGTACCACTATGCAACATCAACCTGCTTCACCCTTTCAGCGTGGCCCACTGGAGGTGTCTCACGGCAAAACCAAATGGCTGAGATCGGATTCAAGAATCCATACGTTCTACACTTGATGCTTGCATTCGCAGCAGTGCATCTGGCACACTGCCGTCCGCATCGCAAGGAGGAATACACCGCAATAGCAAACCATCACTACGAGCGCGCTCTGGTTCTGGTTACACCACAGATTGCAAACCTAAATCCCGAGAACTCTGATGCAATATTGCTTGCCGAACAATTGATATGTTTAATCAGCTGGGGTCGAGGTCCGCAACCTGGGGAATACCTCGCCTTCGGACGAGATCAGAGATCAGATTGGTTGGTCATGTTCCGCGGCATTCGAGCAACCTCCTCAAACGTTCAATTTCTGCGATCTGACAGGACAAATGCATCTGCAGCAAACGGCATATTACCCCCGTTGCCAGCCCTAGAAGTACCCGAAGAATATGAGAAGCAGCTCGACAGCCTGATGGAGCTTGTGAAATCTATATCAAAGGATACACCTAGTTATAGGGACGATGTCGAGGCTGTCAATATCCTCCGAGAGATGTACGACAATCGGTATCGAAGTGGAGATAGTGAGTACCATGTGTCTTTTGGGTGGCTCTACCGTGTGACGGACGACTTTCTTGAGCGGCTGCAGCAGCGTGACCCCATCCCGATGATCATATATGCGTACTTCGTGGTCCTGGTCCGTATTTTAGAACAGTTTTGGTACATGCAGGGATGGACACATCATATCATGAGCGGGATCTGGGACTTGCTGCCTAGGGAGCACAGAGCTTGGTTGGAGTGGCCCATCAAGAGAATAGGTTGGGTGAAACCCTGAAAAGGCGAGATATAAGTTTAAAACTTATTTCCGAAACATATAGTTTTGAACATGTAACGACATTGTGAGCCACATCGTGTTCCATCCGATCCTCGCATTTGTGACTAAATAGACATACCAGGCCCTCGACTGCAGAACATCAAAGCTCTCACATTCAATCAAACATTGATGGCATTTGCGTAGTTATGTACATAGCTTCAAAACATGAATCATTTCTCCCATTATTAGGTACCATGATTTTTCTCAGAAACGGTCGGCCCCGACTTATCCATCCATGGAGAGTTCTATTTTGCAATAAAAACAACGATGCTATTGGGGTATAACACGAGAAGCACAGTGACAAACTTTGAAGCTAAATGGCTAATCTGAGCGAAATTTGGCACATGTATCCTTGTTTTGGAGTCTAGCTTTTGCGCGGTTGCGTTGGATGAAGAATCTCAAGCTCAAGAACCACGGGTGTAGTAGGGTGTGATAGACTTGGGGACGTCGTGCAGAGTCTTACTGTCTCATAAGATCTTCGTCTATTTATCCTATAAATCACTCAGCTCGCTTGATCTGTATCTTCTGGGATTGCTGTAACTCTTCTGGAATACTTATAGATATACATTTGTCCTTCTCCTGCGCTCGATAGCCTCCCCTTGTCCACTACCCCTATTTCCTGGCGTATTTGTTGAGCGGCATATGGCCATCATCGCTTTTCACAAAAGGCGAGCCGTCGACCTTCCGTATATATCTGAACAACCTGCCGGGATGTATGATTGCAAAGCACACGGTACTCGCCAGCAGAAGTGACGCGTCGAACACGTACATCATCCACTCCATCTTGAGGATCGGGCCATCGGGCCCTTGTGCAAATTCAATCAGGCGGAACAGACTCCGCACGATAATTAAGCCACTGACGGCGTACAAGGCCAAGAAATGCTTCTTCCAGTTCACATGCGGCCGTTCGGAGACACTGGAGGGGCTGCTGCGGAGCCTGGTATCTAGTACGACGGCCATGACGAGGAACAACCCAAACGCCACGAGTTGGATCGAAAGCCCAATCTTGACAATGGAAATTCCTTGCTTAGCTCCCTCCGGACCGCTCGCCTGCGCGGCCGAACCAGCCATCTGACACCCAAAACTCGCAATATCGATGACGATGTAGATTTTAGAAATCCACGTCGAGCGGATCAGACAGTATTCGTCTGCATCTAAATTCCGCGCCAGGCGGCCCAGCGTCATGTATACCGTTGCGGCGAGGAGAGGTGCGGAGCCCAGGATAAGCATCATTTGGATCAGGTAGGGTGTTCCGTTGCGAATGTTGTCGTGCGCCCAGGCGCGTCCATAGTAGCCGGCTGATTCGCCTGAAGAGCGTATTAGAAGCCTGAATGAATGGGGCTTTTTGATGATTTGTTTTGGTTACCTATGCATCCGAGGATGAAAGGGATGAAATACCAGCTCCGATATATGAACATAAGAACGATATGTGCTATAGCCATGATCCCGAACATGACCATGTATGCGTATCCAGCGCCAATTGAAGGGTTGTATGGAAAAAGATCAAAGTTTGCTTCTCCACGAGAAGCGAGGTGTACCAAAGCCATGTTGTTGCTGGGAATTTCCAATGAAGGCGGAAGTTGACAAAATAGAAACTGTAAGGAGGTTGTTTGGATCAAAAACGTAGCAATATGAAGAGAAATATAACTTTTATTTTGCTTGGAAATTTGTTCGAATTTATAGTAGAATTAGCCATAGTGTTAAGGTCTCGTATGTTCGACGTATTCGTATTCTAAGAGCGTTACTTACCCCTGCAAGTGTTGCTGGGCGATCACACAATGCACTGACCACTAGTACGTAGTATGAGGCTGAGTTTCGATCATTTTGTAGTAGTGTACCAGACGGGGCAAATGCTTAGAACGGCTTAATACCTACTCTACTCTACTAATATGCCGGTGCACACTGTTATAAGTAACTCCAGTCAAAACCATCGTCCAAACTCTGTTATAAGAGCAGGACATCCTGTATAGTAAATAAAGCATCCCAACTAATACTTTTCAATCCTTCTAATAAGTACTTTTCTCTAGATTTCATTAACCCTCTATACCGCTGCTATCGCCGTCGTGCAATCGAAGGTAAAATGTGGAATCGTCTCCTCCGTAGCAAGACTCATGGCTCGATACTATCTACATCCGTTCACTATCTAGATATAGTAAAGATAAAGGATATAAAAAAAGAAAGCACCGAGTGTCGGCATCGGCATCGGCATCGGCTACGTTCCTTTCTTTCATTGCTTTGATCCTTTTTATTTCGTTTTAAAGCAAAAACAGGGGAAGGGACGGGAATATATATATGTGTGTGTGGAGGGGTTGAACCAATTTTTAGTTATTTCTACAAATATGTACATACATCCATGAACTTGGTTATGCCGGACCTTGACCTCGTTGAAGAGGCAATGTTTTTCCATAAAAAAAAGGACAGAGAAGGGGATGTTCTAGACCAAATTGATCGACATACTATCATGGTCGTCATGGTCATCATCTTCGCCGTCGTCATCGTCGCTTCAAACACACCTCTCTCTCGCTCATGCTGCCCGTCCCCGATACTGCACCTTGACATATCTCTTTCTCTTTCTTCCTACACCCATGCGTGCAATGCGTCAATCTCTCTCCCAAAAATGAAATACTGGTAAATGCCTTTTTCCACTTCGCCTCCGCGCGTCTTAAGTACTCTCCGAATCCAAGTGTTTATTTGGTAATATCGCCACCCCAAACACTCTTCGCAATCTCAACATTAAGTCTAACCTTAGCCCATTGCTCCTCCTCCGTCAAATCGTTACCCTCAGCAGTCGAACTGAATCCACACTGGTGGCTTACACACAGCTGGTCAAGACCCTTTGGCGTAATCTTGGCGGCCTCGTGCAACCTCTTAATGATCTCGTCCTTGTCGTCGAGTGTGTTCTTCTTGCTCGACATGACTCCCAGGACGACGACCTTGTGCTCGGGGAGGTGACGCAGGGGGCTAAAGTCGCCGGAGCGTGCGTCGTCGTACTCGAGGAAGTAGGCATCGACGTTGAGTTCTTTGAAGAGGACTTCGGCGACGGGCTCGTAGCCACCGGAGGCGAACCACTTGGAACGGTAGTTACCACGGCAGAGATGGATGCCAATCTTCATGTCGGCAGGCCTCTTCTCAATGGCCTTGTTGATGAGCTCGGCGTACTTGCGCGGCAGGGTGCTGAGATCCTCGTTACGCTCGGTTTCGGCAGCCTTGCGCATGTCTGGGTCGCACAGGTAGGCAAGATTTGTGTCGTCGAGTTGGACGAAGCGGCAGCCGGCCTTGTAGAGGGAGTCGAGCTCCTCCTGGTAGACGCGTGCGAGGTCGTCAAAGAAGACGTCGAGGTCGGGGTAGGCGGAGATGTCGATGGAGGCACGGCCACCACGGAAGTGCACCATTGTGGGTGAAGGAATGCAAACCTTTGTTGTGGCCTTGCTGCCATTGTTCTTGATGGCCTGCTCAAGGAACTGAAAGTCCTCAACCTGGATAGCTTTGGGGTGGCCGAGCTTGCCAGTTACGATGAGGGTTGGCGGGGAGAAACCGTCCTTGTGCCTGATGTTTCCAACCTGGCCCTTTTCCTCGATACCAGCGACGTTCTTGAGGAAGTCGAGGTGAAAGTATGCGCGGCGGAACTCGCCATCAGTGACGGAAAGCAGGCCGTTGTCTATTTGCTGCTTTGCAACCTGGGCAATGTGCTCGTCTTCAACCTTGCGAAGCTCCTCGGCAGTGATTTCGCCATTGGCGGCTTTTGTGCGCGCCTCGAGGACGGCCTTGGGGCGAAGGAAGGAGCCGACATGGTCAGCGCGGTATACACCGGTGGGAAGAGGCATGGTGATTGATGTTTTGGTAGAGAGCGTGGTGTAGTGAAAAGAAAAAGGCGGGATTGCTGGGAATTTAAGTCAGACGGATTACAAGTAGCGAAAATTTGGTGAGTGTCTCTTCCGCCTTACTGCAGCATGCACCCATTGCTAACACGAAACCATGAAGCTACCCCACCACGGCAGTTGTTAGAGCCAGGCTAGGACATGGATTCCTGGCACCCAGCAAAAGCCCTCGCAACAATGACACTCCAAGTTGTAGCCGCCCGATTCCAGAAACAGCTCACTGGGCATGCGAGATTGGCGCAAAAGTCGCCCTCATACACATACCCAAACCAGCGTTTCTGTTCAATGGTGAATGCAGTGAGTTGGGATCGTCGGTTCATGCGGCTCATCTATGGTTGGCGGGCAACATGACGTTTGGTGGGGTACATACAGACCCTGCCTTTCTAGCCCACCATGCCCCTTACTGCTAGTCTTTTACGGCTGGCACATGGGTCACATGCTTCCGGGGTAAGAATGTATCCATATGTACATGGCAAATATGCTATTACAATTGGATATATTGACACACGGACGAAGAGGTAAGATTGCTACAGCAGTTCAGTCCCGCTCTATGCAGCCTTCACCAGCTTTGCTTCCAAGAGTTCGCCAAACTGCCCCTCCCATAAGCCATCTTCTTCATCGTCACTCTCCATCAGCAACGCATCAGCCGCGTTGTAGACTCGATTGCCTTTACCGTCAAACTTCTTCTCCTTCTTGACCAGGTCGCGCGCTGCAATCCTCAATTGGATTGTCCCTGCGCCAGGCCCTGAGTCCCCTTCATGCTCTACAGTCGCCGTCTTGAACCCACTAATTTCAGGCGTGACAGTGATAGGGTTAACAGTAAAGAATTTGCATGCAATGACCGCACCCTTCTTCATGTCCGCTGCCGTAAGATCAGGCAAAGTACTCATGTCCTCGGGTAGTGCCGCCAAATCGATCTGCGCGGCTGTCGCAAGGTCCTGTTGAAGCTGATCTTCAATGGCGGCATCTATAATCTCCGACTCATTGTTGGCCGCAGGAGCATCGTCATAGTCCAGAATGATATTCTCTTCCTCATCTTCCTCCTGTACTGCATATTTCTGTTGTGGTGCATGACTCTGCTTCTTCTTCTGTTTCTTCTTAGCCGCCTTCTCCCGCATCGCCTTACTAGCAGGATCCCAGTGCTGCTCAAATGGAAACGGCGGAGCACTAAGCTCAAACTCCTCATCCCAACACTCAAAAGCAGACACGTTGATACGCGACTTCCAGAAATCAGGGTCTGATGCCCCTTCAAGTTCCGCGACTTCATCCACGGCTGCTTTGTTTCCTCCCTTTCTAGCCACTGGTGCTGCTTGTCGAGCAAGTATCCGACCAATAGCAGCCGTATCTGGCCGTAGCCTTCTCGAAGCAGCTACTTTCTCAGCGGGGGCTTCATCTACTGGTATTGTCTGCGGTTGCACAAAGTCAACTGATGGCACAGGACTAGACAATGTGTCTCCAAGCCTTGCCATTAGCTCTTTTTTTCTTTTTTCCAGTTGTAAGGCATCTTCATCTCCCATTCCTGCCGAACCCTCTTCTTCATCCAAGCGTTTCCTTTTGCCCTGAGATCTAGAAAAGGGTTGTGCGCTGGTAGAATTTTCTTCTTCTCTAGGCTGGCCAAAATTTCCTTCCTCATAGTTCTTCAGGTCGCTCAGACCCGCACCCTCAGGGAGCAAACCAGATGCTATCAGACGACGAAGACGATTTACTCTAGTGCGTCGGGAGTTTCGGACCTTTGTAGCTTTGAGTCCCTGGCCTGGAGGAACGTGCTTTGTTGCTGTAGTCTTGCGGCCGTCCTTGGACGATAAAACGTCAGGGGGAGCGCTTGCATCGCTGTCATCGGAGTCAGAGCCGGAGTCGGAGTTACTTGTCGTATCTGAATCTGACCCTGAATCTGACGTGTCTGATGCGCTCGACGAACTGCCGGGCTTGGCTGCCGAGCCCGAGTCTGAATCTGAGTCGTCTTCTGAATCTTCGGCAGAAGAGGCGGATTCATCGCCATCTCCTGGCACAAAGTCGTCGTCTTCCTCACTGTCATCCGATTCATCAATCTCTGGCTCCTGGAAGTGTACTGTCTTGGACTCTCTCCCAGACTTGTTCACACCACTCCTAGAGACTGTATGACCATTCAAAAGTGGGAGAGGCTCCTCTTCTTCTTCGGTTTCTTCACCGTGTTCCATAAGCAAAGCTGTGGCTTCTGGCTCTGGCTCTGGCTCTGGCTCTGCTTCTCCGTCGTCGAGTCGGCGTCGCTTGCGTGGGGGTATGCGAACGGGGGGTCGGTTTGGTTGTCGCAAGTAGGGTCGACCGAAAGGAATGCCATCGACAAGGTGTTGACCTCCGTCAGATATCTGGTCACGGCCAGTGAGGGTACGCGCGCGTATTTCGGCTGTCATGAGCGGTCGGATGCTATAGTTGAGTCGTCAGCATACAACAGCACAGTTACTATGATGTTACGTACGAAACATGATCGTCTTCCTTGAGCGCATTGATGACAGGCATAAAGTGAAGGCACTCGAAGCCGCCCACCTCAACGACATAGTGCTCCAGGCCCCAATGCTCAGCCTCTAGCGGAATGATGTGGTTAACATCTTCGAGCAAACGCGTAATGGTGTATGCCTGTGTACTGTTGGTGTCGGGAACGCTCCAGAGGATGTTGGCAGCGGGCAGGCCGTTCCTCTGCACCGTCAATCGAAGCCTCATCTCGGCACGTCAAGATGCATGTGGTTTGCGACAAGCCCAAGTCATCTGCATCGCGAACTTTTGGACATGGCGCCGCGGCCAATGACGATCTATGCGCGTATTACTAGTATGATTTGGTACTAGCGTGTTTCTGCCGGTCGATCTTTCACAGTGACATTCCTCCCGCATGACGCAATCGTATGCATCTTACCTGATCTAAGACGATTCATACTCTTGTTCTCTCCTTTCCTATCACTCCCACTTCAATTCAAATATAGTTTGGACAACAACAAGAACTCACAATGCCAGTTGGTAAACCAATCAATACCCTCAAGGGCTCCTGGAAGCGTCTCTTGAACGACGAGCGATTGCGCCGCTCTTCTCAAGTACTTTCAGTTGTCGATTCAAATGTCTGCATCTTTGGTGGTGAGGTGAAGCCTCGGGAGCCCATAGATGACAAGGTCGATGTGGTTCCCCTCAAGTCCAGTATGCCCCTCATCTGAACTGGCCATCAAGGTACATGGCTAAAATGGGAACAGATGCAACAAACGTGGACACAAAATCTACTTCGTCAGCACCCAGCCCAAGAGTAGGAAGCGCATCAGCCGTTCTCAATGGCAAAATGCACTTGTTTTCTGGACGCGGCGGTATCGACATGGCACCCATAGAGGAACAAGGCGCAGTGTGGTGCTACGATCCCGCAAGCTCGTCATGGACAAAGATCACTCCAGCCGATTCATCAGCGCCCTATCCACCAGCACGCAGCTATCATTGCTCCACTAGTGATGGTAAAGAGACTTTCTTTCTCCATGCCGGATGTCCCGCAAAGGGGCGCCTCTCCGACCTGTGGATGTTCAACACCAACAACCGTACATGGACACAAGCACCAGATGCGCCCGGCTCTCAGCGTGGAGGCGCTTCAATTGCCTACCATGATGGCAAACTGTACAGAATGAATGGTTTTGACGGGAACACTGAACAAGGTGGTAGCATCGACGTATTCGACATTGCTAATAGCACGTGGTTCACTGATACCTTTGAAGCTGATGGCTACAACGGACCTCAGGCCCGCAGTGTCTGTGTTCTACTACCAGTCCGACTCGCTCACAAGGACAAGCTTCTCACGCTCTTTGGCGAACACGACCCTTCGTCACTGGGCCATGCTGGAGCAGGCAAGATGCTGAGTGATGTTTGGATCTATGATATCAGCGAGAAATGGTGGACGCAGCTTCAACCTGAAGGCACTGACGGTGTACCTGATCCACGTGGATGGTTTGATGCTGATGTTGTCAAGGCTGAGAGTGGTAACGATAGTATCGTCATTCATGGTGGACTAGGTGAGAACAATGAACGACTGACGGATCTGTGGCAACTTGTATTTTAACCTATATGGCCCGAAATAGGGATTACGGATTCTAAAAAAAACCTCAATTAGAACCCGTTCTGTTTCATATTTATGAGGCTCTGCATGATCGTTTACACATTCAACATTGTCCATTGAGGATGTAGTCGTAGTTTCTACTAACAAGATACTGATTCTACACACAGTCAGATAGAAATTGATGTAACTGCTTAATCCATTAATATAGAAGTATGCAGTATTATCGCACTTGGATAAGAGAATATTGATTTGGTTAACGGTCAGTCCTCTTAGTGCTTGTATTCAATCAGCAGTCAAGATAACAAACAATCTTGTATTTAGCAGCATGTATACCTATCAAGCCGAGCGGAAGCATATTCAACGTTATATAAACTTACCTGAATGATCCTTTGATTCGAGATGAATCTATATGACCGCGTCAGAAGTTGCTTGACTGCGAAATCATTTTGGTCACATTGAGGCTGGGATACGCATGTCTTTCTTCCTGTGGAGATTTTGTTGTTTGAATCAATTAGACATCCGTCTTGTTTCTCCTGTTACTTATCACTATAGCCATTCTTGCTTGTATTAACCTTTCACCTTGCACTTTAGACACTGCACAATACGCTCGTGGTACAAAAGTCATTATCTCAGGTGCGACAACAGATACCGAATCACGGCAAAACTTGAGCAATTTCATACAAGAGACCTCCAATATCATCGATTTACATTGAAAAATCCCAAAGACGGCAATAATTCCACATCCATCACGGGAACGTCAAGCTCGTACAAGACCACACCCCCGCACTTGCCATCCGTCCCGACTTGCCGTGTCATTGCTTCCCCGCACAACCATGCCGAGAATTAACATAAAAACATCTGGCGAATATCGCGAAATACTTCATGCTCCAAATCATGAGCCATTGATTGAATAACAACTAATCCCTCATCACTAACTTGTTGGAGCAGCGAAAATGCATTTGTCGGTTCTTGCGGGTGCAGCAGTTGTTGCGCTCATAGCACGCATCTTATTTCCGTTTCTGAAAACATTCTTCTCGCCGCTACGCAACATACCGGGCCCATTTGCTGCCAGGTTCACTGATCTTTGGTATCTGTGGCGAGTCCAAAAAGGTAGGTTTGAGTGGGACAATATCGAGTTGCATCGAAGATACGGTAAGCCGTGCCCTTCTATCATATGTGATTGAACCACCTTCTCCAAACCAGATGTATACCAGAGATGATCACTCACATTCTAACTGCAGGCGAGGTTGTCCGTTATGGACCAAACCGGTACTCCTTCTCTTCACTGTCTGCGCAAAAATCTATCTACAGTCACGGCTCGAAGTTCCCAAAATCTTCGTGGTACGCAGCGTGGAGTAACCCAGACCCATCGCAATGGTCTCTCTTTACAGACGACTCGATCCGACGCCATAGCGAGAATCGCCGACAGTACCAAAGCACCTACAGCATGTCCTCGCTCGTCACCTACGAGCCATATGTGGACGAGTGCGCGGACCTCTTTAGCCAGCGTCTTGGAGAACTTGCCAGTGCGGGCGCATACGCAGACATGGGACATTGGCTACAATGCTATGCATTCGATGTCATTGGATTGATAACGTACTCCAAAAGATTAGGGTTCCTAGACAGAGGCGAGGATATTGGTGGCGTAATGGCGGCTTTGGAAGACCATTTGCAATATGCAACTTTTATTGGAATCTTTTCGTGGCTACACAAATACCTCTTTCACATTCGCAATTGGTTGGCTGGCCCGACAGGAACAGGGCGAGCATATGTGGCGAAGTTTACTCAAGATCGCATTGCAGAGCATCAGACGGAGCAGACAAAGGGGATACCAGTGGATGGAGCAGAGAAAGGGAAAACGAGCATGGACTTTTTGACGAAGTTCTTTACGAAGAATGCTGACGCTCCCGAGTCCTTTACCATGTACCATGTCGCCTCAGGGTGCGTGTCGAATATGGTGGCTGGCTCGGATACCACGGCCGTTATCCTCTCTGCTATTCTCTATTACCTGCTTAAGAACCCTTGCACGCTTGAGACACTGCGGCACGAGGTTGATGAGCGTCAGCGACAAGGCCAAAGCAGTCACTATATCACATTCAAGGAGAGCCAAGAGATGCCCTATCTCCAGGCGGTGATGAAGGAGGCACTGAGAATGCATCCTGCCACTGGCCTCCCACTGGAACGTGTAGTGCCAGCTGGTGGAGCAGAGATATCCAATGTGTTCTTTCCTGAAGGCGTAAGTTGCCACGCTGACGTAAAATGATCAGCTCGAAAGATGTATGGATACGGCTACTGATAAACCTATGTTAGACTATTGTCGGAATCAACTCCTGGGTTGCTCATCGCGATGGCACCATCTTTGGTCCAGATGCACACCAATTTAGACCAGAGCGTTGGCTTGTTGGCGATAAAGAGAGGCTTGCTATCATGGAGCGAAATTGGATGCCGGTATGTCATGGATTCGTCATCCATCTATTTGATCGACTATTGCCTCAATTCGCGCATCGCCACCTTCGCGTGCAGCCTTCTATCCTGCCCAATCTTGTACCTTGGGCGTCATTTACTGACTAAAATACGTGCTTGCGCAGTTTGGCCTCGGAGCAAGAACCTGCATAGGAAGACACATATCGTTTCTGGAAATTTCCAAGTTAATCCCCATGCTCGTTCGCGACTTTGACTTTACACTGGCTAGCCACCTGCAAGCGGCTGATCAGGAGTGGGAGACGACAAACCACTGGTTCGTCAAGCCGCGCGACTTCCAGGTCAAGGTTGCGGCTAGACGGCACAATCAGCAGTGATTGACATGGGATAGTGGAAGAAGCGGTAGGACAACGCAACACCGCATTCGTCACGGATAGTCAAGTTTCCGAATCGCACATCATGCCAATTGCGCATAGTAATCGATCTTGACCCCCAAAGTTTTTTTCCTCAAAGAAAAAAAGTGCCTTGCCATTACCCTCAACAAAGAGTAGACCTAACAGTAATTGTGGACACCGCTTCGGCAGCTAGTCCTTCCGATTGCGCGATTTCACACCATACACAAACAGGAGAGAACATTAGCATCATAGATAACAGCGCTTCCTTCGGTGTTTATTTTTTGTTGGATTCACCCTAAAAACCTAATCGCAGAGTCGTTCGTGTAACAATCTGCACGAAGGATTTCTAGATAACGTCTGCATGAGCTTTGCGTTCCCGTTGTATGCATGCATAAAATCCTTGTGCATATCGTATGTTAGCCCCCCCCGTTCAGACCGCATACACGGTATTATCAGTAAAGCAACATATTGTTAGAAACACCGACATAATCACTTTTACCGCCTTGCCAATCAAGCATTCTCCAAGGCCCAGGCAGCCAGGTGGAGGTGGGACATGGCGGCCTAGGAAAAGCAAAAACAGCAAATGGTAAGGGATAAGGGAGGAAAGGGAGCCAGCAAACTGGCGCGGCGATTTTTCATGTGCTTTTGCTTGTTTTTTTTTCTTGATGGGGCACGCCAAATGGGGCCCGGGTTCTGGGGTTCGTGTTTTTAGGGCAGATTTTGTGTTTTTATCTTCCCGTCCAACAAGTGGTTTGTAAGGAAACACGTTGGCGGTAACTACTTACTACCTGCGTTGCCAATTTATCGATTTCTCACTGGCACCATGCAGTTCTTTGATACAACGTTTGCTAGGGGGTTGTTGGGTTCAACCACCAAGCGAGCGAGGAGGGTGGTGGTAAGGGAGGGGTTGCAACACATGTACGCCAAGGTGTTATGGTACGATTAATATTTGCCATGACGCGCATACTTGTAATTTGATTGCGGCGGCCTTGTGGTAATTGAAGGGTGTGTGCCGGTGCTGCGCAGTGGTGCTGTTCCACAACGTATCACTAGTTTGCGATAGCGATGTTAGGCGTCACCATGACTGACTTACTGGTTGACGGGCGCCCTTACACATGCATGACACACCGTCGCGCGCTCACCCCTTTTGTATCGTCTTTTGTGGCGTATTAGTCTGTCGTCTGCCGAAGGGGGCGCGACAAGTGGATTGAAGGGGGCTCGTCAGATTAGGAAAACCATAAAAAACAAAAAAAAACACCAGGAATTTGCTGGTACACTAATCAGGGCGCTGAAACGGCCATGACGAAGATGCCATCTCCCTATTATTTTTGTCTCCCTTCAGGTCCTGTAATAACCAGATGCACAATAAACGCCACTTTTTACCCGCTTAAAAAGAAAACTACAAACGCAGTGCCGGATGAAACAGGTACCCGGCCGGGGGGTGTAGGTGAGGCGGGCAAAAACAAACAGCGAAGTCGGTACTTCGAACAAGCAAAACAGATGCGCAAATCCGACACGATGCCGACTGATGCTGTGGGGTTCTAAAAACAAAAAGGAATCCTCACGCCGCATCGTATCCCGTATGAAGCAAAACAAGGAAACAAAAGCAAGCCATCCGCAATCCCGCTTCCGAAGAAGCAGAGAAAACAAAAAACTGTCCGGTTGAAACGGCCCACCCACCACCACCACCACCACAACTATCACACATGCACACGCTCTGCACTCATCCCACAATGCCCCCTGTTACTGCAGTCGGAACCCTGTCCGTCTGGCCCGCTTAACCACCTCCCTTGTCTTTCTTAACTGCCCTCTACCCTGTCCTGTCCCTCTCCCCACGCTACCAACACCATCCTAACCCAATACCCTTTACCCCCCCGTCCGCTGCCGCGACTCATCTGCGTTTCGACTACCGGATTCGTATTTGCGTGCGAGCTTCCACTCGTGCAGCCGCCTTGTTCGCGAGCTGAACACAAAAAAAACAGGTAAAGCGTGGAAAGTTATGAAGGTGCTGCCGCGTTCCGAGATAACAGCAGAGATAAAAACGAAGAATACGAACGATAGGATAGCGCCAATACTTACGGCCGATACGGCCGAGCTGGCTAGCTGGCTGGTCTGGATGGTTGCTGGCTAGGCTAGCTAGATACACTTTGACAAAGGGGAGCACCGCGGATGGCGATTGGTGTTTTTTTTTTCCGCCAAATAGCGGCTGTTGAGCTTGAGCTTGTATGCGAGGCGCAAAAGAGCCTACGCATGTAAAGTAGATGAGTGTTTATTTGACTACACACGGGGAAAGAATACATAGAAGAGATGTATCTCGGCTAAGGAAAAAAAAGGGTATGGAGTGCGAAATCGGGCGGCGTGTGCGTGAGAGCGCGCGAGCGCCATACATTGGTCAAGTTCGCGAACAACGCCACACCGCTGCGTGCGTGCAATTTCCAGATGGATTTGTTCGTAAAAAGATTTGGGATTTTTGAAGGATTGGCGAGCGCGTGGCTCGGGAGGGGCGGACGGGGCGGGCGAAGGATTGTGCGGGTGGGGTGTGTGGGTGGGCAAGGAAAATAGAGCGCATTAGAGCGAGATAACGCACATGGGGAGTGGGAGCGAGGTTTGGTAGGAAGGGCAAGGGCTAACTAGCCATGTGCTGCCCTTGCGATGCGGTGGGGACAAAGCAGTGGATTCTAGTGGATGCGGGCGGAAGGGCCAACATGCTTGATTTGGATGGTTTATCGGTTTCGCACTCGGAAGAGGGCATGTAGGCGAGGGTGCCATGCGGAATTGGGCGAATCAAGGATACGTACATTGGCTGAATTGAGAAGACGCACAAGCGAGCAAGGTGCGCGCTTTTGGTATGAGTCCCGAAGTGCCCTTCTAGACGTGGCATGGAAGCCTATTTTTCTAATCAGATGAGAACAGGATGAAGATAGGAGAACCTTTGCTTCTTTTGTAAAACTTTGGGTGTGGCGTTCACAACTGTTCCCAAGGTCTTTTGCAGAATCCACAATGCAATGCCGGCACTTCAGACGAGCCGAGGTGGATCATGCGATTATACAAGGCCACTACTGTAAGCCTGTTGCCAGCAGCAATCCCGTGTCAGACGGCATGTGTGAGAAGGCAAAAACAAAAGGATAAGGAACGAGAAAGGTCCGTGGAAGGGCCGCAAAGAGCAATCGTAAGATTTGTGGGGTTTGGAGGATGAACATGGATTAAAATATAATTCTACAACTCAGTTTTGGGCTTACTTCGATTGTAAGAAAAAGTGTATCATGCGCTTTGAGTGTGCCAAAACAAGACGCGCCTAATGCGCCTCGATCATCCCAGTGTGCGATAAACGTCTAACGTGCCGTTATGTGCCAATTACCCCCAAAAACCAAAAAAAGTAAGCAGAACAGCCGTTCAGTAATGTAAAAAAGGCACGGGTGCATGGGGACCCGTGAAGATCGAAAGAGGTCAAAGATGCGCAAGCCACATCTAGCACTTGCCGGCTTGCCACATTTTGACGGATTTGACAGTCATACCACGCTCGGCACCTTCGCCCCAGGTTGGAAGCCACTCATCCTTGGCTGTTGCGATTGTTAGTAGGTTTTCTCTAGATAATAATGAGAATATGTGGAAAACGTACCATTCCAAAAGTCCCTAGGAGCAAAGTCGCTGCCATCGACCCACGGCTTGTTGCCCTCACCGTCAAAGAACCATCCATTCTGCGCACCGACAGCGACGTTGAGGATGAGGTAGAACTTCTGGTCAAATGGTGCATTGAGGCCACCCTTGATCCATGGGTTTTCCACAAGAGTGCCGTTTGCAGTAGTGACGCCGTTGAAGCCACCCTTCTTCCAGAGCTGGTTGTCCTCGGTGAACTTGTAGTACATGACCTGCTTGAGACGGGAATCGAGGAACAGGAACAGGTACTTCTCGGTCCACTCGAGACCAAAAGTGTGGTAGGTCGAGGCAAAGGTTTGGCGGCGGAAGAAAGCATTACCGTGTGTGTTGATGTAGCCGTCGTGCTTGGAGTTGGGACCCCAGTGGAGAGTCGAGGACATGAAGTCGTTACCTTCTGGGTAAGGCCATGCGTTTCCGCGGAACTCAGCAATGTCGATTTCTCCGCTGCGGGGCCATTCGCCGTAAACATTCTCTTCAGGCATCATCCCTAAACATCAGTGTAAGTATTCATCGATACTATGGCGCAGGTTTCATATGGAACGTACAGATGGCGGGCCACAACCAGTCACCCTTTGAGGTTTTGGCGACAACCTCGACACGACCGTACTTGATGGATTTCTTTCCCTTGGTAGTCATGCGTGCGGAACGAACAGGAGGAATGATGGCACCGGTGGTCGCGTTGGACCTGACACTGCAGGATTTGTAGTCGCTCGAAGTGCAAGAACCGTCACCGCCTGCCTTGGTGATGTTGAGCGTATAGCCATCGACGAGCTGCTCTGCAGTGATGCCCGTGGACTCGGTTGTCAGAGTCGGGACAATGTGGAGACCCTCGGCGTCAACATAGCTGTTCTTTGGGTCGTCGGTCGTCCAGTCGAACTCGCCGTTTCCGTAACCACCAGTCTAGGTGGGTGATTAGTTTGGCGAAAGTGGAATGTGGACATGGTTGCTTACCTGAATCTCATAGCCCCAGTTGGCGGGGTCAATCTTTTCAAAGTTGTCGTCCATAATGAGACATCCTTCGGGAACCTTGGCTTCACTGACACCTGTATATGCGATGTAACCGGAGAGACCCAAGCCGATAACTATGCAGGTCAAGGTGATCCAGTTGCCAATCTTGGTGCGCTTTATCCTTGGGTCATCCTTCCATGGCAGCTCACGCCTGGAATGTTGGTCAGTTTCTGCAAAAGATTGAAATAGGCATATAGGCAACATACTCTCCCCGTAGCCTGTAGCTCCTGAATGGTCGCGGTTGTTTCCGCAGTTCAGCATTGCCCATTTGGTTCGGGCCGAGTCCGAAGGAGAGGTTGGAGGGGTTCCTGGGCAGGTAGCTACCAGCTGCTGATTGATCGGGACGTCTTTGTGTCATGCCAGCGGGAATGCTTGGGACATCTTGGGATTGGGCCTCAGGTGCCGGAGCATCAGCTTCGGGGGCCTTCTTGCTACGCTTGAAGAGAGAAGGCATGTTTGCGCGGAGGAGGGGGAGGAGTAACGAGTGTGGAGTGCAAAAGTCCAAGAAGGGCTCGAGTGGTGAGCGGGCCGGGACGAGGGGGTTTATTGCCGAATCCAACTCTTAGAGAGGATATGTGATTAAACAACCAAAGCCGCGGCGGGAGACGCTGTTGAGAGCTGAAGTATCAATTCCTCAGCCAAGCGGTCTGGCTTTTTTTGCGGCTCGAAGAATCGATAGTAGGCTGGCTGGGCCGTCGTCGGGATGAGCGAAGTCTGACGGCTCTACCAGTCTAGATTTAGAACATTCGACACGTTCACCAGCACGAGTTGGCCTAGCCAACCTGATGGTTTCTGCATGCGCAAGGGGCACGACGTGGGCTGTGGCTTGATACCAGGGCGCAAAGTAGACTAGCGCTCGCCTAGATGCAGGTACCTAGGTTGCTGCCGCTAAGATAAGCACGCGGCTAGTGTGACAGCCTTGCAGTCATCAGCCCAGGATGTGCTGCCACGACACGTTTAGCGAAGCGACAGAGACTGCACCGCCCGTACTAGGCCCGAGGCTGATAGTCCACCATGGCGGCACAGGAGTCGGACGCCACGACATATCCTTTCTCTTCATGGTTCGTGCCTAGATTTAGCGCCCGGTCGATCTCGTCACAGTGCCGCGCGACTCATACCGTCCTCTGTCTCCCCCCTGCGAATAGATCGGGCTCGGGGTGGAACTGGAGTACCAGTCCGCTCAACCACTTTCTGGGACCGATACTAGTACAAAGACATCCCTCTAGAAACCTGTATGCCGTCGATACGATGCCCTCCCCCTCTCCGTATCTGCAAGTTGGTGGCCAGAATCCTGCAGCTCGGACGCTGGCCCATCGTTGTCGATTGACTTATCTGTAGGCCGGCTAAACACCGCGCTACCGTCCTGGTGCGTCGCACCTGGACGACTCCCCCTGCCGTCTGACTCTGTCGACTAGAACCTGATCTGACTCAAAAATATCCCGGGTGGGCATGGCGTCATGCAACAACCTCAAGGTTCGAGACAAACAGTCTGCGACGTGTGGCTGCCCAGTGGCGAGCTGCTTGGTGTGCTGGACATATGCCTTCAGTCTAGGCAGGCCATAGTGCTAATCTTAACAACGGGACATCCGCCAGGGTCCTTATCGCTGGGAGCGGGTGACAATGCGTAGCCAAGGGTATCGTCGACCACGTTGGACCTGTGCTGTCAAGCTACATCACGTTTCGGAAAAAACAAACGAATGATGAAGCAATTCGCAGGGTCCTAGGCCCGCGTCAGTTCATAGCAATATGTATGATTGTGTACGCTTACCCAGCAATCCACATGCGGCCTATTCTTCGATCTTGGCCCGCACAAACTTACCAGGATTTTGGCGTGGTTACTGGCCACCTCGGACGGTTTTGGACGCCAGGTGCCCGGTTTGGCCATGGTCAAAGCACCTCCAAGTGGTCCCGCTCTCCACCATTTCCTTAGTCGCCGTCAAGCTGAGGCTGGCTGGTAGATGGCGCTACGCAATGCCGAGGACGATAGTTGCCCTTTGCAAAAAGTAAATTCTCCTCGTCGGGACAAACGTCAACAGCAGCGGCAGAGCTAATGCTTAGCCGCCATTTTGTTGGCTCAGACACAAGCGTCGGAGACGCCAGCGACTATGAAACTTAGAGATGCCTCCTTTTGACCCCGATCTCGATCATGACAAACAATTCCAACTATCTTTAGGCCCATGAAGCACCCCTTCGTTATCGTTTAGTGGCCTTGCCCATCGTCCCGACACCGAGGCTCGCTGGGCGGAAGAGCGACCGGGGCGTGCACGGCAAGGTGTGTGATTTCATGTTAGGATCGCTAGGTTCACCTGGTGGCCCGAGACTCCGCCCATTCTGGATTATCATGGCTGCACGGCGGCGTTTGTGACAGACGCAGTGACCTTTTTCGGGACGCTCGCGTAGTGACTCTTGTTGAGATTCGAACGTGCTAGACCAGGGGAGACGCCGACTATTCAATAGTGTGTAGCATGAGTGTATCTCTGACCGTGGTGGCTACGGGCTGGACCGGGGCGGAGCTTCGCGTAGGTGAAGGAAATTCTGTACACACTACCCGCTGTGCCGCCTTGATAACCTCTGCTCTGCGACCCCTTCGGCTCAATTTCAGTTCTTCACTCTTGTCTCTTGTCACTCTTCGCAGGGCTACTTGCCCATTCCTTCGTTTCTGGGCCTTGAACGTCACGTTTGCCTCGAGGCATCCCCTTCGAGCCTTTTTTTACTATCGCTTAGCAATAATCCTCGTTAACCTGTGCTCACGTACTGTAATTGTTGTCACATGTCCAACATGTCTTCCGCCACCCCGTCCCAAGATGGGAACAGACCCGTCATCCCCTCAAGTAGGCAGTCGTTGAGTGACAGCGTCAGCGACTCGCGCTACTCGGTGCCCCAAACTCCCAATGGCCGACCTCCTGTGTCGCGACCCTTGACCATGAAGATTGATGAAGATTCGAGATACCGTGCTGTAAGTATCTCCACTCATGCATCACGTGCCATGGCGCTGATTTCCCCAGATCATCAAGCATCTCCACGCCAAGGCATGCTCAATGCGTTGGATGACTGCTGGAGCTCAATCACCTGGCTCTTGCGAAGGTGTCTTGATCCGCAAGGGTCAAGGAGAATATGTCTCGGAGCCCGTAACTGCAGACCAGGACCTCGTGGCTGCAGTCAAGAGAATCAACCCCGGTGTCGCTCTCACCATGAGCACCGATGGCACACAGGCCGTGTTCGATGTCCTCGAGCCCTTTGAAACCGAGTTGATGTTCCAGAACGGTTCCCAGATTCAAATATTCGAGTCCATGGCCGAAGTCGCTACATCTAGCACCATCCGCAAGTTCCAGTATGCTGCCCTCATCCGACAAGAAAGGCTCCTGCTTGTCTGGCACGATGACCTTGGTGCTATTCTTTCTCAGGCCATGGAAGTCGAGTCCAGGATCCTCGGTCTCGTCTGGGGTACAGCCAAGAACCCCTTCAGCGGCTTCGACAGCGCCGTTCAGTCCAGTGCAAACTCCACCCTTGGCGGCTCCACGATGGATTTCGACATGGGTAAGAAGGAAGACGTCGAAGTCTCCACAGAGGAAGTCGACGGCGACGCCGAGAAGGGACAAGGCCCCAAGGAATCACTTGCTCGTCCACTCATTTTCACCAGCTCCCTCTACATCGGTCTCGCCATGAGCTTGATCTTGGTTCCAGTCTTGGGACTTGGTAACAGAGCGCTTATCCTCGAGACCATGACCGACAAGTTCTACCCTCGTCTTCTGCTTATCCTCGTTGAACCATTCTGGATCGCCTTGGGTCTTTTCTTCGTCGTCGTCGTCTTGGGCAATGTCTTCCAAGTTTTTGGTCCTATCACTGGCGTTTTGACCAACAGTCGTTTCCACTCTGCCATCAAGCCGAATCTCGTCCAGGCCCGCTCTCTAGGTTTCACCCCGTCCACCATCACCATCCAGATGCCCATCTACACTGAATCTCTAGAGGGTGTCGTCAAGCCCACCGTAGCCAGTCTGCAAGCCGCCATCTCTTACTACGAATCTCGTGGTGGAACCGCACGCATCTTCATCAACGATGACGGTATGGCTGTCCGTTCTGAGGAGGACAACGAAAAGTTTCTGCGCTTCTACGAGAACAACAATATCGGATGGGTCTCGCGTCCCAAGCACAACCACGAGGGCTTCGTCCGCCGCGGAAAATTCAAGAAGGCTTCCAACATGAACTTTGCTCTCAACACCTCCAACCGTGTCGAGGATGTCCTCCAACAATTAGTCGACTCTCGCTACCCCGACAATGCCTCCATCACCGAAGAGCAAGAGCTTGCGCTATACCATGAGGCCCTCGACCAGGTTCTTACCGCCGACCCTCGCGCCAAAGCTGGTGGTAACATCCGTATGGGTGAGATTATTCTTATCGTCGATTCCGATACCATTGTTCCCGAAGACTGCCTCATGTACGGTGCCGCCGAAATGTATCTCTCGCCCGAAGTTGCCATTGTCCAACACGCCACTGGTGTCATGCAGGTTTCCTGGGATTACTTCGAGAACGGTATCACCTTCTTCACCAACCTCGTCTACGCTGCTATTCGCTTCGCTGTCGGCAGCGGTGAGGTCGCTCCTTTCGTCGGTCACAACGCCTTCTTGCGCTGGCAGGCTGTTCAGTCTGTTGGCAATCCTCCCGAAGAGGATGGCTACGTCTGCTTCTGGTCTGAGAGCCACGTTTCCGAGGACTTCGATATCGCGCTTCGTCTCCAGATTGCGGGCAACATTGTTCGTCTTGCCAGTTACCACGGCCGTGGGTTCAAGGAGGGTGTGTCACTCACCATCTTCGACGAACTGGATCGATGGGAGAAATACGCTTACGGTTGCAACGAGCTTGTCTTCAACCCCCTCCACACCTGGCTATGGAAGACCCCTTTCACCAAGCTCTTCCGCACCTTCCTCTGGTCCAACATCCAGCTTTCTTCCAAGATTTCCATCTGCGGTTACATCTTCTCGTACTATGCTATCGGATCCGCTGTTCCTCTTGGTGCTCTGAATTACTTCCTGGTCGGTTGGCTCAACGGTGAACTTGACAAGTACTACATCGAGTCCTGGAAGAGTAAGTTCATATCCTACCCCTCAATAGATCCTCCGCTAACATCATCTAGTCTTCGTCACCTTGCTGGTTGTCTTCAACTTGATGTCCAACGCCTGCTTTGCCATCATGCGTTATCGTATCGGTGAGGCCAGCCTTATCGGTGCCTTTGCTGAAAACATCAAGTGGATGCCCTTCTTTATGGTCTTCTTCGGTGGTGTCTCGTTCCACATCCTGCTCGCCATCTGCTCTCACATGTTCTGCATCGACATGAGCTGGGGTGCCACAGCCAAGGAGAAGGACAACTCCAACTTCTTCGCCGAACTGCCCAAGATCTGGAAGCGCTTTAAGTGGATGTACATGCTCATGTTTGCCTTCATCGGTGGCATGATTTACCTCGGCTGCTTCGCTCCTCACGGCTGGGAGATTACTGGCATGACTGCTGTTGTTCCGTAAGTACCATTTCCTACTCCTACTTGATTGGCCTGTCGCTAACGCTGCCCAGTTGGTCCGTCACTGTAATCATGCACTGCCTGGTGCCCATCGTCCTCAACCCGTCCTTGACGGTCTTCAACTACTAAGTTCGTTTTATGATTAGATGGTTTCTCTTTTTGTCGGATCAGCGGCTGCGGCGTTGGAAAATTGGCGGCCAGTTGGCATACTTGGTCGGGATACATGGAGCGGATTATCGCATCTAAAAGGGCCTCGTTTCCCTCATCATCATCGCCTTTACTAGACTCTCAAGGCTTTTCCTTGTGTTAATTTTTATTCAATACGAAATGGTATTTCCATACTCACAGTCGGTTCCTCTTATTGCGGGCCTGCCGTTCATTTTCCACTCAGCCTCTACCCCACTTCGGAGGTGATTGTTTCACATCCATTTTTTTCGCGTCTCCCCATTGTCGCAAGGTAATGGAGATGGAATCAAGATGAACATGAGTTGGTTGCAGTGCGTTGTGTCGTGGTGGTCAGCCGGATGTGTCGGGCAGCTCTGTGATATACATGAGCTGGACATCGCAGGGCAGGCACGCGGTGGTCGGGGCCAGCTGAAAAAGCAACGAGGCCCTCGACTGCGCACACCACCTGCACACACTCCAGCACTCGCCAGGTCCATTTGTGCGCCTTTGTCGAGCCGTTGGGTGCGCCATGTGGTAAGACGAGCCGTGGTCCTTTTTTTTCTGATAGGCTGACCGGATTCAAATTCCAAGTCTAGACTGCCACTTCAGCACACTCAACCATGGTGGGCGTCTTCAGCTTCAGTCCTCGGTTCAAGCGCCCGACGCGCTCATGATCGGACATGCATTCCAGACACGGCAACATCATCTATCGTGATCGGATTTTTTACCAGATGGCTTCTGTTTTACACTGTAGAACAGCCTAGGTTTCGCTTCTGATCCTCCGGGGCGTAATGCTGCACCACACGAGGCATCCCGATTTCCGCCTTGTGACATCGGTAGTGACGTGCGCGACCGATTCTGGGTAGCGCAACACATGGCTTGCCAGCTAAGTCTACTATCCACGATGACGCAACTTCTCTCCCAATGAAGAGTTTACGCATGATGGGTGTTAAGTCGCGTACTGATGTCCTTCAGCCTAAATCATACGATTTCCCGCTTAAGATGCACGAAAATGGCTTTGGGAATGTCCTCTCAAGCCTTAGCCTCCGCCACACAAACTAGGGTCGTCGGAGAATGCAGCGACTTGCGGACCCGGGTGTTCCAGAAGCTTGTGAGATCCGGGTGACCACAGCTCAACTGCCGTAGCTGAACCAAATCGAAGCAAATGGTACTTTGGCAAACTTGAGAAGACCAAAGTCACTCAAAGGGATGCTTAGGCATGGCACAAATCCCCGCCATCATACCCTCGGACACACTGGTTAGTGGTCTGTTGGCGACAACCCCACAAAACTTCTTGCTGGGCCCAACACTATGAGAAAACGAAGGGAGTTACATATATATATGAACTGGACTTTTCGTTCGATCATGCAGAGACCGATATCCGTGAATGGTGTCTCCTGAACGCCATCCTTGACACTGATACGCTGGGGCTGAGCATCATGCAACACTTACCTGCGAGTACAACGTTGATTTTGTATCACTTTCACTGAGAGTTTCCTGGCCAAAGGAGCCATTGTAGTGCTGTCAGCAATCCCAATACTTGATGCCTGCACAAAATCGTCATTTGGAAATCGATTGACTCATACTGAGAATTATACATGATCCATGAGATTCTACATTCTGTCCGCTCGGTTGCTTCAGTTGGACTTTTGCAGAACCAACAGTTTCGTCGTCTCACATCTCTTACGTATCATATGGAGGCTATAGAAACGAAGAACTACCACTGGAAATAGTTGGGCATGTAATAAGTTGATATGCATAGTGACATAGTTTTGAGGTTCAATTTGCATCATCTTGGATATATTATTTGAAGGACTTCCTGCAGGCAGCTGGATTCTTTGAGAGTGGGGCGATACCTCATGTCCAGCCTCACACATCAACATGCGTTCTTCATGTCCTAGTGCATGCGAAATGGAGAGGCTACCACCCGACTATTGATTACAGACAACCATCAAAGTTTAGACGCAGCTCGCCTTCTATTCAGTTTGCCTAGGATCGCTAAGTGGCTTTCAACCTGTATACTGGTCATGAGCACAGCCACAGGCGTACTCCGGGAACTGCAATACCCCACACCCAAATAACGTCAAACTCAAGCCCACGATAAGTCAAATGGCTCTGACTTACTCAATTACAATGAGAATAAACCAGGCAACCGTAACTATATCAAAACCTTATTAGGACGCTAGTCAAGTCTGAGTCTCGAGATCGTAGACTGGTAGCTAGTGGATGTAAGGCTGTGCGTACTTAGAGGAGGCTTAGCCCACGAGAACACTTGGCCTGTGTCATATTACTCTACCGTTTCCATCGAATGGGATTACTGTGCTCTTAGGTATGCCTTTTTCTCGACTGACCCAGGCTTTTGCTTCGCTTGTGGAGCATGGCATGGTGGTGGCTGAGCCGAACCAAGGCGAAAGTCAGCCGCGGCTGAAAGCAGCAACTGATATTTGATCTCTGGCATGATTGCAATCTTCAACCTGTAATTCATTCGAGCGTCAACAATGGGCTGGTTTAGCAACCGCAAAAGCAGTTCCAAAGGACTGTCAGTTCCACCAACCGACGCACCAGACTCCACACCGGAAGTGTTCAGTACAACAGTCTCTGGCGTGAATCCTCCTCGTATATCTCAATACGGATTTTCACTAAGCCCTAATAACGGGCATCGCTCAATTTGGCAGCCTGATTTCATAGTCAGTGAGACGATACCTTCAGCAGCGTCGGTAGAGGTCGGATCCAACGAAGTTCACGAAAACTCGTCAACATCACACCGCTCATCAGAGAAAACAGCATCTATTGAAAAATCACGAAACAATACTCCAAATCATACACGCAGTGCTTCAGTCCAGCTCCAGCCGACGTCACTCGTCAATTCGGTAATATCAGCGGATTTCAATCAGCATGCCCATCCTCGGCAATCCACAACTCCTACAGCGGACCAGTTTTCTGTCCTACCTCCGACCCAAACAGTTAGTTCGCCGACTATCGGTAGTCTGACCAAGCCAACATGCTCTTTAAACCTCATGTGCTACAGATCTGGCAGCCAGGGCTGCGTAAGACGCCAAATCCATGTACTCAGTCAAGCCCGGTTGGGCATATCTCGAGATAATTACACCAAAATAGTTTCCATAAAGAATTCAGGTGGTTTGATTCGAAGCGATGAAGAGTTCTTCGCTGCCCTCCATCGCGAATACGAACACCATATTTGTGGCTTCTGGCGACGATACCTATCCCTCAAGACGCTAAGACGGATTCGACTCTTATCGTATACGCCTTCGACCCGCCCGGAAGTTGTGCCGATGGATGACTTCACCCTGCAAGAAATGTTCTATGCGTACCAACACTCCAAAAGCATAAAGACGGAATCAGAGTGGATTGACTGGGTGTTCCGGCTTCGCCAGGAGGACCGCCGTCATGCTCTAGAATTTGTGGAGGGCTGGAGCGGCTTCCGCATTGGCCTTGTTGGGTCAGTGCCGTGGATCGCGGCGACTGTAGTAGGTGTTGCGTGGACCGCAAGAGGTGGTGATGCACAGACGGCTTTTACGGTTGCTGCTTTCATTCTGACGGTTGGGACTTGTAAGTTATGACGCTACTGTGAATTTTCTCTGCTTACTTGAGTCAGCTTTGCTTGCGCTCCTTGCTATCGTTAGCAAGATTGAATCTTGAATTGCACTGCTGAAGTCTATTTCTTCTGACTTGAACTTTTCCAGATTTGGCATCATACCCATAAACGTAATTTGCTTCTTCTCCGCAATGTCCAAGAGAAACTTTGTTCGGCAGCCTGGGGTATCTTATTCGCTAATTACATATTGCGCGATCGCATCCGTTTTGCATGGGAAGCAGATGAAGCAGGCCAAGCATAGAGAAGCGACTTGCTTAGCAACTTTGTGCTGTTTCGATATTTAGTGGAGCACTATGGGGTAATGTGCTTTGCGTTCAGGAAATATGGGGCGCGCCTGAGCAGCGAGATGGAGACGCTGGAGTGCTGGCAAGCATTCATTGGGCCGGGTGAATCCTTCCAGGCAGCATATATGCTGGGATGCGGCACAGTGCTATGCAGTGGATTTCTCTCTAACACCTGCTTCTATAAAAGGGCATCTGAAGAAGAGTGTACTCTCCCTCATTGATTTCGTCTTCGTTACCGCATTGTCGAAGCTTACTTATGGCCATGTCGCGACAGAATTCGTTTATTTTCAGCCCCGGTCGCAATGAGACTCAACGGCTCGCCGAGAGGAGCAGTTCTTATTGCTCCGAGTGCCTTAAGAAGGTTTTCAAGAAGATTCCATCGGAAGACAAAGATACAAGCTTCCATCGGGATATTCATGAACTAGTTAACTGCAGCAATCGATGTGAGCTGTGTAAATATATTTGTAATCTCTTTGGAAAACCTCACTTAGAAGATTTTATCGCTCGGGCCAATGAATTTAATATGAAGCCAGTAGAAACTCTTGGTCCCGATGCGGCGAAGACCTTCGTCTATCACGATGGCGGATACTCAAGTTTACTATTCTTATCCCGCGCGCCGAAAACTGCACCGACAGTAAGCATCAGGTATGACACCAGCGACTCACTCTCAGATGTAAATGGGAATTTCGATCACGCTATTGTATCCATATCTCTCAACCATTTTGTTAGGACGGTAGGAGACGCGAGATCCTTTTTTCTTTATATGGAAGCTGGTACGCCTCGTGTGTTCTTGGCCAGAATAGCCAGAAGTTTCTAACCATTTGCAGGGAGAGCATTCAACCGCCCAATATGGAGTGGACTAGAGCCAGTTGATTTCCGATCACGAAGCGCAACGATCCGTGAATGGCTCACCGAATGCGAAACGTCCCATCCAAACTGTCGGAGGTCTCCGAAGCCAGACGCCCAGTTAGCAACACGTATACTCGATGTTCAAGAGCTTGAAACCGACCGTTATTCGGTCAATCTCGTCTCAACTAAAGGAACTGACTTGTACAGTAGACCTTACATCGTCCTGACTCATGTATGGGGTGGTATAGAGCCGCCTTGTAAGACAACTAAGAGCAACATAGCGAAATACTATGACAGCGGCATCGATTTCGATAGTCTCCCAAAGACCTTTCAAGATGCCGTTCGTCTTACCGTAGCTATTGGATTTAGGTACCTTTGGATAGACAGTTTGTGTATCATCCAAGATGACACAGAAGATTGGCAGCGAGAGAGTGCCAAGATGGCAGCAATCTATGGTGCAGGTACTATTACTCTCTCTGCAACTAGTGCCGAAAATAGCCATGGAGGATGTGGCCTGTCTCCAAAGCTTCAGTCCGTAATTCGATTTTGCAGTACTGACCCCGGACGCCCTGACTTTGCCGTCAAGGAAAAATACTACTTTCTTCGTCATCCGTCAAGCACCATCACAGGGCAGCTGCGTCGTGAACCGGTTTATAAAAGAGCATGGATACTGCAAGAAAAGATTCTCTCGCGTCGGATTTTACATGCTACCTTCTCTCAATTTGTGTGGAAATGTAACGTAATCACGGAGAGCGAAGATGGCATAGCGTATAATCAGAAAACGTATTTGCCTCCGGATAAAGCATGGTGTGTCGGGAATAGAGGGTTTCCACAAAAGATGTGCGATAGTGGTAATGGCGAACTTGATGTCTTTGAGTTCGAACACCGTTGGTGGTGGGATTGCGTAGCCGATTACATGAAGCGCTCCCTCACCCGTACAAGCGATCAATATGCCGCCCTGGCTGGCATTGTGCAATTTCATCAAGACATTTCCGGCAATAGACCAATTTTAGGTCTATGGGAACGTCATCTAACTCTTCATCTGTCGTGGAAAGCATTTCACGACCCTCGAGAGCATAAAACGCCTCTATTAGATCGAGCTGATTGTCGACCAAGTTGGACATGGATGTCTTTTCCTCATGGCAGCGTCAACATCAGTCCACCAGATTGGGGAGAACTCGCGGTTAAGAAACTAAGAGTAGGAGACTTGGGTATTGTGTATCAAGCCGCAATTTTGAACACAGATATAAAATGGAGCGGCGAACCGCTGACATCCGATCCAAGTGGTAGCACCATCAACATTCGCGGTTTCATGCGTCGCATGCGAAAGCCCAAGCCACTTCGGACCGCAATGCATAGTCGGTTACGCTTGGATCCAGGAGTTACCGATGAGGGCGGGGAGTGTGGCGAATACGACACGTTTGCTCTTTTCGCCTACGTGCGCAGTGCCGTCTTAATCAATCTACCGCCTACTATCACAACAGCATACTTAGTTGTTCAAGCAATTGGTCCAGAAGAAGAGGGTCTTTATAGGCGTATTGGGGAGCACGCGTTAACAGAGGATTTCGATATGGATGGTAGCCCAGACTATGTACCTGAGGGTGTTCAGAGGGAAATCACGCTTGTCTGATCTAGAGGCAACGTATCACAGCTGCCCGAGATATGTAGTGGGAGCCTTGGAGTGGAGAAAAGAAAATATTTAAGCCATACAATGTCATGTTGCGGCCGATCAGGTGGGCAGTCGTGTAGCTGATGGACCCCGCTACGTCAGCTCCGGAGCTTTGGCGGGGCAGCTCAACCAAGTTGAGAGCTGAAACAAGCACTAGCTATACAAGATCCTCTCACACCTTTTGCTTCTACCTCTTCTCCAGCATTCTCCCATACCCAACGTTTTTCTTTCGAATAAACACAAGAGCATACGAAGACACTAACATGATGCCGCAGTTCAGCGACATCTGGCTACCATGCCTGATTCTGCTTGTCTTTTGGGCTCGCCCCACCGCAGCTTTTGGTGCGGGCAACATCGCAAGCATGAGCTCCATTGAGGGACAGAACTGGCGCCATGGAGATATTGAGGACACCCTTCTTACGCTGCTCATCAGCGGTCATACTGGCAAGAAATTCAGCAAGATGGACGTCAAGCGTGTCTACTTTGGCAACTGGCTGCGCGACTACTCGCAAGCAGTCGATGTGGGCACTGTCAAGATGGTCTCAGCAGAGGCGATTCGCATCCTACTATGGGTTCTTGGCTTCATGAGCTTCGGATACGGCACCAAGGAGTTTGAGGTTACTCGTGACCGCCTTGGCTGCTACAGGCCGGAGGAGCACATCGACAACCCCAAGGTGAGTTCTGCAGCTTATCCGATCGGGCACACATGCTGACCCTTCAGGACTATGCTGACAACATCGATGCCCGCGACTACGATCGCCGCCTACGAGCTCCTGTTGACGAACGCCGTGAGCTCAGTATCGATGAGAAGACCGGCCTGAAGAACTACATTGCCTCAGAAGAGTTGGGCATCACAACATCGGCTGGCATGGTCCGCGACCTGCTCGCACGTTGCATTGATTTGGGTCAACGCTCTGGAGGACGAGGTCCCGACTTTTACGAGGCTCTGCGTCTTCTCGGTACCGCCACACACTGCCTGGAGGACTACGCTGCCCACTCCAACTACGTTGAACTTGCCTTGATAGAGCTTGGTGAACATGCCGTTTTCCCCCATGTAGGTAAGAATGCTCGCTTCTACGTCGCGGAAGCCAAGAAGGAGGTCTACCCCATCGTCACCGGTACCTTTGGTGGTGTCGATTTCTTGCACTCTGTATGCGGAGAGATTACAGACAAAACTACCCAATCCGAGCTTCAGGAGCTTGAGGGTGCCATCTCCAACGCCGACAGGAGCAAAAACAAGAGCAAAATTAAGGAGCTCCTCGAAAAGCTCCCAGAGGGCATCTTTGGTGGTAAAGATGAGTCCAGCAAGGCTGATGAGCTCGAAAACAATGCCAACGCTGCAGTCATGGGAAATATGCGCATCACCCCTAAGGATCCAGAGGAATTTACTCAACAGATTGGGGAACTAGTCAAGCAAATCTACCCCATTATGGAGTTCCACGATGAGATTATGCAATCCATTTCTGAATTCATCGAGAAGATTCCCATCTTGCCGGACCTGATCGAGGAAGTCCAGAACCAAGTAACCATCTTTGTCTTCAGTCTACTTGCTCCCTACGTCTTGCCTATTCTCAGCCAAGTAAAGACTGAGCTTGAAGAGGGCTCGACCGAGGTCATTGCAAGCTCTCGCGACAAGCAGCATATCGTTTTCAACGATGATGACTGCACTGACCCCACTCACAGCATGCTTTCCAAGGATCACTTTTCCAACGTCCTTAATGAGCCTGCTGGACGAGTAGCTTCGGCCACGATTGCCTGGGCTGTACCACAAATTGTCCAGTGCTGGGATGGCCAAGCAGACCCGACGCAGACCATTGACACCATCATTGAAGGTGTGTTCCACCACCCTGCCTGTGTCGATATGGAACCGAAGACAAAGATGATGGAAGGCCGTGCGATCATGTTCAACACTGTTAGCAAGTGGTGGGATTCCAAAGATGATGATGCAAAGGTCGAGTTCCGCAAGCAGCTCAGCCGCGAGGGTGTACGAAATGGCAAGAACCATAAAGAAAATATTCATGACAAGGGGCATGGCTGCGGTAAACCTCTGGGTATGGCCAATAACTTTGGCCCAGCAAGCAGCAAGACGGGCACCAATGCACAGATTCAACAAGCTTCCGATCATGTGGGTAAGCTTGCAGGTGAAGCTGTTGGTGGTGGCGCCCTCGGCGGTCTTGTTGGGGGGCTTGTTGGTGGCATTGGAGGCTCTATTCTCGGAAACGCTTTCAATGAGCAGGAGAGGAAGAGCCGCAAAGAAGAGAGTTATGGCAACGACGGCTCCTACACTCAGTCGTACTCGGAGACGGGGCACCACCAGGCGTCTTCATACGGTGACAGCGATCGCTACGGAAGTGCCCAGTATCAACAGACCCAGTACCCAGGCGGTGGGCGTCGGGAGGAGTACTCTCGTGAGGAACGAGATGACCGTGGTGGATCATACAGCTACCAGCAAAGGGTTGAGACCTCAAACTATAGTGGATCTGGCGGATACGAGCGTCATGAAGAGCGTCGTGTTCAGCAAGGGAGTGAATGGCGGTCTGAAGAATCACGTGAGGGTTTCGACCGATCAGGACAATACTACTCGGAAGAGAAAGAGTAAGTAGCTTGCTTCTAACGTAGCAGACATGTGCTAACACTTGATTAGGCGACGCGGTAAGTCCAAGAAGCATGACGACGATGATTCCAACGACTCGGGCGACGGAGATTCCTATGAGAAGCGCATGAAGAAAGAACGCAAGCAGCGTGAAAAGGAAGAAAAGAAGCATCACAAACACCACAAACACCATAAACACGGTAGTCGTTCTGGAGACTCGGACGACGATGCTGACAAGCGTCGATCAGGTTCGGGAGAATACAAGCGTCGCTCCCGCTCTCGTTCTCGTGAGCACGGGCGCCGCCGTGAAAAGAGCGGCAGTCGCTCGCCCAAGCGTTATTCGGGCGGCCACAGCCAGGAACAGCGCTACGGTGAGGAATCAGGATACGGTCGCCAACAGCAAGACTACGGCCGTGAAGAATCATACAGGTATGAAGATCTAGGACATGGCATTCACCCTAAAAACAATGGCCATAAACAGTCTCAGAACGTTGTTGACTCTTACAGTTCCGGCGGATACGGTCGCCAAGAAGGATCAGGCTATGGTCGTCAAGAAGAGTCGGGCTATGGTCGCCGAGAAGAATCAGGCTATAGCCGTGAGGAGTCTTCCCGTCATGGCAATGAGTCTTCTGGTGGGTACGGCCGTTCCGATGGCCTTGAGTACGGTGGCGAGCGCCCTGAGAGATCATATGGCGCTTCCGGCGTGCCTGGAGGCTTCGGTGGAGATGAGGATGAATATGGCCAGAGGAGACAAGAGTATGGCTCAGGCAGGTCTGGTGGTCAATATGGGGGCTCCGGCGAATATGAGAATGATAGTTATGGAAGGCGATACTAAGTATGACGTCCCACAGGTGGGGTGTCTCATGCTTATGTGCTGTGCTTGGAGCACCATGATGACTTTGTTGTAGTACCTGAGTAAGCACTTAGTGCAAATGACTGATGACTTATTGCCAAGAACGATATGCAATTCTTTGAAAAGTGTACTTGTGCTAGGCGAAACGTGGAACTCACGTACCAGATATATGCAGAAATCGTCATTTCTTACAGATTCAGTTTTATCTTTGGTTTCTAGATCTAGATCAGAGTGCGTGGCCCTAGTGCATAGAGTGGACGTCTTTACCCTGCTATGATCTTAACAAGATCCGACCTTTTCCTAAATGATGTAACCTGGCTGTTCATGTGTATTCAAGCATTCTCTCTTTCTCTATGGTACCTTATAGAAGGCGATTGAATCAGGTCCATGTCAGACGGATTGAACACAAGAATGACTTGAAAGGATCGACGTGGCCCGTCTAGTACATGAGTTTTGTAGATGCTGAGGCAATTGAACGCATGGACATTGGTCTTCATTGTGCATTACTTTTTTTTTACCAGATTGAAGATTTGGGTATCGAGAACGCGCAACAGCATGCTATATTTCAGGAAATATAAGAGAAACAAGGCCTGGTGCATGGTCGTTGTAAATGTACAAATACGTAGAACACGTGAAGGCGAGATGGGCGTGACCTGTTGCGCGCAGCTTAAACGCGCTAGTACCAAGCCGGGACCATGTCAACCCTCACGTTGGAAAGATTGACCAGAACGCGCCAACGTCACTAATTCCACTCTACTGTGTTTCTCTAACCGTTTGTTTTACCCTTGGTGCCGACAAAATGACGAGCATTGACGAGCTTTTCAAAGGCGCAAACGGCTCTGCAAAGCGCAAGTTTGAGAACCCAAAAGAAGCCGATCCAACGCAATCGTACAAATCCGCAAAGCTAAACGGAAATGGCGACGTAAAGGGCTCAGCGCAAGCCTCGGTAGCCGACGAAGAAGACGATGATGAGGCTGGTCCTTCATTACCACCGGATTTCGACGACGGCCCAGGCGACGATGACGAGGGACGATTCTTTGGCGATGGCTTGGACGAGAATGCGCGAGATGCCATGGAATACATTGATGCGCTAGATGGCGATGAGGCGATAGGAGAGGAAAAGTACGATGTTCCCTGGGTGCGCAAACTGGCGCTCAACTTTGAGAAGAAGGTCAACAAGAATGCTTCGCTACGCGCAAAGTATGAAAACGATCCAACAAAGTTTATGGAGTCGGAGGGCGGTTTGGATGAAGGCATAAAGGCGCTGAGCATATTGTCAGAGCACCCGGAGTTATACGAGGAATTCGCAAAGAGCACAGCAGCGTCAAAGTTGGTGGAACTACTGGCGCATGAGAACACAGACATTGCAATCGCTGCGATTGAAATGATATCGGAGCTTACAGACGAGGATGTGGGAGGAGAGCAGGAGCAATGGGATGCGCTCGTGGTGGCGTTCATGGAAGCAGATTTGGTCAGCCTGCTCATCTCCAACTTTTCGCGCTTCGACGAAACCGACGAGGCCGACGCATCTGGCGTATACAATTCGCTCAGCGTAATCGAGAATCTACTGTCACAACCAGCAAATACGGACTTAATAGGGAAGGAAACCACACTAATAAAGTGGCTACTGGTCAGAATTCAAAAGCCCGAGAAGCCAACATCACAAAACAAACAATACGCCGCCGAGATTCTCTCTATCCTCACACAATCCTCGCGACCGAACCGAAATCACGTCGCCGAAGCCAACGGCGTTGAAATCTTCCTCACAAACCTCGCGCCGTACCGACGAGACGATCCAGAAAGAGACAGCTACGAAGAAGAATACATGGAAAACCTCTTCAACTGCCTCTGCTCCATAACCGAAGAGCCCCTTGGCAAATCTAAATTCCTCGAAGCTGAAGGCGTAGAACTCTGTCTCCTCTTCATCCGCGACGGCAAAACAAGCAAAAGCCGCGCCCTAAAAGTCCTCGACCACGCCTGCGGCTACGCCTCAGATCCTACATCAGACCCCTCCTCCAACAACAACAACAACAACAAAGGCAAAGCCGCCGCCCAAGACCAAGACGCAGCGCCTTTATCCAACAGCGCAATGGCCGTCTGCGACAAAGTCGTCGAATCCCGCGGTCTTAAACCGCTCTTTTCAACTTTCATGAAGTCCAAGAAACTAGATCCCCAACAAACCGAACATATTCTTTCGATCTTTGCATCCCTATTGCGTTCGCTACCCGGAAATTCGGACTCGCGGTTCCGCCTCCTCGCCAAGTTCCTCGAGAAAGATTACGAAAAGATAACTAAACTCGTGGCGCTACGCCGGGACTACGTAGCCCGCCTTGCAGCATTCGATGCGCGGAGTGCGGCGCTAAAACAAGGATTGAGCGACAAGGAGCTGGAAGAGTGGGAGCTGGAGAATGTGACGGAGAGGTTAGGCGAGGGGCTGTATTGTTTGGAGCGGATTGATGCGGTTCTGGCGTGGTTGGTGGCCGAGGATGTGGGGGCGAAAAGGGCGGTGCAGGAGAGGTTAGCGGAGAGGGATGAGGGGTTGGAGGATGTCAAGAGGACGTTACAGGCGCAGTTGGATGGGGTGTTGGCAGTTGAGAAGGCGGAGAGGGATATGTTGGAGACGTTGGTTGGGTTTTTGGAGTAGGCTTGACGGGACAGGGAGATTGGGGGGTTGGATTTTGTATGATTATGTGTGAGGGGAGTTTGGAGAGATGTGTGGGATACCTGGTTGCTATGACGAGAACTTGGAATAGGGAATGTAAATTTCCATGCGTGTTGGTATCATGGCGATACTAGATCTCTGATATATACATATAGCCAGTTGATCAAATGCAGATCAATGGTTTGCCCAGATGAAATTGCTCTCCATACCAAGTCAGCTAACCCATGCTCTTCGTTCATCTTTTTTCTTCTTTTCTCACTTTAGACTTCATGCAGACATCAAAATAGAACCTTAGTAATACCTTCTCTAAACACTTACCTACCCCTCTGCTTCAAACTCATACGCATTCGACTTATGCTTGGGTTCAAACTTGAAGTGCTCATGAGCCGGACCAAGGAACATTTCACTGTCACACCGTTAGCCACCCATACAATCTTCCTGATCACAACACAAATAACATACCTAATCTTAATCCAATCCTTATAATGCTCACTCGCCATCAACGTCTCCAACTCATTGCGTCCCTTAAACCTCGGTGGCCGATCATTAATATGCGGCGGCAAATGCTCCAGCAAGCCCACGGGCACATATCGATGCGCGAAGCTCAGCCACTCGAGCAAAAAGCGGCGCGTAGTCCCGATGCCCATCTCATCGGAACCCCAAGTCTGGAGGCCGTATTTTGTAAATTTCTCAATGTATGAAAGGCGCTCGGTGGCGGACTTGTCGAGGTACTGGCCCTGTTCGATTTCCTCGAAGAGCCAGGGTTTGATGAGGGCGCCGCGGCCAGCCATGACGGTGTCGACTTTTGCATTCTCGAGGTGGTTGTAGTAGTCGATGTGGGAGTAGAAGTCGCCGTTGCCGACGAAGTAGACGTGGCCGCCGTTTGCGAGGTCGCGGGGGTCGGCTTCGGCGATGGTGTCAGTTTGGGCGTCTTTTTCTTTGCGTAGGCGGTTGATGAGGGCGGAGCACTCGGCGATGTAGGACCAGTCAGCGCTCTTGGTGTAGCGCTGTTGCTTGCTGCGACCGTGGAGTGTGATGGCTGCGATGCCGGATGTGCCTTTGCCGGATTCGACGGCTTCATGACCGCCTAGAACGAGACGCTTGATAAGCTTCTGTGCGGTGGGGTGGTTGTCTTTTGTGCCCATGCGGATCTTGACGGTAATGGGGACTTCTTTGGAGACATAGGCCATGCCACGGAGGATATGTTCTAGTTTTGCTTCGCTGTCTAATAGTGCAGAGCCGCTTCCCTTTTCGCAGACGAGGTTGATCGGACATCCACAGTTAAGGTCAATGGCTCGTAGCTTGGGGCAGTGGTCAGTTAGCACTTCGACGGTCTTTGTAGCCAGCCATGGCTTGTTCGCGGCGATTTGGGCACCGAATTTGAGGTCGGTAGAATTGTCGTAACCCTGCACAACAGTGTTCTCAGCTAAGAACTTAGGTGGGCTAATCTCGGATTCGTGAGCCTTCATGAGTGCCCATTCGCCTTTATCACCTTGAATCAGAGGCATGCCCATGGCCATCTCGCTCCATGTCACTTGGCAACCAAAGTCTATACAAAGTCGTCGGTAGGGCAGGTTACCCTGGGTAGTAAGAGGTGCGAGCATTGGTGTCTCAGGTCCGTAATATAGTCTTCGCTTCTCGGACGGTCTGAAAGGCGCTTCGACATATTCTGCCCTGCGCGCTTCCTTCTCCTCCTTGAGAATCTCCGGGTCCATCTGAGCAGCATCAAACATGTCTCGCTCGTTCCGGCTATTGCTTTCAATCCACTGCAGGTATTGATCAGATCGTGGTGTGCCGATCTTCCGTCTCGACAGGCCAAACTTGACTTCCTTGGGCACAATATTAACAACTTCAGCTTCGGCCTCGTCGTCATTGCCAGATAGCTTCGCCTTGAGTTCGGCATTCTCTTTCAGTACCAGTTCTTTTCTACCGTCCTCGGTGGTACGCTCTTCAGAGTGGCTGCCAACAAAACGGCACTTCCAACCAAAATGACAGAATCCTTTGACGGCATAAATTGGGCACTGACCATCAAAAGTGGTCAAGTCTTCTCGTCGGCCCTCCTTCAGGTACTTGCGGAGGTCGTGTTCAAACTTGCATTTTTCGCCAAATGGACAATCCTTGGGTGAGAATTCATTGTACTGTGCGCGAGTACCGCAGAGAGGTATCTTGTCGCGCGAGCTTCCAAAAGTGCGACTGGTGTTTTGGCCTTTCTGCTTCTTTTCTTTCTTGTTCTTGTTCTTGCCCTTGCCTCTGGGAGCATCGCGGGCATCAGTCTTAGCCAGGCCTTCAGATTTGTGGTCAGCATCAGCCGCCTCAGCCGCGTCGTCGTCAATCACATGATCCCTTGCGTCGACCTTGTTGTCGTTTCGATGTATCAAGAATCTAGTGTTCTTAGCACGTGAGTCCCTCTATGTTGGCGATGCAGCATACTCGGCCTTGATGGGCGCAACACCCTTGACCCGCTTGAAAGAAGTATCAGCAGCACCCTCAGCTTCTGGAGTGCTCGTTCTAGCTCTCTTCTTTGGGCTTGAGGGCGCCTCAAATTTCACATCAACCATGCCATTGCCACCATTTACGCCGTTGGAATCGAGTGCGACACCGCCGTCGGTTAGCTGGTGGGCAGGTTCGACCCCGTTTCCGTTGCTAGTAGACATTGTGTGGCGCAACGAGAAGCAGGTTCTTGATATGTTGTTGGCGTTGGCGCTCAATAGAGAAAAGCACTCGCTCAAAAAGTGAGTGCAAATACGGCTACAAGAGGCTAGACCGGCGGCGGCCCAAGCGCTAGTGAGCAAGCCAGGACTGTGACGTAGAGCTTCATAACTAGGCACCCTGCGGCTCCTACATCAGATTCGCGTCGCCAGTTCCCACTTTCCCATCATCTCTCCTCCAATCCCCTCAAACACTCGACTTGTTCATCACCTCCTTTCTGGCTGCTGCATTTGTCTGCAAGTCGGCTCTTCTCAGCTTCATTGTTGATTCCGCTCAACCCCGCTCCCACACAAACACCAGCTCGCGTCGTGCGAATATTACCACGTCACCAACAACATGACGCTCTACTACAGTCTGGTAAGCTATTCTCCTTCTTCAATTGCCTCCTTTTCTAGCACAACGATGCCCTGGCTATCCGGCGATCGTTGCTCGCGTGCTCTGTTCACGTTGCTTTTGGAAACAGAATGTGGCCTGATGCTGACTGCCTCCTGCCTCTAGGTCTTCCTCCTCCTGGTGACAGAGATGCTCATCTTCTGTGCCCTCATCGTTCCCCTGCCGTTCACATGGCGCCGCAGGCTCTTTACCTTCATTTCGGAGAGCCCGATAATAGCGAAATTACAATATGGCATGAAGGTATGTGGTGGTAGTACAGCCTTACACAAGTCATGTCTGACATGTCTAGATTACGTTCATCTTCATTCTCATACTGTTCATTGACAGTGTGAACCGCGTCTACCGCGTGCAAATTGAGCTTTCCGGCTCAGACGACCAGGGCCGCTCAGGGTAAGTCGACAAACGCCTCCGTTATGCTGCAAGACTAACACCTCAAGAAGTGTCGCTGCTGGAGGTATCGAACGCATGGAGGTCCAGGCTCGCAAGTTCTACTCGCAGCGCAACATGTACCTCTGTGGCTTCACCCTCTTCCTTTCGCTCATCCTCAACCGCACTTACGTCATGATCCTCGATGTTCTCCGTCTCGAAGAGGAGGTCAAGGGCCTAAGGGGTGACCCCAAGGCCAGCAAGAACTCTGCTCTGAAGGACGCTGGTGGCCCTGGTGAGGTTGGTGCTCTCAGGAAGGAGCTCGAGGCCAAGGATCGTGACATGGAGAACCTGAAGAAGCAGGTTGAGAACATGCAGAAGGAGTACAACCGCATGGGCGACGAGGTTGCTGGCAAGAGATAGACAAACACGAGCAATTTCGAACGGATAAGGAGAGCAAGTCACAGTTATGCTGGCATGGCGGAACACGCAGGTCGGTACTGACTCCACAAATGTCTGGGAGAAGAATCATCAGTCTATGGTTACGGCTTTACAATTGGTGTTGGACAAATAAGACACTTTTCGAGGATACACGCTATTACAGTATTATTGTTGGAGTGCCAGGGCTAGTTGAGGTAGCAGGGAAAGAGCATCAGATCGCTTTTGCTGTTGGCATGGCAGTTTGATAGCTATGCATGATGAGCGTCTTCACTTAATCAATTATATTGGCAACACGGCGGAGCTTCCTGCACAATTCCTCTGGTGTTGAAGATGGCGAGAGCATAGATGAGAATCCCAAGTACACAATTGCCGCATACTAGAGCACACAGGCGATAGGTAACCTTATAATGATGCCACGTGACCCGAGCAAAAAAAGCAAAAAAAACAAAAATAAAGAATGAAATGAATTGCAAAAACATACGACAGCGGGGATTCGCTAGTGGTCACCCACCTAACTACTAATCCGCCGGTAAACTGCTTGTATAGGGCAGATCGAACGGGATGCCTAAATTTCAGTTTCCTATGGTCGTATGTACCATTACAGTAAAAGCACGTAATAAATATCTCTCAGAAAACATCCATTCAAGTTTGGGTGTATTTAGAGACAACAAACTTCCGCCAAGACCAAGCCGCCGACAACTAGCTCCTGCTGTCACTTACAATTATCGACTGCACTGCCACTTCTCACACTACTACGCATATACCCCAATATAATAATCATGTATACAAGAGTATGTAGAAGATGCGGAGTTCATTTCTTGCAAGCATGCATAAGATGCATGTGAAATTGCGCATGGCCGTTGGTGGCATTCCGAGGTACATGTAGACCCTGGACTCAAGCTTTATAGCTGCTCGAAAGTGTTCCATGGTTACTCTTCCCGTGCATTCCCACAACACGTTTTTCCTTTGTTTCTGTCAGACGTAGCCAAAATGTCAGAAAGCCAGCAATTGTTTTCCCGTTTTGTCAATTATCCGACCCCCAAACCTAACGACGTGCCGTACCAAGCCCCACCCCAGGAAAGAACCCAGTGATCAAAGGGCCATTGCTGCACCATCTCGCCAATCTGTGAATTTATATCTTACGGCAATTCCTTGGATGCGCTGGCTGACCTTTTCAGTGTTGCAACCGTACCTCTGGTGCCCGGAGTCCTCTGGAGCAATGCTGGCTTCGGCACCCTGCGGCAATGCCGACAACTCGACGGCGTCGATGCGCGTTATGACCCAACCGTGATTCCGCTGTCTCAACTGGACGACGAAGCTCCGGCGAGCTATACAGACAAGTCGAATCTCCGCACACAACTGGACCACGCGTCGTCTGGCCGCTTTTACTCGATCAAAGATTTCCACGACGGGTACTCGAATGGCGCATTCACACCGTCGGACGTCATAGAGCGCCTGTTGCCGCTCATCCGCAGAGATGTCGCGCAGCGCTCACCGTGTGCGACAGCATTCATGGAAACTAAGGTGGACCTTGTGAGGCAAGCCGCCCAAGCCTCTACACAGCGATACAAAGAGGGGGAGCCGCTAGGAATACTAGACGGTGTGCCCTTTGGTGTCAAGGACGACTTGCTGGTCAAGGATTACAAGCACTACGTTGGCACGACACATGACTACAGCAATGGCGGCAGCAAGGAAAGCAGCTGGTGCGCAAAGATGTTGGAGAAAGAAGGTGCTATCTTAGTCGGGACACTCACAATGCACGAACTGGGCATGGGTAAGAGGCATTCCCCAGGTTGTGATATGAGCAATTGGCTAAACACACACACAGATACAACCAACAACAACCCCCATTGGGGTACACCACGAAACCCATACAACAGCTCTTACTACCCTGGAGGCTCTTCAGGCGGCGCCGCATCTGCTGTCGGCCACGGCCTGATACCCTTTGCCATTGGATCCGATGGCGGCGGCTCTGTCCGCATCCCCAGCAACTACTGCGGCGTCTACGGCCTCAAGCCCTCGCATTCCCGCGTATCAATCGCCCCAATGCCCAACTCCGGTAAATCCGTCACCGTGCGTGGGCCCCTCGCAAGCAACATGGCCGACCTGGAGATTTCGTACCGCGTGCTCGCCCAGCCAGATCCCTCGACATATCCCTCGTCGCTATTTGCCCCGCCACGCAAGTTCTCAGGTCCACGCAACAAGGCACTGGGAGTACACAAGCAATGGATTGACCGGTCCGACCCTGTGGTCCAAGAATCCTTTTACTCAGCCCTCAAATACTTCGAACACGAACTCGGCTACAAAGTCATCGACATATCCATCCCCCTGCTCACCCAGGGCCAACTTGCCCACGCCATGACCATCATGGCCGAGGGCGCCGCAGCCCACCGCTCCTCGATTTACGACCTCACGCCCGCCAACCGCATCCTCATGACCATCGCCCACCAAACCCCCGCCACGGATTTCCTACTCGCCCAGCGCCTCCGCAACCTCCTCATGCAGCATCTCGCTGACCTATTTCGCGCATACCCGGGACTTGTGATTGTCACGCCTACCACGCCGAATGCGGGATGGCCCATCGACGAGGCGGAGCTCTCGCATGGCGTTACGAATGGGAATATGCAGATTCGCAATATGGAGTATGTGTGGTTGGCGAATTTTACTGGCGTGCCGTGTATTCAGTTTCCGGTGGATTATGTGCAGGGCGTCAAGGGGGAAGGGATGGTGCCGATTGGGTTGAGTGGACACGGTGAGTGGGGCAGTGAGGATGCGCTGATTGAGTTTGGGTTCGATGGCGAGAAGTGGTTGCATGAGGGGAGGGAGGGTGGAAGAGCCATGCCTGAGGCGTGGGTTGATGTGTTGAAGTTTGATACCTAGGGACTATAGTACATAGAATTTGCAGTGTGAAGAATTGAACTTTCCTCTGGCAAGAAGAAAGACTAGATACGATATCAAACTACTTCAATGGCCTTCCATCCGTCACCTCGCCATACGGGAGGTTCTCGTATTCGCCAAAGCATGCAAAGTCGTAGTCGGCAAGCTCAATCTGCTTCTGCATCACCTTGAGAAACGTCTCCATTTCACACCATCCGTCATCTCGCTGCCCGCACTCGGCGTGACTCTTACCCAGCGGAATGGTCCGCTGGTTGAGGATGAAATGCACGTAGCTCGTGGGCTTGCCGTCAAGATAAATGTCGTCTTGGTTGCGCTTGGGGTTGACGGGCGCGGGTGCACGAATGACTTCAATGTTCAGACGACCAGCAAATGGCTGCAGGTGCGAGAGGATGAATTCACGGTCGTGCTTGATGTGCGTTGTAGGCAGCTTGTCGTTGAATTGGCGGAGGCCGAAAGCGACGAGGATACTTAGGATGCCGGCGTCGTGGCTAAAGTCTAGGTTGAGTGCTTGGTCAATGGGAAACGTGACGGTGTTGTTGTCGAGCGTGACGTTGATTTGTGCAGAGGGTGAGGTTAGGACGTGGTGTTGCATGCGGGCGAGGACTTCTTCAACGTAGCCTGTGGCGCATGGCAGTTAGTATCATGAAGAAGGCTGTTACTGTGTTATTTAAAGTAGTAACTTACCAATACCAATGGCACGGCCAACAGGCGAGGCAAAGCCCGTGCCGGCTTGAAAGGTAATGTCAAGCGCGTATTCGAAACCTTGCCATTCTTCGTAGGTGAAGAGGCCACACCAGTGGGAGAATCCTAGGGAGACAGTCTCGTAGGAACAAAGGGCCTGAGCGTTGTCTACAAAATGTCAGTTCAGAACTTCCCAAGAACAGTCGATTTTCCAAAGCATACATGTATCACTTAAAGTCCAGTCGAGATCGCCAGTAATGTTGCTTCTGAACCTTTGATGGGCATCGTGGAGGTACACACCCACCCAGTCCATGAACGCTACCGATTAATCAGTCTCTGTCGAATTTTGCGGGTCCATTTTGTATTACCATCTTTGGCTACCTGCCAGTTTGTATGATTACATTGCTTGTAACCAGCTAGCGTATTGTTAAACCCTGGTGCTTCAATGGCAAGCTCCAGTGTTGCATTCTGCGTCCATTGCAGGCCAAAGAATCCCGCAAGAAAGTATTCGGCTGATTCAGTCATGCGCCGCTGCGTAGTGCTCCGTACTACAATCTTGCTCCCGTTATTTGAGTACAAGTGGCCGTACTGATAGTAGTGCAATGTGCCAGACTGAAACAGCTCATATTTGCCATTTGGAACCAAAATTTCAGCACCAAGCAGAAACTTCCAGTCGTTTAGAAACGAGAGAGGGCCGTGGGCTGTAAATTTCCCAGCCGCATCTGTGAGCTTCTTTCCCAGAGTCCGCTCGGCTGCTTCACCACTAACTTCGGGATAGCGGCTGCCGTGGCGATGTACCATGTTGACCCATGTTACGTTGGCACCAGGAGGAATTGGATACTCATTAACCCCGAACCCGCGGGGATTAGGAAAGTAAGGGCTAAGATTTGCCAAGCTTTGGAAGATATTCTTGTTATCTGGATTTCCTGGAATAGGCATTTGGGTTTCCAATGGCGTATTTGGTATGTACGACACACCGGCAAAGGGCGCTAGGTTTGTCTGCGCAAGAAACGGGGCGGCGCCCGTCTGGGTTGGGCCTTGAAAATGACCATCGTCGGTTACAAAGTAGTCGGGAATGCCAGACGTCTTTGTTGTTGGCGTGGCTGCTGTATTCATCAGCTGCCATATCCATCAGACGAGCAATCATCATAGCACTAACGCTTTACGTTTTGTTCACCATGGATGGGAATTTGGGCTCCATGGCCACCGTCTTGTTACATGTCAGCTACTCTGCTCAAACACACATGAACAATTTGCATTGAAGCGATTCTAGAGCAAAATGCTTTGATGGACGCAATTTACGCACTTAGGCTGGCCGGATACAACGAGTTGAGGAGCTGCAGTGAGAGCTCCAGAATGCCATGCATGGTGGGGTCGGTAGCCGCAAGCTCTTAGTGGACACGGGAGAGCTGGGTGGGTAACGTTACTTTGAGCGGCGTAAGTAGTGTGAAAAAAAACCAAATGGTACGTAGTTGGGCGCAAATGACAGCTTGCACATGCACACGTCGCTGCCGCTGCTGCAGTCGTCAAGGCTTCAGTCTGTCAACAGAGACAGAGAGCAGCTTGAGCTTGGGCCATATGTCGCGGATTTCTCGTGACGCAATCCCGTGGACAAGTCCAACACGGTATGCCAGACCCATGCCGAGAACCGCCTCAGGATGCGACGGCCAAAGTTTGAAGGCGCCATACACGGCAACGAAGCGACTTGGAGTAAGATGGGTGCTCGAGAAGGTCTCCTACAGCGATGCTTACCATAGATCCGGGTTGCCGAGCCCGTTGCAGATACGAGCCCATTGTTGCGGTACCTGACCGGGATGTTGGGCTACGTATTGTGGCTGCCGTCCATCACAGTAGTAGTGCTCGAGCGATAGAAGGCAGCTTGATAGTAGTGCTACTTATTTGGACAAACACGTCACTAGACGCCTTGTAGCGCATCGCACATACACAATGACCATCTCTAGCGAGGGACGTGCCATCACTGAAGAAGAACGAACAGGGCACAAGGCAACTTGGCAGATTGCTCGCTCTATGTGTACGTATACAGGCATACACAGGTGCTTGTTGGGTTGTGAAGCTTTATCAATTTCAGACTTGCACCGACCTGTACATGTGTACATGGATTCTCTTCCCGCTGTCCACTTTAAATAGTAGTCTACCACGCGGCAAAAAAAATCTGCTTTGTGTGGCCAAGACTTGAGTGGACATGCCGACGGCAATCTCCCGGACAAGCCTGAACAACTCACAGAATTCAAGACGGCTTGTTGGGCGATGCAGATGGATGATTCAGGTTGGTGGGTGGGGGTTAGCAGTGTCCATGTGACTACTATACTATCGTGGTGCAATACAGGGTCCGATGGAGTCAGAAGGTGACCCGTCTTGGCCAGCATAGCTGTGCAAAGCTCATTTTGGGTTGGTGCTTCACACGTATTAGACACCAAAGGGGCCAAAAAGAGGTACATGCATCTTCAGCTCCACTGGTGAGATGTGTTGGCAACGGCGCTGCACACATGGACATGTATGTGTATGTATATATATGGAGGAGGTTGCTGGCAAGGTGGAAAGGTGGAGAGTCGGACGGACCAATTTGATGACTCTTGTCGTGACGTTGTCGAGTTGGAAAGAGTGTCCGAGATACGTACGAAGAGGGGGCGCATGGTACGAGAGGACAGAAGCTTTCCAAGCGGTTGAAGCTAAGGGAGTGATACGCCCGGCCAAGTTATTGCGGAGGAGGGCCACAGTTGGTATAAGGTGAGGGTTATAGGGGACGCGTAGTCGCCGGTGGTTCTGCGGTGCTTTGTATCCAAGTCTTGGGACCTGTCGTAATGCCATCTCGACATGCATGACTTGCAGCACGACAGCTCAGTACGGCGACCAAAGCCGTTAACCTGCAACAGTGGCAGCAACAGCGGCTTCCCAAGACAGCATTGGCGATGCAGCCCTACCGGAGATATTGTCCAATGACTCCACAGCCAGTGACACGGCGGCACGACAGCGGCTAGTGGTTGGCTTGGAGGAGTAGATTAGTTGCTCTATTGGGCAAAATTCGATAATTTCAGGTGTTTTGAGAGTTGCGTGATTGCAAGCTCCAACCGGCCGTCGGGCCGACTGTGGTGTCGGGGTTGTTGATGGTGGGAAGAAGCCGGATAGCGCGATTGCATGAATCAAAGCCGGTGTGCTAAAGAACCACCGAAGAACAAAAAGTGGGCACTGCTAAGCACATGCCGGACCAACGATGATGCATAGCGAGCGGGGACGACAGGTTAGCAGCATGCAAACGCATTCAGCAAGAGCGTTAGGCGAAGGGGTCGACTACGGCTAGTGCGCGTGCTATTGCTATTTACATGGTAGTAGGTGCGGCGCGGGAAGGGTGCAGGAGCCAAGTTGGGCGCGTCACGGGACATGAGTTGTGCGAGCTGCGAGCATGCAGTGGAGCGGGAGAGGCAATTTGCAAAGCATGTGTCGGTGCGTGGGATGGTCTCTTTAGGGGGAGAGAGAAGATCTGTTGGGTGAAGTTGAAAGTATAGGGCAGGATGCGACTGTCGTCTCAGTGACCCCATACTGATCGTCATTGACTCGATACATACTCGAGGCTTAGGCTGGGGGACAGACGCGTGCTGCATGTAGAAGGGGCGAGGGGGCGGACCGACTTAAGGGTTGATATGCAAAGATGGTATCAAAACCGACGGTTACCGAGCATGGTCCAAAGTTGGCGCAAGATGCATGTCAGCCGCTGCTGGTGTTTGCAGTAAGTACTTATTAGTGACGACTGTATAGTAATCCTAATAATTACTACCCCAAGGGGCCGTGTTGCCCAACGATCGTCGGGGTAGCAGAACAGCGGTGACCATGTACATGTGTACATATCAAAGTATCATGTCGGTAAGTAGTATGTGCAGTAGCATGTTGCGTCTGCAGCGTTCACTCGGGGTACCGCAGAGCACGAGTAGAGGGACTAGTGAGATGCGGATCGCACCGGGGAGGTGGACCAACCTGCGTGGTGAAACGACTTGTCGATGATGGGAGAGGTGGGGGTAAGCCAATCAGAGGCGTGGGAAGGGAGGCTTTTTTTCTCTCTCTCTCTCTCTCTCTCTCTCTCTTCACGTTTGGACGTTGAACGTCATGATCCTGGGGATCGGCAGGCGGGCACAAAGAGGGACAATTTCAGTTAAGCGGGATGGGGGGCGGGAAAAGTTCCATCCAGTCAATGGATAGAATGTGCGGCAGTAGTTGGAGGAGTTGGAAAGCAGACGGTTTGGCTTGGGTGGGCGCAGGCCGAATGGAGCAATGGAGGCACAGCGAGCGGTCGGGTCAGCGTCCGGGGTCGGGCAGTCGTGGGTTGATCAAACACCAATTTCGTCATTGGCCGTGGCGGCGTGTGCGGAGTCGGGGAGACGGGGCATGTCGGTGATTTTGTAGACAGGAGAGGGAAGGGAGATGGGTAAGCATGTAGAGTAGTTAGACATTTGCAGTGTGTGGTTATGTAAGTAGAGTAACTACACTAGATGTGTGGTGGGAGCCAGTGCGGAGGAGGAGTGCAGATGTGGCGTCGTTGACTGGCAACGAGGGACGGATTGGTTACGACGGGATTTGGGAGAATGCCATCAAGGGCAAAAGTGGCAGGCGACTGCAGTGGCTGCCGCAGGGTCCTGTAGCTGGAGCCGATCTTGTACACGTCGAGATTGGGCGTGCATGGCCGACGAAACACAGAGTCAACAATGGCGGATCAGCGGGCCAAACCCAATCAAGCCCGCCATCCAATGTGCGCGTGGCCACAACGACCCGCAATGCCTTGGGGGCGAGGAACCGGTGTGGATGAAAAGGACAGTCTGCACGCTGCGTGGGCATGTGCAGTGCAGTGCAGTGCCATGCCATGTAACGAGTACATAGCACCATCAGATACGGTACCAATCTAAGTAGTAGCAATGTACATATGTACCTACATACTACACAGTACACTACACAAAATCGTCATGGTGGCCGGCATTGTTTGGGTGGCTAGCGGAACCCATGGCAGCGTTCGGTGGTGATGTCAGCCGGTCGCAAGGGGAAATTGATCGGTGTTGCCCATGTCGGCCGTGTCGTGCACAAGGCTCAGACGACGTCATGGCCCTTCTCCCTCTCCCACCTGCCGTCACCACCACCGCTTGGCCTCACGCACCAGCCTCGTCGGGCCCCTTCCAACTGCTGCCAATACTAATCCCATTACTATACACTACGTACTCCCCGTCTCACTTACGCGCATGTCCATATTTACATGCGTCCTGCTGCTGCTGCCGCCCACCACTGACCATTGCCCAATCGCCTCTCACACCCACTTTACCACTCCCCTACCCCCTCGTGGCCACAGCTGCTCCGCCATCTCATACGCTAATTGACCGCTTCAACTCATCCGACTCCTTGGGGTGGATGCGCTGCCCCTGCCCTTGTCCAAAGTTGCCGATCGTCGCACCACCAAGCTGCTGCTGGTGCTGGTGCTGCTACGGTTACTGCTGTGCCAGAGAATCGTCGATAGCAATCAAAAAAGCAAATCGATCTCGCACTCCGTACGGTACACAGTCATAGGCCGCCGTCGCCGCCGTCGCCGCCGTCCCTGCCCCAGGCCTGCGCGACACGCCCGGTCACGAGGCGGGTGCCGTCATCAAGGGCCAGTGCTCCGCCCACCATTGAGCATTTTGCCGCCGCCGCACCCCCCGGCCTCCAGGTGGACAAGCCGCTGCCATCGCAGGGATTGTCGTCTCGGGAGACCCTGAAGTATCATCGGGTTTAGCTCCTGACCAGGGCTCCACCTCTCTAGCATCCTTCCACAGCGACCGTGTGCCTCTGCCTTGGCTTGAACCCACCCACGGCATCCTCTTGCCGGTCCTCGCCCACCCGTCTCCATCTCCGTCTCTAAACCTACACCTCGAGAGCCGCACTTCGACTGTTCCGTGCAATGATCCCACAGATTTCCCTCTCTTCCTACCCGCCTCCTTGCACGCCGAACGACGCCTCTCTCGCCTACCACCACCATCACACTCACAGCCAGACCGACACCATGTCAACCTCGTCGTCAAACTCGTCAGTCAGCGAAAAGGATGTGGCTGTCGACCCCACCCTCCAGCCCAGGCCCCGTCTCGGCAGCAGAAAGTCGAGCGGCACCATCATAATACCCCGCGACAGTCCCAATGTCGAAATGAAGGAAGAGGAGGAGGAATACGATGACGGCGATGCGCGCACAATGAGTCCCCGTCGCAGCAGCGAGGAAATTGAAAAAATGGGTCAGGATGCTCGACAGGCTCTCATAGAGTGAGTCCTTCTCCTCCTTCTACCCACCGCCACCTGCTAACCTAACCCGTCTTCGTCAGACAAGCAAAAGCCCTGCAAGCTAGTCTCATGGAAATTGTCGACCGTGTTGAAGTTGTCAAGAGCGAACACGAAAAACTCGAGGGCGGCAACAAGTTCCTGCAATCGTATGTCGCTCCTTCCTCACCTACCACATGGTGCTGTACTGACCCACGCCAGATATATTGGCGAACTCATGCAAACAAGCAAGCTCACCTCCGCCGGCGCTGGAAAGGCCACAAAGGTCAAGGGCAAGGGCAAGCCCATCAAATAACAATCAGAGCTCGTCCACACTCACACGCACCCTGTGAGCCTCTACTGTGTCGGCCTCCCTCCCAACCCTCGACTCGTCATGGACTCCACGCGCCTATCCAACTCTCACTACCACGCAATCATGATGGTCTACTGTCTAACATACTGACCACCATGACCACTCACCTACACGCACACACATCCGTCCATCCATCTATCCTTCCAATACACACGACACTCACATGTTGACCGCGTTTACGAGCATCTGCATAGCGGTACAGGCCTGGGAACCGGCGTTCGTCATCATCGTTCCAATTCTCCATTCAGCCTACAGCTTCTGTCTTACCACCTTACGACAATAATCTCGACTGGGCTCTTGCTTGGCCTGCTGTTTTATCGCTCAACTTGATTTTTTCTTCTGCGCATATACCACGGCACAATTGCTCCCGCTATATTTGGGTCTTGCAATTGTTGGCTGACACTTTTGATTTTTTAAACAACTTTTTGTTGCGTCATGACCAAATTCGCGGTGTTCTTGGGAGTTGTTTTTGTTTTTCTTTGTTTTTTCTGGTAATTCGATTCTATCCCACAGATGGCGCATAGCTCACATGACATGCGCATCGTTTCTTTTTTTTTCTATAAACGCTCTAACGGGAAGAAGAACGCTCTTCTTTTTAGAGATCAAGCTTTCAACCCGGGCGTGCTTGCAAGCATGCTTAAGATGGCGAGAGAGCAAGAAAGTGAGAGAATATCCATTGGTTAGGCAAACGGTATTTACTGGAGAAGGGGAAAGGGCGTTTTAGGTCAAGGCTTTCTCTCCCGCGGAGGGGAGAAGCCAAGGAAAACCTTGTTTTTATTTTGACGTGAGCTTATTTTTCTGTTCGCTTTGCACAACTTTTAGGCAGATTGGAATAAATCACACATCATATCCACCTTGAGTAGTTTTCTTGTTTGCATAAGTTTTAGTATCAATGTTCCAGGGTCTTGGTAAACATATATGTACTTACGTATCCACATGCCCCCCCCTCCCCCTATGTATATCCTTATTTCCTATATTATTCCCAATTATTGTTTTATTTATTATAGGAGGGGCAAGTAATCCCCCCCCCCCTCTCTCACGTAATCTCTTGAAAATTCGACGACAGCACCCCTCCCGATTGTTTCCCCGAACATTACGTATATTACCCTTACCAAATCGCAATCATGAATCGTCTTTTTTGCTTAAATGAAATCATTCCCAAACTGAGTCGGTGAGCCCCCCCAAAAAAATGGGACCCAAGAAAGTAAAAGTGGTAAAAAAAGGATTAAAATTAAAATTTAAGTTTCACATAGCTCCCATTCGCAAATAAAAAAATAGCCCCACACAGTTATTCCACTATCCCACCCGTTCTTGTCTCTCGTGGGTCCGTGCAACCTATCCGTCTCTCTCTCTCTCTCTCTCTCTCTCTCTCTCTCTCTCTCTCTCTCTCTCTC